ACAGTTCATAGCCTGATGTATATCGGCCCCGTGAGACCTTCTACTTGTCCTTCTTTGGGAAGAAATCCGAAAAGGTAAAGAATACAAGTCCTCTCCCTGTGAGCCGGTATACCCTATGCTGATGCTATGTTCTGGCTCAAAGGGGTCCGATATATCAATATCTGGTTGGAGTCCTACCTCTGTATTTCGGGAATGCCAAACTAAAGATAAATTTGCTAGGTCAGAAGTAAAATCCGTCACACCTATCAAAAAGGTGATGACAATCATTACGAGTCCTCAATCTACTTTGGAGGTTAGCGACGCTTAGTTCGGAAAACCCCACCTTTCAATTCAAGAACTAATATTGATAGGCTGACGTGAAGGTGAGTGAAATTTCAGTTTCCCAAAGTTGTAATTCGACGAAGAGTAACGATGACATGCCAGTCGTCCATCACCTATATTTTAGTAAGCAGCAGTAATCACTGGATATGTGTTATGCCGTCGTAGGCATCACACTGCAGTGAGTCTTGCTGTTTACTAGAAGCCTTTGTTATGATGGGTCTCTTTTAACCAAAGTCAGTTTCCTTCCTGAGCGTCACAAAAGAAAGAGGCGAGGTTTATCATACTAGGTCACTTGTGGTTTATATGAGGCGCAAGCGGATGCTGGGATGGAAATGCGAGGTAGTATTAAACTTTTTCTAGTTCGTTATACCTCATGATCAAGATAGCCGTGTAGTTCTAGATGCCGAGGACGAGTTCTGTGTCGATGTGATTTGTCACGTTAGCAAAAATGAACACCCTACAAGTAAGTGGTGTGTACTAGGTTCAGGAGAACACATATTTGGAGCTCAAGGGATCTATGGAGCCCCAAAACCCCCAGTGCAAACGTCCCATTTGGAGCTCGAGCCTAGAAGATACCTGATATTCAAATAAAGTTCCACCTTTATTATGGTTAATTCAACTAGTGAGTCTATCGAAGATAATCTACTCACCCCCACTAACTCTGGGCCTGGACAAGTTGCTAGAATTAAACTTCGTGGATGAGCATAGCATCAACAGTGGACGGGAGCTCGGTTCAGTCAGCGGCCGAGTCACCTCTTGGGCGTCTCGAGGAGGACTGAGACCTGAACTAGAGATCGAGAAATTTCAAGATCCAGCGTCAACAGGGTGTGAGATGAAAGACATGACGATAATTAGGCCGAGAACACCCGGAAACAGGGTAACTTGAAAGGTGACCGCTCAGCTGGGGATCAATAGATCACAAAAGCGCATTCTCTACTCATAAACGAGATATAGATCATGCGGGCCGTCGATTTTGCCGTGCGGATATGCCCGTGCCGACATAATTGTAATCGGTTATGTATTTCTTCGTTGTAATTAGACCTGTTCCACTGTGTAAAAGAGGGGCGCATGCAGGTGACTGCGACAACAAGACACAGGGTTAGGTAAGTTAAACCACTGAAACATTCTGGAGTGTCTACACGCAGAATATTACATATAATAATTATGTAATAATATGATAATGCCAACCGAACTAACAAAAGCTCAGTTCTAGAGTGTATAAAGAAGGATATAAACCTACTCATCAGTTGTCTCTACATTTAAAATCGCCGTGGATATGGCTACAATGATTTTGGATAACTGGTCTACCGAGAATTGAACGACACAAATCGTTAGCACTTTTCCGTAAGAAACTGCTTTAACGTCAACAAATCATCAAAAAAAGGTCTTGAGGTGTCCCAACCTTACCGGGAGAGCAGACCGACGATCGCACTTGGGATGTGTCTTATTGAAGTAGAGTCACTTACATGTGCTTACTTGGATTACCCCGCATGTAAGTAATATATGATTCCTACGCGCATAATGTCGATATGTCTGAAAGACATGTTTACGGGGTATATTCGATCACGACGTCTTGTGATAGGATAATTATACAGATTCTTTCGCTATACCAAATCTACAGTTCTATCTTCCTTCCAAATCCATAGTCGATGGGACCGAGTAATTAATCGCAACATCCTGACATGACAGCCACGATCGTTATCCAACATCTAGCGCCATGAAAGATGACAAAGCAACAAGCCCATACCCCTATCTTGGACCGCCATTTGCAACAGTAGGGTTTGTGAACAAAAAAGACCTTTTAAACTACTAGAGGTAATGATTACATGCTTCGGCATCACGCAAGATAACAAAACCCAGGCTACTTTCATTAATATATGGACATTGCAGACATTAATTAAAGAAAAGTCGAAGGTACGGCACTAGTGACGGTGAGTTACTGTGCTAAATACTGCAATTTTAGAAAGGGTAGTTCGCTTCCAGGTTACGTAGAAGCTCTTTACGAATAACTTCGCCTTCAGGCGGTTCCTTACACAATTAGGATCAAAACAATATAGAGACTTCTAATCACGTTCGACACGAATCACTGCTTAAGATGTTTAAGTAAATAAAATAGCCTAGTTCGACTACCTAATCCACTTGCTAGTTGGGATAAAATGCCCATGACCAAGGTACGCGCTTGACATACAAGTCTTCTAGCCATGAAGTTATCACAAAGGGCACATGACGTCGCTGGCAATCTCTTCGACAATGTCATAGACTTGCTCAAGGCTTTCCACGAAATAACCCGACCTTCCCTTTTCCCAATCGTTGGCAACGGCGCGCTCCATTACTCTCTCATGGACCAAGATAGCATTCCAGAGTGCGTTCTGAGCACCCCAGAAATCCTTACGATAATCATCACCAACGTGCACTGGCACCAGCACGCCGCGATCTTCAGAGTGCAAGTCCTGCCAGATTCTTCGCGCAGCGTCAAATATTTTACGATGAGGCTTCTCACAGCCAATATCGTATGAAAAGGCCACGAAATCAATTAGCGCGCTGTCGCCCACACCTTGCTCGGGATGCGGTTGGCCTGGAACAGTAGGTCTGTACTCGCGTACTCCTACTCCTAGATCGTTCAGGATTGATGTTACGCGGTGGTCGGAATTGGTGATGACGCCCAGCGTGACCGTGTCGTACAGCGTGTCTTGCTTGAGGCGATTCAAAAGCGGGAGGACATCTGGAAAGAGTCTATAGGCTTCTTTGCTGGCAAAGCGATGGAGAAGTGCGTGCGCTAAGGAAGGAAGGGGAGGTGATTTAGTTAAAGGGGTGAATGTATTGGTAATTACCTGCGTTAGAGATTAGGCGCATTGTTAGTCTTTGGCACAAAAAGGTTGCGCGTAGGGAGACACACGCCGGTCCACCATTGCTCAGGTGTCATTCCAGACTTCTTTCCGTAGTTAGGATTCTCTGAGGCCTGTTGCTTGAAGGCTAGGTTCCGTTAGCAGGTGGAAAACCAAACGGAACACGTGGTTAGCAGCAATAGGAGCCCGCGGTGGTTAAAAAGCACTTGATAGGAATGCAGTCGGTCCTCAACATATCTATATCTGGCACTGGTTTCATCGCTTCAAGTCACATTAGATGGGTCCGATACCCGCATCCGGTGTTGCTCAATATGAAGATAGAGACATTAATGCTATACATTGACTCCTATTTCTTAGAAGTGTATTGATATTTATGATCTTTTGATTTATCAAGTCATGATTGACCATTCAAAGGTTCAACGGGAAAAAAGCCAGGACAGTTGTTTATGAACCGGGTAAGTCATAGCCGGGCATTTGACGTAATGACATATATGCATCACAACGTATGGAAAAGTGGGTAACAAGAATTATGTTCCCAAAAGAAGAAATTCTCAAGTGGAGGGAGTTTTATTACCTTTCTTGAATGTCACTCGAATGTCAGATTCTTCCACACCCTCTATGCCGTGTTCCTGTGCCACATGAGCATACTGGGCGGCGATCGAATCCCTCGGCTCAAAGAGTGTCCCAAAAGCATCGAAGGTTAGTAATAGGTTGAATTTAGGGCGAGGAGACTGCTGGAGGCCATAGAAGTTTCTTTGACTAATATGTCTGCTCCGACTGATCGGTTGAAATGCCCTCATGATTTGAGAATTTAGCGGCGGGGTAGAGAGGCTGATCAGAGTCTTCCCCGGAGGATGGCCAATCAGTCCCAGTAGAAATGCAATCGATGTGCTTCCAAGTCTTGGATCTTCCAACGATATGAGTTCTCTGGAGTGTCTTCCAACCGTTTTGATATATGAGATCGCACAGCTCCAAGTGTGTGGGCCGAAGGAGTCCACACATTTAAAGAGGAGGTGCAGAGATCGACTTTTTCAACGTGTTGTTGCTATATGTCTTGGCCGACAAAGTAATGCTCCGCACGCTAACCACTTTTGTCAAAAGATTGGGCGTTTCTAGAATTCTGTTTCTACTGAGCAGAAGTGTCACTCGAAGTAGACCCGAAATATCTCAGTATCCTGTGATCATATCGCAGAGGTATGAAGGAGTGTGAACTTTGGCTGTTGAGTGTTGTGCTCCTACTACTCTTAGAGGTGATCTATGGAAATGGATACATGTAGTTGAGTAATTACTTATGTGATCCAGACTTATTAATTTTCACTGACACACTTCCGTCTAGGTAAGTTGTTCTAGGGCTAAAACCGAGGGCATTTTCCTCTTCGGGAGTGCTAAAACTGAGGGGTAAAATCCCAGAGATTTGCTATTTACCACCTCAGTCCTGCCCATCCTATCCTTCTTGCCACCACTCCCTTTCTTCATCATAACGATCGAGTGCTCTAGCACCCTTCGTTTTCAAGTTGACTTTTCAAAATCCCAGAGGCTCAAGTTTGCTACCTGCAAGAGCGAGGAGTGTCCCCTGGCGCATCCACAGACGGGATGACTTAGTGAAGTTCACTTTTTAACCTAGTCATAGCCGAGAGTGTTGTGAATTGTCTATCAATATTTATATATAAAGTTCGTCATTGAGCAACGCTCACTATACACACGCGCCCATAATGTCTTCATCGCATTTTTTTCCGCAGGCAGTACAAGCCGCGGGTGTTCCCAGGATCCCACCGATGAACGACAAGAATATTTCGCCAACGAACGGGTTCCAGCCCGCGGTCCTCACGAGCGATGCTCGAGTGCCACCTGGTCACTTTGAAAGGGTAGCGTCGGCACGTGCTAACGGCAAAATACCAATTAATTCGCTTCTTACCAGTCCTCAATCGCTTCTGGCACATCTACCCAAAACCAATGCCCAAGCAAGGACGGCAAGAAAGTCAGCGTTTCATGTGAGTCCTTCGTCCCGAGGAGACGGTGGGTATAGCACATCACCTACTAGCAGCAGCGGTCGGAAGTGTATTTCTGGTTCGGGTTCTGAGGGGGACAAGAAAGAAAGCAACTCTTTGTCGACGAGTGAAGTATCCAGTGGTTCGCCGATTCGAATCCAAGGAAAGAATTCACTCGAAAATCATAAGGTAATTGCATGTTGGTAAAGTTTGTCTTGGTTGAATCCATCCCGCTAACCACACCCTGCAGCACACTCCAAAAAAATTCCCTCTGCCCCCTAAACCACAACAAATCCAGCAAACACCACAAGCACCCACCAACAACGAAGATAGTGGCTCCACGATGCCTGCGGCAGCCTCATCTGCTGTACCTGCCTCCGAGGCGGCAGCAGCACCATCGGCGGCAGCAGAACCCCCCAAATCGAGTAAGATGAAAAGGCTACAACTCGCACTATCCGAAACAATTTCTTCAACGAAACCGAAGCGGCAAAAGGTCGCAACTGCAAAGGCTGCTGCTCTTGCGAAAGAGCCCTTTATGAATGCGGATGGCACTGCGGTAAAGAAGAGAAGACCTCCAGGAGTTATGTCTGAGAAAGAAAAGGCAAGAGAGCGTAGGAGAGCTAAAGCTATCAAGGGCTCTGGGAAGTTTAGCCTGAGGGATACAATTGAGCCCATCACAGGCACGACAATAAACGTTGCCGCCAAGCCTCAACCCATCGCGCACCTCCCTCGCTCCAAGCCTCGAGGTCCCGTCGTTCCCACCTTGCCGCCTCGTTATGAGGTCCCTAGGGGCCGCTATCTGCAAAGGCAACCGGTCTCTAACGTACAGCAGGAAACAGCTAACACCTCAATCCCTTCTTCAAACGCCCATGAACACATGATCTTTGAGTTTAATGCCAACCCTCAAGCTGCCATACCGCGCGCTCCGCCTAAAACCAACTCAAAAACACCAAACCGCTCGTCTTCCTCTCGCGCTCCTTATAAAGCGCAAGGGAATAGTGTAACCGAGGCTATCTTGATAGACTCTTCTCCATCCTCTGTGGAGAAAAACAAGGATAACCGATTTAATCTACAAAATGAGAAACGAAGAGGGATAGAAAAGGCCCCCGTTTACAATATTCCCTCAGATAGCGATGATATTACAATAAACTTAACCTCCCCACAACCTGGAGAGGATACGCGACGCACGCAGAAAAAACAATCGTCGAATACCCCAAGTCATGCTGGTGGGTGCTTTCAGCTTTCTTTTGTCCTTCCTCATTTTTGGTAATGAAGTGAGCCCTTTCTGTTACGCCTTTAATAATGTTCGCTACCCATTGATTGATGGGAATAATGTAACCTACGAAGTATCCTTGTAGAGCAGTAAGAAGCGTAACTCCTGTTGGGTAAAGGGTATCGAGGCGCAGAAATCTTTACCGAGCGCAGTTCGCAGCAATAGACGTTTCTGATAAATCCGGCTAACCAAACTCATTTAGGATTAACAGGCGCATTGAGTGTGACGGATGTTTTATTTACGAAGTGTGTTTCGTCTCTTACGCCTCCAGGTACGAACACCTTGGAAAATTAAGCTAGCAAACCTTCGTAAACTGACCATGATCAAAATCTCTTTAGACGAGCGCAAGCGCCTATGTATAGGTATTGAAGACATCATCCAAAGGTTAGAGATTCAAAAAGACCAGAGCAAATTTTTACGACATCCCATTACATGGTCCGAAAATCGAGCGCACCCTACATTAGAGAACCTTGCGGTACTTTTAAGACGTCTATGCGTAGTAACAGATGAAGGCTTAATTGTTACCTTCGAATGCTGGAAGGAGGATAAACCGAAGTTTAAAGGTCAATTCATACTACCTGAAGATGCAGAACATACACAGAGGTCTTATCCACGGAGATCTGAAGATGTACCACCTGAAATCATCGAACCTTCGGCAGTGAGAGAAGAAGCACCGGGTAAGGCGTTGGCTACTGAGATACCCAAATCTCATATTCCAGAAATCATCTCAGCCTCAGAAACATCGTCAACCTCAAGATCGCCTGGGATTTCTAGGAGAACCTCGATTACTTCGGATAGCTGTGGCAGCCATTATTATGTTCCTAATGTCCCAGAAACGGGAAATGCACTTGAACAATTGGTAGGCCGAAAACAACGGGGAACCGAGGGCTCCATCGCCAGTGATGTTGTACAGCTAGTTGGGTCTCTCAGCTCACCTCTGAATTTACAGGAATCAGTACTATCTGAGGGGCCTACAGAGGCCATATTTTCAACTGAGTACATCGTTGAACAGTCTCTAGTAACTAGTGATCATCCGCGAGAGGAGGAAGGGTTACCAGGTCCAATCGCAGAGACTTCAGAGGTGGTTGCAGAACAGGAGGAGGAGGGGTTACCAAATCAAAACGCGGAGAATCCGATGGTTGCAGAACAAGAGCAGGAGGAGTTAGCAAGTCCAACCGTGGAGAATCCAGAGGTGATTGCAGAACAGGAGGAAGAAGAATTGACAAACCAAATCACGGATGATCCAGTAGTCGCAGAACAAGACGAAGAGGGGTTAGGAATTCCAACTGTGGAGAATCCAGAGGCGGTTGTAGAACTTGAGGAAAGAGGTTCGCTAAGTCTAGTCGTGGAGACTCCAGAGGTGGTCACAGAGCCCTCAAGTCCGAGTAATCAGATTCAAGAAGAGAATGCTGCTTCGGCCACTACCTTGCAGGGTTCCGCCACAACTGTGACCAAGCCTTTCGTCTCACACAAGCGTAAAAGGAAGATATTCCAACCTTTCACCGTTGAGGACCTTTTAAGTGAATCAAGATCTGATAAAGAACTACAGTCACACCAGGCATCTCTCCTCCTCAGGAAACGTCAAGAAAAAGACGATGAATATTTTCCCAGGATCCTCCGTCTCAACAAAGCGGAAAGTGATGTCAAAGCTGAACTTGATACTCTCAACGCATCGGCTAAATCTGAAGAGCTCTGCTGCCAGCGCAGAATTGATGCCTTATTCAAAGTCATACATAGTGGAGGCCAAGCCAATTGGGAAGAATATCGCGAGCTCATAAGGAAGAGAGATAGCCTTCGGGAAGACTATACACGCCAAACTGTGCGTCTTGTAGATAAAGCCTCGAAGATTGCCAATGAGAAGGCCTGGTGTCTCTCTCAAAAGAACAAAGCTGTGGAAGAGCTTGACAATGCCACCCAGGATAAGGGGCAGAACGGCGAGAGTGTCACACCGACAGTTACAACATCCTCTTCATCTGTCTCCGATACAATGGATGCGGGCTCGGGTCCAGTTCCTTTCTCTACAATTGATCATTTCCCCACGATGGATTCTATGCTCGCAGAGACGCGGGTCGAAGGCTATAGCATGGCTCGAGAGTTTTTGAAACGCTTGATTCCCTGGGCCAAAATGGAACCAGAGCCAGTCTCGGACCCTTCCCCTGCCGAGCTTGAAGCCGCCGCCGCTATTGCCGCTGCCGACGCGAAGAAGAAGATGCGGAGGAAGAAGAGGTTGAGATGGTGAATGACCGCAATAATGGTAGGTTGACTGCTGAGAGAGCATAGTGATATCATTTTGGCATCGTAAATCTTAATTATTAGGCAAACTCCGTCAGGAACCGTCAAATAAATGCTGTTTTCATTTGTATGTTTTTTTTGTTGCTATACCTCTGCATGACTTGCTTTTTCTAATGAGTAAAATGAAGATCGAAGCTTAAGGGCATGATCGAAGTTATTGATATAGTTGGTTCTGTTCATGCAATTCGCTTTTTCCCTTCTTTCTTTCTTAAAGCGTTAGATTCCTCTCATATCTTCTGTTTTCTTGCTCTTCTGCAGTTTTTTCCCTTCCACCGGGGCGTCTATTATGTTCCAGGTTATTCTTGACCGCTACGGTTATTTTTTTTGTTCGTGAACACGGCTATTTGATCTCCAATTGATCCTCCTATTTGTAATTATCCCCGAGTAAGAGTAGTCCGTAGATCAGCTAGAGCCTAGGTATTCGTATTAACGAGTCCGCCATATCCGCAACTTTGCTGGAAAATATACTTAGATTAATTACGGAGGTTAACAACAGATATTTCCTTGAGTTCATAAACTGTAAGCCCTTCCGGTCTGTTAATTAGGATCTCGCAGTTACCCAGACCTTATATCAGGTGAGGGCACGCCCAAAGCCCCAAGCCCTAACGGCGGCCGGCAAAAAGTACACTCGAGGATTACCACCGCAAACTGTCGTTCCCGAGGCTATCCTTCATGAGAGGTATAAAGACACATCCAGCGCGTCTACTGCTAAAATCTAGAGTCCTGACCTCCAATGTGGAGTGCGGAACCGTGGGGTTGCGTCTTTGTTGGTAGTCAAGGAGGTTGGGCTGCGCACCGCATGAGTGCGCACATGTGGCGTTCAGCAGCTGGTGACTTCGGAAGAATTTACAACAAGGTGTAGGTTAAGGGGAAGAGACGTTAAGACATAGGTATTTATTCCAATGATGTCTTTAGACAGCAGAGATATGCAAAAGAGGTGAAATTCTACAGTGCGGGCGGCAGTTTGGCGGCGGGTGGCTCGGGCGGGGCGCAGTGGGCAAACGAGACGTTCCTGAATTTTTAGAAGAAACTCAACAGAACAAGTGGACTTATTGGCGAGGTGTGAATGGGGAATTGGGACTGTGGAGAAGAGAAATATTACTTCATACAAGAGCAGGGGATGTTTTTGGGCTGCGCGTGATATCTTGCGGGTACGTTTTTCGACATTTATCATAAACAATCTTCAATAATTGATCTAGACCCGCATAATAAGCAGTATCGATTCTACTACATACTAATATTGAGGTTAATTCTTAGTTAGTATCTATCTCGTTAACTCCCAGGCTCTCTATAGATCTGTCTCCGAGCCTTATTGAAGTATCAATTGCTGGCAATTATCAGTGAGTTTAATACTTCAGCACTATCACATGATGTGATGAGCTACTAGCTATCAAAAGCACTCGGGAGAGTAATTCTCATTCTTTCTCAGTTGGGCGTACTAAATCTATTTGTAATCATCCTGATTGGCCAGATGCAAGCGTACTACGGAGAGACTAGGTATTGGTCAGGGGCTGACACCAGCAGAGTGCAAAGAGTAAATATAACTCTCTCCCTATTTAACTTTCTTTCAAAATCCGCGGGAGTATTCATCGATTCTAACGGATAATAAAACAATTATAGAACCTAGCTATGGCATGTTCGAAGAGTTGAGCGATGGTAGGTTCAAAAGCGGATCTGAACAAACACTGAACCCCCCCATGGGAAGGCAGCAGCTTTCCAGCTCGTTAAGCTTATCTACCGTGGGAGCCCGGGATTGAGTGGCCCATTTAATCTCCTTAGTCCTTAAAAAGCTTCACGTGATGATACCAAGTTAATTCGGGGACACTTCAAGAGTTTGATATAAAGACGAATTGTGCTGTTTCTAGAAAGAAAACGCTGTCTTTCGCACTAAAATAGCGGTTACAGGAAAATAGGCTCTGTATCCGCCAGGAGGCCCGAATTTGAGCTAAACAAACTATCACAGAAGCCCCCCCACATTCTATTACCAGTGCGCCAAAGTAGTGCCATAACCCCACCGTCATCCCATCCCCTTCCCTCACAAATAGCTTATCCACTTCAACCCTCTCCAAATTATCCGTCACAATTACCTCTATCTTCGAAACCTGGGGACATATTATTAAAATGTTCCGAAACTCCACCGATTATGGCTCGCCCACCACCTCCCCCTTCCGCGAGAACACCGGCCACAATGTAACTCCACCGGCCAATTACCCCGTCCACAAGTATCCAAAGTACTCCACCTACAGGGCTTGTCCGCCCCGTTTCGCGTACAGCCATATGTTCCGCGGCTGCAACAGGCTCATTGACTTTCGACTTCCGGCCGTGGTGCGAAACCCACCCATGCCCCGCTACTGGCGCCGCGGCCATGTCCCAACGGTCCATACAGCAACCTGGGATCCGCGCATGCGGTTAACTGCATATGAAATGCTGCTAAGGTGGATCCGCACGAGACCGATCGACCAGGAGAAGGGGATTCTTCATTGGCTGTGGGAGGCAAAGAAGGACGGCGTTGAGCCGGGAATCGTCGAGTTTGATTGGGTTACAAATGCTAGCTCCGGCCCGAATTGGGGAGAGCTTAAACAGTGGCTGGTGGAACAGATTGCGGTGGAGAAGGAGCATGTTAAGATGCAGGATTTTGTGTTCGACGAGAACTCGAGCCTGGGGGAGTCGTCGGACGGATCGCAATGCTCTTCGATGGAGGGTGTTGTCATAGATAAAGAGGTGAATCCAATTTTGACGGATCAAATCAACGATGTTAATGAGCTTGACGAGCTTGACTGGAAAGAGTTTTCTGTTTACACACAGAAAAGGACGGGTGTTGGATGTGATCTTGAATTGAAGGCACGTCTCGATCGAGTAGCTCAGTGCAACTTTTCTGATGATGGGAGTGAATCTGATCAGAGCGAATCTGATGATGATTCTACCGATCAAAGATTTCCAAGTGAGTGAGGCAGCCCTGGTAGTAAGGCAAGGCACTAATTTGCGGGATGAAGGAAAGTATAAAATTTTCTATAGGGCGGCTTTGATCAGGTAGAATCCGGCAGTAGTGTTCATATCTTGGGATAGAGAGTATATACCTACTTTGAGAGTATAAATGAATCCGCATTATTAAACAAAACATATTTGTTTCTTCGATAGGTATTGAGCATCTTGAGATACTCAGGCTTCAGAGGCCAATTAGCTAACTTGTACGTAGGGTATTAATAATTATCAGGGTTTGATGGAGGGTTTGCTCTGTAAGGTCACTCAATATGGATATAGGCCGCTGTATTGACTTGTCTCTGTTGGGGACATGGTTTATCTTGTCTACCAGGTACAGAAGATACATACCTTGCGGATCGGAGGAATTCAAGGCATGTAATAATAATAGAATATCGGATATTTGTTAGGTGTTGCTCGCTCGTCCTAGGAATTATGAATCTATCGAAAACTGCATCCAAGAAATACAAAACGGTCTATCCTTCATTGAATGCAGATGAGCCCAGATAGTTGTGAGCAGATCACCCCCGAATCAATCGTGTACCCTAGGAGGAGAGCCATCTAAATTTGGGTTGCTCAAGCGTCTATTCCTCGAACATTCAATATTGACTGTAGAATATCCTGACGCCGTCCATACTGGAAACATGCGAAATATGAGGTGATAAGAACACTAAAGTAAGGTCAGATGCCTCGGTGTTAAAAACGAATCGCGCGCACGTGAATAAACATACGCGATAGATCTGTCCTTATGATATCGGTTTTTAGGGCAATGGTGGCAACATGGGGGATTTCATGTCTACCTGACGTAGACTAACACACACACACGCCGAACGAGACATGTTTCAACAGTTTCTTCTTCACGTATCACTCCCGGTTAACTTCTTAAGGGGAATGGTAAATATCAACGAAAGAATATCTACGCCTGGTTCTATCTTCGCATACAACTCGCATCGCTAAGTACAAACCCTCTTGTCCTGAATTGACTGCATTCCCGAACGGATTAAAGATCTCTGATTTTAAAGTCATAAAGAACTATCAAGGACACGTTATAACGTGACCGCTACGTAGCAAGCGGGCGATATCTTAGTATGTCTTATCTAGTATTTTCTCCCTTGCTAGCTCTCATCTCTCCAATTGATGATGGTTGTATGTTACATTTACTAATTGAAAGCTTTTTTGTCCTACCTCTGAATCCTAGGCACTTTACGCCCAATCTCAAAAACACCAAGAACGCGAAGCCCTCTATATCTTTCCAACCACATCAGATTGAAAATGTCCGTAAAGACAAAGGCTGGGTGTCATAATGAAGAAGATTTTGGCTTTACCGGACCAAATATCTATTGTGGTGGTGCAGTTGAAGGTGTCTTGGCGCCCTTGCCACGACAACCTAGCGTTAAGATTGGACCAGACAGTGATATCATGCGCACCTGTCACACACCGGCGACTAGACTGGCTGCTGTTTAACCCATATCTTTAACATTTACCTGGGTCTTTACCTATAGAGTAGATACTTCAGGTCTATGCAAGGGCGGATCAATAATCATATCGCGGAAACGGACACCAAACATGCGCAGTTCCTTATCAAAAACCCCTGTTCGTTTATTCCCTCTTTAGTAGATTTCGTAATCAACTCCTGCTGATTCGACAATAGTTTCGTGTAACCCTGTCTGCCTCCCGTTAGCTGTCAACAAGCCTAGCTACCAATAACCACAGCACAGCCTTATCAGACTCCTCGTCCACAACAGTCTCCAGAATGTCTAGCTCCACCGCAGCACCCCGTATTCTCATCATTGGCGCAGGTTCTCGAGGTTCCGCATACGCATGGGCAATCAAAATAGGTACTCCCGGCACCATAGTCGGTGTCGCCGAGCCTGCGGAATTCAAGCGGGACTTGTTCGTGTCGAAACACGCTCTTGACGTTAGTGCGGGGTTGGTGTTCGAAGACTGGAAACAGATGATCGCAACAGAGGAGGCTAGAGAAAAGTTGAAGAGGGAAGTGGATGGGATTTGCGTTTGCACACTTGACGACACTCATTGTGAAGTGAGTATTTATGTTGACTAGCTTCCGGGTCTGGTCTGGACACGAGAGTATACCCTCGCGTTGTGTCACTAAACATTCCAAAGATCGTACTAGCTCTTCGTCCTCTCAACATTCACATTCTTTGCGAGAAGCCACTCAGCACAACTCTGGATTCCTGCGTGCAGATGTGTAGAGCTCTCAACTCAAAAGAGCACAACCCCATCATATTTGCAATCGGACATGTCTTACGATACTCCCCCCACAACATGCTCCTCCGCAAGCTCCTTTGCGACGACAAAGTGATTGGTGATATCGTCAATATAAACCACACCGAACCTGTCGGGTGGTGGCATTTTTCACATAGCTACGTCCGGTAATTAACCACCCTGACCTCCATTTCTGCGCATGCAAGCACCTGACACGTACAGCGGCAACTGGCGCAAAACTTCGACGTCCGCTCCCTCGCTCCTGACGAAATGTTGCCATGACATAGACCTCCTCTTATGGCTTCTTTGTTCGCCGTCTACCGATACTCGTCCACACCTTCCAAGCTCTATATCATCCTCTGGCTCACTGGTACACTTCAAACCAAGCCAGAAGCCCGCCACAGCCGGTGCTGCAACCAACTGTTACTCATGCCCCGCAGCCGACACTGACTGCATCTTTTCGGCAAAGAAGATCTACGACGAACTTAACCTTGCACAGGGCAACAAAGGCTGGCCAGTTAAGATCGTAGTCCCAGAGATCGAAGAAGCACCATCAATCGCAGATGCACAGAGGATGCTCAAAATAGCGCTGGAGGCGGACTATATCACCGATAAAGAGCAGGACGATAAAAGCTACTACGGGAGGTGCGTGTATGAGGCAGGTAACGACGTCGTGGACAACCAGGTTGTCACCATGACCTGGGACGACGATGGACCAGCGGGCCGAGGCGCAAAGACAGCTACATTGACCATGATAGCATTTTCGAAGCGCATCTGTGAGAGGTTTACGAGAGTATACGGTACTTTGGGTGAGGTGGAGGCGGACAGTAATACTATCATAGTCCACGACTTCAAAACAGGACAGAGTAAGACCTATAGACCGTGGGTAGATATGGTTAGTGGACATGGCGGTGGAGATGGCGGGCTGGTGGGTGCCTTTGTGCGTGCGATTGTAAAGGTTGGTGACGGGTGGACAGTGGAGGAGGTGCAGAACAAGGTTGTAGGTGTGACGGTTGATGATGTGCTCAGGAGCCATGCTGCGGTGTTTGCTGCGGAGGAGGCTCGGCTCGGGAGGAAGGTTGTGGACTGGGATGAATGGTGGAACAGGGAGGTGGGACAGGCGGCGGAATAGACTTTTGCGAGGTAGGGAATAACAGTACGAAGCCCATGATGCTTTGGTAAGAATTATGTATCGCAGTTTTTCTTTCTTTCTTTTCTTTTTTCCTTATGTTTTATCGATTTTGATAACAGTGGAAAGCGAGCATATTATTCGATAAATGAGTGATTACTCATGACTGAGTATTGTCGCTACGTATGTCTTGGCACTTTAGATCTGCAAGACCTGATATGAAACTCTGCTGAAAAGTACCCATGTTTCATTCCAGTGACATCTGTTTGTCTAGGTTCTGGGGCTGGCTGGGAGGTTCCCAACGAGACTTTGAAACTAACTTGGGGCCTCAAAAAACGGTGGTGAAAAAGTGTCGTATTTTCTTCCTCCTTGTTTCATCTTGTCTTGCTCGAGGTTTCGGTGCCTGTGTTCGATAGGCTTTCTGTTACGTCCATCAAGATACTTGCCTGAGTGTTAGCAATACGCGTAGCGACTGAATCTGCCTAAATTCGAAGCCCCAGAGTGAGCCATTTCCGCGCGGTTGCTCAGAGATACATGTAGGCCGACAAAAGAAAAAAAAAATGCTACCATAGATAATAATTTTATTTTTGTTTTCTCTCCGGTATCACCCGTATTCACATGAACATTTCGAACCGAGTGATAATCCATGCACCTATCTATCTTGCACGACCACTTTTTTTTTTACAGAAGGTCGTTACCATCTAGAAGTCCGTTAATTCCCGAGATAGTAACAGGCGCTTAGCCTCTCTTGCTTTGAAAATGACAGCGGTGTCTGCTTAATTACAGGACAGGTACGGAGAAAGTCGAGTGATATTCTGTGATGGCATCATCCTCCCGTATTATATATTCTAGTACCTTAGACATCTGAATATCCAGCGCTCCCGATTTCTTATTTCCCCGGATAAAATGGGCTCATAATGAACTTGTATAACGCTCACAGGGCCTAGAGTGTTGTGGTCATGCGCGCGAATTGGTCTATTATATTAGAGGTATATTAGATTTAGGATGAAGTGAGGGAGGGTTCAGATGTAGAGTAACGTTAATCCCGATCAACGAATATCACTCACAGTCTTCATTTATCACGTCGAATACCCTTTATATATTTCTAAGGATGGATACCGCACTAGTAAGGAATCGGAGAACTGAAATTTCTTCCGCGTTTAGGAATCAGTCCTAGCAGTAAGTTCAATTGAAATATATACTCATCATTACATCATAATGGTTTCTTTAGGCCTTAAGCTTAAGTTGGTTAGAGTTACAGATATTGGTACGGTTCCCCTTGAAGGAGTTCTCACACGGAATTTGGAATTGTGATGGAGCGGATTTGAGCGGCGTGTGCGACTGTGCGGATATATGAGATAGAATGACGACAATGGCAAGCAGATATGTTTATATCCAAGCAAAATCCTAATAAAGAGTGTAGTTCTATAACCACTCTCTCCCGGCTTCTTTGATAATTATGGTACAAACTAGAGAGATATTTCCGTTTCCCGAATCTTATATACGTATATACCCAAGCGCTGAAAAGGTCCGGTAATATACAACTTATCGTATCCTCCGCTCATCCTATTATCCATATCACTCCAAACTATCCCCATGAGCCTTCTAAAACTACCCTCTTATCAAGAATTAAACACCGGCATGAACTACACCGGGAACTCAGTACTGTTTTTCAGACCAAAATACGTTTTTTCATTCTCTCCATCTCTCGTCCGGATTGTTATTCTCCCGAAGTTTTAATTCTTCGCATCACAAGATGTCTAGAGATATATTGATATTGTACTGTGGTGTGACCTTGTGCCATATTCTCAGCGGGGGTGCGGGCGCCAAGACGTGAGGTAGTACTAGTTAGTTAATTATGATTGGTCATGTGTCCCGCCCTCGAGACCGGCGGAGAAGTGTTCTTTTATTGCCCGCGCTTCTTCAGAGAACGGTGCAAATTTTTATTGATCACAGGTCTCGGACTAAACTCTGTGGTTGGTTATGTTTCCGTATGAATATAGATACCTATCTTACTGTAACTTTGGCATGTCAATAGCGTAGTAAGGTACATAATTCAGCAAATAAGAGATCGCGAGGTGTTCCGGATGTTACCGAACCGCAACGGCGGGTACTTTGATTGGGTGGGGCTCTCATTTTTCCTGTCCTCCACGACTAGAAGTGCAGAAAGTTCAGACGGAATCCAAGAGCTGAAATTTAAAGTGTTTTTAAAATGGACTGCTATTGCATCCACTTTTTTTGCACGGCATGCATTCCAACAGCAACAAGGTCAAGAAAGATTAGGTACCTGAGTTGTACCTGCCTCCACGTCTGTCACCAGTACTAATGGGACGGCGCTATTCTCCCGTCGTGTGCTGTTTCCTATCAGTGCCAAAGAATGCCAAAATACCACATGAAGATTTTCTGTCTTCTGACTGCCTCGCCAGGTTCAATTAACCCCTCTTCATATTTGGAGGTGTTGTACTTTAAAGTCACAGGGGTAGACATCAACAGTTGTCACCTGTGCCTGGGTTATTCCATGGCGCAACTCAGGGACCATTCCCCGCAAAGGGCAAGGAGCATCCCCATAATATCCGCATTGGTCTATCCAGCCTGAGATCTACAAGCCACGCGGGATGAGATGTCAACATTCCTTGCCTCAGCAGCTTCATTCCCACATCATCATCGCGAACACACGACCGAACTCTCATTGATTCAGAGAAAGTTTAGATATATAAGACCAAAGCCGAATCGCCCATCATGTTGTTCTCAGCAGCAGCCCAAGTCTTCCTCGACCAGACGGATATCAGAGCAACGGCTATGAAGTTCCTCAAAGCTCTCCCGTTCCTCTCAAGTCTCTTTATGCTACCGGCAGTGTCACCAGCAGAGTATGTCTTCACCTCTTTCACAGAGACGAGTGAGCGCGACATGTACATCTGGGGCTCCTCCAATGCAACCTCATGGGACCTCATCAAAGGCCCTGCTTATGTTCGTCTACCCCTTGCTCCATCCCGTAGTATTTCTTTTTTCTCGGGACTAACAGCCTCTAGACTCCCGCAACAGGACTCCTGCGAGACCCTAGTATAATGCTCAAAGACGGCACGTACTATGTTGCGCACACTACTGGCTGGACAGGTAGGACCTTTGCCCTCATCACCTCCACCGACCTCTTGTCATGGACTCCCTTCGCTACCATCGAGATCACCAACACCACAATTCAACGCACATGGGCGCCCGAGATCTGGAAGGATCCAAAGACGAAGAAGGTGCATATAATTGTCTCGCTGGGGACTAATAATCCGGATTTCACGACGAATCTGTACACGGCGACCAACGATGCACTGACGGAGTGGGAGGGCCCTGTGGTGATGGAGGGTATCCCGAGTAATTATATCGACACAGTGTTGGTGTACAAAGACGGCGTGTACCATGCATTCACGAAGGGGGTGCCGAATACAGAGCATGCGGTGGCGGATAACGTCGAGGGGCCTTATACACTTGTGCAGACTGGTATGTACCTTCCACCCACATGTTCCGAATTGACGTTGGTGCTGATAAGAGTGGTATTGTAGGTGACTTTGCTGGATGGGGAGAGATGGAAGGACCTACGGTTGTGAGGTTGGCAGATGGACGGTATCGGATATTTGGAGACAGGTACAAGGAGTCGAGGTATATCTATAGCGACAGTTGGGACCTGTACGAGTGGACAGCACCACAGGATGTCCCACAGTTATCTGGAGTAGTGAGACACGGGACTGTAATCAGGGTAGATAGTGAGGAGTATGATGACGACGAGTCATGACGACAAAAAGTTTTCTTATAGTTGTAGATATGTCATAATACATATTGTATTGAATAAATGATTAGTTGTATTTTCACCCTGCCCACCAATTGCCAAAGTGATTAGATGACATTATAACGTTGAAGAGATGGTTAGGAGAAAATTCATCATACGAATATTAGTAAGCTACCATTTCATCTACTAAGATTGAAAACAGAGGTAACCCTCTATTCAGATTTTGGGTCACGCCAGGTTGAGATTGGGCAGGCCCACATCCGTATTTGGCCATAATGATATAGTGTTGAGAATAACCGGATCATGGTACATGAGGCCATCATCATCAGTCTCTTCTTCTCTAGCATGTATAAAAGGGAGAGGTTATGAAAGGTTTGGAGATACCTTTGCAACACGGACTCTCCAGAACATCGTGTTTATCCCTACATGTATGTAACATAACGGTGTGGGTCCATTTAGCTCGTTGGTGATGAAATGATCATTTTTCTAAAAAAGAAAAAGAAAAAGAGAAAAGAAACGAAAAAAAGCAAGAAAGAAAGAGGAATAAGCTCGGAGGTTGCCTGTACAGCTGTGAATTTCGAGCCTCACAACACAGGCCATATCGGGGGAGAGATAAGAAGATACACGAGGAGAGTCGAACTTTACCAAAAGTGGCTGATAACGACGTTGTACTGGCAATATGTATGATCTGGATTAGGCTCCAACCCTGCTTCCATCTGGATTACCGGAGATTCATAGAGACCGATATAGATCGCAAAGACACGTCTCTTGTGAGACACACGGCAATATGCGGTGGGGTTACCACATCACAAGGCTACTCTACCCAGCGTTGGTAACGACCGGGGTCCTAACGATTTATCTTGGGTAGGGTCATTACGATTTTGATGGGAAACCGCCTCGCAAGTACTACATGTAGTGGCGACATACTGCTGGTGTATGTACGTCGCCGCACTTCTTCGCAAAAATAGCTTTAGTGGCCTTCAGTACTGGAGCCAGCGATAGATTATACTCTAGAGTAAATTTTAGGCCGATGTAATTCGGGAAGGGAAGGAAGCGGAAATCACACTCTGCCTCTAGGATCGATGTCTTGGCGGCCGAGTGATCGCTCTTGATTAAAATTCTTTTTTTGATCACTAGACTTCACTACTCGAAAAGGATTATGGGCAAGCGCGTATCTCGCTTTCGAAATTTCTCTTAAACCTTTATGAGCACTGGGATGCGTGTGTGAGAAAATACAGAAAGTGCTTTGGCTAGGAATATCCAGGTTTGATGTGCTATTGTACACGGTATGGTAGGGTGTATGCGGTGACCGAGAGGCCAATCAGGAGCTGGAGGCTCTACAAGCTACATAGTAGTGGAACACTGCTTCCAACGGTGCGAGTGCCACTGTGCGAGAATGAATCTACTATTCATCAAAAAATGATCAATACGGTACCCGCGTATGGCCAGGACATGGTTCTTCACTACATCTCGGTATATAATAAAGGAAACCCTAAGATTTCCACTCGAATCTCGCATGTATTTGTGATTGCGCTTATTAATGGATAGGCCTAGGAGCACCCAGAGATCGAATGCGAAGAAAATTTTACACAATATGGGCGGATGGGGCCTGTTCAACTTTTAATACTGGCGAATAGTGCAGGTTTTCTGCAAGGATACATGTATGCGCCAAGCGGGCATCATTGTAGAGGACACTGCGAGTAACGGACCACAAAAGCCTCACAGCCGAATTGACTCATCCCACTTGCGCCACCTAAGCCCATCCACTAATGACAACAGCAATCACGATGTTCAGTTTTTCAAAAGTACTCTACAGTCGTCTCTGGGTCAACGACGAAACCAGTTCGATGGCGAATAGGCCAATCGAAGCCAATAAAAGCCAATAAAAGCTCCCCGACCCCCTTTGCTTTGACTGCCTATCAGCCCAAAAAGTAGCCACTCGTCATCGAGCCGGGTCCGTCGTTGACCCAGAAACGACTGTACCTTGCAATCCCCTTCCTCATCTCGCGTCCTGCGACGCCAAGTCACGTGCATCTGTACAACCTAACTCTCCTTAATAAAGTCTTTTTGTTAGTCCTAACTACATGCAGCGTGGCTTGTATATTCTGATAAACACTTGGATAGAATGTCTTAATAATCACTGGGATTCCATTTATCTATTCCTACTCCCAATACTGAGAAAAGATATATGAGTTTAACCTCGCTCCATGCACGACGACCTTGGGATTTTCCAGTTAGAGTTGACAAAAAGAGAAAAATGCTGATATTATGTAGTTAGAATCTGATGACTGGGGATAGATTCTTCTCGGAGACATGTCGGCTTTTACATAGTACCTGCATCGACTCACCGGGGGATTAGATACCGTTGTCAGCTAAAATCCGAATTGGTTGGTATTTGCAGGAGCAGCTTACCTGCCAAGTTGGGTTGTGGCACCATCATGTGAAGATCATCACTACTTTCTCTGGGAGTTTAATAAAACCATGGAAGTGTTCACTGGCGTTGTGCTTCTAGAGAAGTGGGCTTTACACACCAGAAGAGGGTAAAAGGCATCGCGGGACATTAGGATCAAGGCGCACCGTCACATTCCAACAAATGAGCGGTTAACATGTCTTGGCAACAGTTGGGATTGCATCCCCCGGTAAACATGCTCCCGCGGTCGTTTCATCTCTGCTTTAGGGTGTCTCATTCCTATGTCGTGGAACCGTGCCAGTAGTACAGCGATTCACAGGCATTTGGCGAATACACCCATTTGGCGAATTTGTATGTAGCAACCAGCCAGCAACCAGTAAAACCTCGAGTTTGACTAAGATATCTTGATTCTTATTGGCCTTAATCCCTGTTCGCCAAATGGGTGTATTCGCCAAATGACTGTGAATCGCTGTACTAACAAAACTAACTGAGATTTCATAGTAGTAGTGGCGCATGTGCTGGAGATCAAGATGAGAACGGACGGAGAAAATACTTATGTGCAATAAAGTTTATCTTTAAGTTTATCGGGCAGTGTTTAAATCAACGTAATATTTCACGTGTTCGAGGTTAAAAGGATGTCTAAGAGGTGTAGAGTACCGTGTCTGCCAACATGTACTCTGTCTGGCTTGCCCGATCATGAGTTGAACGTGTCCACTCGATACCCAGGCGATTTAATAAACATCCCAAATAGCCTCTCAGTCCTTTGGACCCCTTGCCTTTCCTTTTAACCTCGTCCATGTATCACATTTATCCGAAGAATTGAATACGAGCACTCTCAGCCACAGCATTTAACGTGAGAAGAAACTCACCTCACCGGTACTCTAACCTTGACCCTTGTTCATTTCGCCATTCTGGTATCAACGGTCCAGTAGCCATCGATTAGGGCTGAGCCGGGGGCCGATATGAGTATAGATTGCCCAACGGAAGCCCGCGCCCCCGACAGACTCTAAATAAAGGGTATGCACAGCAATTAATTCACGGATTCGTCCCACAGAAAGCTTGAATGAGTTGTCGAATCCGCAAAATGAGCAAATTTCCTACATATTTCCTCAAAAGGCACATAAACTGATACATGTACCCCTCTTCTTCCAAACCAAGGAGGCTTTGGATGGTGCACTCCCCTCATGCAGTACATATACTCGCGTAGGCCCGAGTGGTGAACTACCACACTGATTTACATTGTGAAGTTTTTCCACTCTACGACTCGGATGAGAATATAGCAGATATGAAATCCGCTATTTTGCTTGTGATGATGCTCTCGACGCTGTTTGGTTTCTCCTGGGGAGGTGCCTTGATTAGTAAACGGCAGTCCGAGCCGGCTAAGAAACAGGTTGCCACTGATATCTGTGACAGAAGGTACCATTCTAGTAAGTGAAAACCCTCACACAGAGATATCCCTCTCAACACTGGAAAACAGCATACCTACTGACACCCGTGTGTAGGTGCAGTTGTAGGCGAAAAGCTCTGGATAAACGCCGGCCAGAATATTATAAACAGAACGGCGAGTACAGAGGACTTCACCAATTGTATGCCATCATATCCACCCGACACTCATGATCAACAATAATTAATAGGTCAAAATAGTTAACTATATCCAATACATCGACCTATCCACAAGGTGGACTATTAGCAGTCCAGACCTCACGAGCGAAACCAAACCGACTTCCGTAGTAACTGTTCAAGAGGCCTGTGCCTGGAGTGATGGGGTCGATTTCTACCAATACGGAGGCTGGCGAGCCAGCTCAGATCAGGAGAGTTTCAGAGTATGGGACTATGATGGATCTGAATGGTCACCTGTCTCTCCTGGGACTGTAAACCGCCTAGCTTCAGGCGCTTGTACTGATGCGCCTTTGATCAAGAAGTCGTATGCGTATGGTGGATTTCAGAACTCGCAGACAACAAGCGATCCGTGGTTGATATCCGTATGGGCGGGATATGGAAGTTCAAATTTGATTGAGTTTGACTGGGATACAAAGACCGCGCGGAATGTAACTTATACAGATCAGTCGAATGATCCTGCGGGAACGCTGGATAATGGGGTAGCGTATGTTCCTGTGGGGAGTCAGGGTATTCTGGTGGCTATCAGTGGAAGGAGGTCAAACGCAGAAGACGGATTTTCTCAGTTGGTATGTTTACTTCCATCTCATGTATCCAGTTTGGCGTTCTTCCATCTATGCCCTCGGATTCTGGCGCTAATATAGTGAGAGAATGTGCTTTAGTCAGGCTTTTCCGAAATCCGAGTCTTCGACATTGCATCGTCAACCTGGTATTACCAGGCTACTAAGGCAGCATCGCCAACGGATGGCATACCTAATGCCCGGGTGCAGGCCTGCACGGTGGTTGTTCCCGCTGCGGACAACAGTTCTTACAATATCTACATGTTTGGGGGTCCAGCAACGACAACATAAGTGGATCCTTCAACGACATGTGGGTCCTATCGCTCCCCTCTTTCAAGTGGATCAAGATTAGAAACAAGGCGAGTGATAGCGCCTACATTCCATTAGCGCGAACATCCCACACCTGCCATCTCATTGGGAAACGACAGATGGTGGTTATTGGAGGCGCGCGCAGTGCGGCGGCGCATAAGCAGTGCAATACAAAGTCGGTATTTGTATTCGACCTGACTAGGCTGGTATGGAGAAATGAATTTGACCCCAATGAGGTTGCGTATGAGCTGCCGAAGAATATCACGGACGTGATTGGGGGCGACGAATTTGGGAACGCGGTCGCGAGTCAGAACAAACCCGATACCTGGACAAATACAGCTGTTCAGGATATCTTCTTCGGCAGTGATGTACCACAGACAACAGCATCAAGCACTGCAATACCAGATGATACAACCCCTGAAGAGAGCTCTACTCCAACAGGTGCAATCGTAGGGGGTGTAGTCGGTGGAGTGGCAGCACTGGCTGCCATAGCGTTTGGTCTGTTTTTCCTGCGCCGCCGCCGCCGTCGGGGTCCTATCCACCACAGCCAGGACGATGAACCCAAGATAAATCCCAATCAAAACGCACAAGAACTTAATGCAGATCAGACCGCACTCCATGAGCTTGATCCGGAAAATGCCGCGGTCTACGAACTAGGAGGAGACTACTATTCCAGGCAGGCAGGTGGTGCTGGTGAATACTCTGCGCTCAATGAACTAGACGCCGAGCTACCATCACCACGAACGGAGACTGTGGATGGTGTAGAGCGCTTCGTGGAGGGGCCAAAGCTGTCCCCCACTACCAAGAAGCCGGTGGGTGGCTAAATAATATTTGTTTCCCCTTTTTCCCCCTTTCCCCCTTCTTCTTTTTCTTTTTACCGGGCATCGCATCGCATTTCAACGTGGGATATTATGTATATTTGGAGCCATATTCTGGAGTTTGTGTGTTTTAAATGTGGTTTGCGCTAGCTAGCTGCAGCGAGCAGTGATAATTTCTTTTGTATTTAGCTTTTTTTTATGGGTGTATGTACATACACAGAGAATGGAGGATCGAGGGGGAGCGGGAAGGGCATAGACAGAAGAGGGACGGGCTAATATTGATATTGATATTGGAGGGGGAAGCAGATGTCATTGCGTATCACTATTAATCACTGGTGGTATAGTAGAGAGGAACACTAGTACTATCTAGAGATATAATGCAGAATTAAGCCTTAAAACAAACTCGTGGCAGATATCAATGATCACTATGATATATATATCGACTTACAGCCACTCAGCAAAAGTGTTCGTGATATAGTTTTAATGTCAGTGCGCAGTGTGGCTCACCAGTAATACTGATGTTACAAATATTAAAGTTGAGATTCAAAACAACGAAAAATATACAATATAGTTTGTGACTATATAGAAAAACGAAGATAGGTCATTGATCTTATTCTCCATTAATTTGGGCGCCATATATTGGTCACTGGGTTCTCGATGGTCCGCCACGGTTACATACTCGCATAACAAGTATGTATTTGCGCAACCAGCAAAACACACACAGAATCCAGAGAGCTTTCCCATCTCCCCTGAAATTATGTGTCTTCTATCCAGACACCTGAAAGGCTCTACAGGCCACTTTTAGGCCACATCTACAAAGAACAAGCACTGAAGGTGAAATGTGTCTAAAAGGGTCCTTTTATGGCAACCTTTACCAGTATCTCAATTGGGCCAAGAATTTGAAGCATGGACCTCCTTTATCAAAATTATACTATACTTGGTCGTTGATATTTTGGTTTAGGTGTGGGACTTTTATGAGTTGTTGAAAACCTCGATTTTTGGTGTGTTTTGCTGGCTGGGCAAATACATAACTGACGTGCGCGAGTATGGTGGAGAAATGTCTCACTCCGAAATCGGGATGAATACAAACACTTGCAGAGTGGCCGTGCTACATTTTATAACAGATGTGTAGTTTAATTTTCGAAATCGAGAATATTGACGAAAATCCTTTAAGCTGTCGCGAAAAAACGCTGCCCCCCCCCCCCCCCCCCCCCCCGGGTCTCTTCCCCAAATAAAAAAAAAAAAAAAAAAAAAAAAAAAAAAAAAGCAAATTCGGTGTGGCTTTTATACTAAATAACAGATCCCGTTAATTATCTCTCTTATCAAATTAATAATAGATTTCTCATACCTGAATTTTAATTCCTCTGTTATACTAGAGTAGGCTAGGTAGGGGTCATCGATCAGCAATATTATCGACAGCTTATTATATTACAAGTTATATAAGGGATACCACGCGCGCCCTTCGCTCCAAACCGGTTGAGCATCAATCAATCCCCCCAGCTAGCCGGCCGCATCCCCCCCCCCCCCCAATTAGGTGTGTATGTACATACAAATATAATTCTACAGAAAATTAAAATATGCCAAAGCAACTGGGAGACGGTGTTATCTAACGCTCCTAACGCTCCTAACGTATAACGTTAACGATTCCGATAGCGCAGTGCAGCGCACCGCCACGCGACGCGCTGCCAGCGTGGAACGGGGCTGACATCGGTTGGGCGGTCGGTCATGGGCTAGCACTCGGCTTTGGTTGGCTTGGCGGTTTTTTTTATTTTTATTTTTATTTTTTATTTTTGTTTCTGAGAGGTCCCGAGGGTAGGGGTGGGAATTTGTGTCTTGTGTAGTGGTCTTGCTATCCTGGGTCGATACATGCAGACTGTCACGGGGCTGTCACGGGGCCGTCACGGGGTAGCGCATAGCTCATCGCGACTACGAAACAAGCCATGCAAAGGCTCTGATATTTTTTTTTAAAGTACAAGTAGGTACACGCACCCTGCACACGCACCTCTCCCCTTTCCCCCCCCCCCCCCCCCCTCCGATACAAACGCCCACCTACTCATCATCGCCGAAAAACACCTTAACCGGCAACCACGAGTCGCCACACACCTTAAACCTATCCTTCAGACCACTCAGCCTCTCCACATCCCCCTTCTCCAGATCAAAGCCATCCAGGTCAAAGTTTGCAACAATCCTCGCCGGCGTGACCGACTTTGGGATAACAGACCACCCGTTCTGCAGCCCCCAGTTGAGCAGCACCTGCGACGACGTGCGGCCGGTCTTCTGGACAATCTCCTGCAGGACGGGGTCCTTGTGTAGTGGGGAGCCCGTGGAGCCGAGGCAGGAGTAGCCGGTGCTGTGGATGCCCTTGCTGGTGTTGTAGGCGACGAGCTTGGGCGAGGGGTTGTTGGGGTGCAGCTCGATCTGGTTGACGGCGGGGACGATGGTGGTGGTGGGGGCGTTGAGCAGGATCTCCAGGTTCTTGATGCCGAAGTTTGACACGCCAATGTTTTTGGCGCGGCCGGTGGCGGGGATCTTTTGCATTTCGGCCCTGTACGGACGGCGCGGGGTGGTTAGTTTATGCTGGGGAGTGGGGGAGGGGGAGGGGGGGGGGGGTGGACGAACCAGGTCTTGACAAAGTCCCAGTCGGGGTAGTGCTTCTTGAGGTCCGTGGGGTCCGTAGAGGACGGCCAGTGCATGAGGTACAGGTCGACATAGTCAACGCCGAGGGACTTGAGCGACGACTCGATGCCCTCCTCGACGCGCTTGTGCCATGGGTTGTCGAGCTTCGTGGTGATCCAGATCTCCTCGCGCGGGACGCCGGAGGCCTTGATGCCCTCGCCGACTTCAGACTCGTTGCCGTAGGCGAGTGCGCTGTGGGGTCAATTAGCGGGCTGGCTGGTTTGGAGGGGGTGGGGGGGGGGGGCTTTACGTGTCGATGTGGCGGTAGCCGGCGCGGAGGGCGGCCTCGACGGCGTGCTTGACTTCGTTGGGGCCGGACTGCCAGGTGCCGAGGCCGACGAGGGGGATTTTGGCACCGGTGTTGAGGGTGGCAGTTTTCCTGAGGTGTGGGGTGTCAGTGGGGTGTTTGCTTCTTGAGTTTTGGTGCAATTGCAGTGGGGGGAGGGGGGGAGGGGAGCTTCTTACTTGGTCCACTCAGTCATGATTGTAGTGTGGTTGTATGTAGGTTTCTTGATGGGTTCTTGGAGGTATGGATAGGAATTGGGTCTTTAGACAGCTAGGAGGAGCAGAATGAGCAGTTCAGTCTACGGAGTTGAGCAGCACAATTGATGGATATGGACAGAGAAAGCAAGCAGCGGGGGGGGGGGGGGGGTATAAATACACCTGTCCTCTCCCTCCCCCTCTCCCTCTCCACGCACACAACACAAACCCTCAGCCCTCACGCCCGGCCGGCCAAGATCCAGATGAGCTCTCCTCTCTCTCTCCCCTTCCCACCCTCCATCTCTCTCTCTCTCCCTCCTGCAGCAGAGGGGTAACCGGTTAAACCCGTCGGTAAAACTGAGTCCTTCCAGAACTACCCCCGATGCGGTATAGCTGCGGGAGGGCCCAGGGGGTCCGGGTTGACGTCAGCGGGGTTGCGTGGGGAGCCAGGGTACGTGTTCAGCCTGAAGTGGGAGAGATGCGTTTGGAGGAATTACAAAGCGAGCTTGGATGGATATCGCTCAGCTCTCCGGCGTATAACGAAGATCAGTGAAGACCACCAGCGGATTCGGCTGGTATCGAGGAGCACCGGGCACCGAGAAGCGTTCGTCTTCCGAAGATACGAGGTTGTGGTTCTGGAGCATGTGTACTCTACTCTATCTAGCTTAGGTGATTCTGTATGTAGCGGGAGGAGGTCTATTCAATTACAAGTGACCGCCTATTCTCTAACTATAACTATAAATACTGATGTCCATCTGCCATGTTGGCTGTTCTCTGAGCTGTCACGTTTCGGGTACTGTAGCGACATGTCTTTTCTTTTTGTGTCCTCTAGTGGCTAGCTGCGTGACCGACAGTAGGTACTCTACGATACGTAACCCGTTTTCAAAAGGAATGTCAAGTCACGTATCTTCTCTCAACAGCAAACATACTATCGACGTCGACCACGCGCTCACATCCGATCAAACACCCAGCTAGGCCACCATATATAACCAGCGATGGCCGCATCCCAGGTTACAGCCCCTATGGAAATTAATCTGCCCTGATGAAGAAAGCCCAGTTTTACCGGTTGTGGTGCATATCTATCTACCCATCCATCCAGTGTATATAGTCCGGGGTAGAGTAGAGCACAGCTACAGTAAACCCAAGTACCTGCATGAGCAGCGCCGTCTCGTAGGTATATCAACGGTGATGTTGTACCATCTCCACCCGCTGCCAACTACAGTCCTCCTTGTATATAGTTATAATTAACACACAGTATCCTGGTCTACATAACTGAGGTTAGTTACGCCAACCATCATGTTCCTCCTCTTGCAGCTAGCGCTTCTCGTGATCAACCTGCCGCCAGACTGCCGCGCGCTTGCAATATACATCACACACACACACAAGCATCCATTCTGTATGTAGACAAGGCCCCAGACAGGCAATTCCATTCACGCGGGTGATATAATTAGTAGCCCGCGGCCGTCACTAAATTAAACAAACAAAAAAATAGTAGACCGCGGTGCGGCGCGGGGCCGGGGGGGGGGGGGTTCATGGGGCATCACTCGCTGCGCATGCGGACAATGCAATTGCAAGCTGGCTAGAGAGGGGCGGAGCCGTAAGAAGGCGCGCGCGCTCTACCACCAAAGTTAATGCATCATGGAAATGCATCAAGGAAATGCATCAAGTCGACAGTATGTGGTAACTCGTCGAGATCTTCTATGGAGAAAGTCGTTTGAAAGGCATCGATAAAGTCGTTGGGAAATGCAGTAAATTAACTCGTCGGGAAATGAATCAGGAAATGCCCGATCAGGCAATGGATCTGGGCCCAAACTAGGCTAAAAAAAAAATTTATTTTTCGAAAAAAATCTACTCGAGTTGGGATTGAACTCAGGTCTTGAATGGTTCTAACCACCTAGTAACCACTAAGCTTTGGTTTTTATGATAGATAACATATTATTAAGTCTTGAAAATCTATAATTTTGGTTATTTTGACATCGGAAAGTCATCACAAAGTCGTCAGAAAGGTACCAAAAAAGGCATCCCCAAAAGGCATCCCCGAAAGGCATCAGAAAAGGCATCACTTGATGCTTTTCCAAGAGACGCTTGCTGGAAAGGCATCAAGGTGATGACTTTCCCAAAACACTACTATGGCAGGATGCATTTCCTGATGCATTTACCCGTGGTAGAGGCGAGGTCGCGCAACGCCGCAACGCCCGAACATACAAAAAAAAATTTCACAACCACCGATGGCGCCAGACAGCTAGGGGGGAGTGGCCAGCCTCCCTGCTATGGCAAGAAATTGGGGCCTTACAACTCAGTGGTTGGAGGAGAATAGAGTATGTAGATGTTCTGGAGGACTGTTCCCCTGACTTAGACCCCGGGCCCGTTGAACATGTTTGGGTACACCTCAAGAATATAAGCTCTACCATCAACACTACCCGGCCCCCATTTAGTATATGATACTAGATCACCTCAATTGCAAGTATTACAGCCCCGGCCCTCACGGAGGAAGCTCTATAGTAATTCATTGTTGGGAGCTGATACCTGATGATTTATTTGGTAGGGTGGTACGTTGAGAGCATGCCTAGCTAGGAGAATGGAGGGCAAGGGGTTGGGTACACAAGATATTAAATGTCAAATAACTTTTTATTTAGCTACTAATTAACAACTCTACAAAAAAAACCAGCTCTCCAAAGGAGTAATTGTGGTTGCTGTGAGGATAGTCGCGTCGTGGTGGGGTGGATCGTGAGGGCCGAAGCCCGTTGCTACGGCCTGGAACTATATATACATGTAGGCCTAGCTGGTACATGTACTGCTGCAGCTGTAGAGAGGATAGGAGCAGTGCGCTGTACTGTACTGGTAAGGCCACATCGAGTGATACCGTATGAAGACAACCAGCCGGCTGCATGCACTGATTGCATTAAGCTAACTAGCAGTTATGATCGAGTGTTATTAAGTAGACCGGAGAAAGAAGAGCCATCCATCGATCCTCCGAGGATTTCTATTGGCGCAATGTCTACATTGGTGATTAGAGTCAACGTTAGGTTGGGGATTGCCACTTGGATGTTGTCATTTGGGAGTGCATATCGATAAGGGAGTGTAAAAAAAATCTTAAATTGGAAGTACCTAATATCATAAGTGTCAAATACAGTACATATCAAAGAGAAAGAAACATCTGGAAACAGTGCATAAGGAAGATCAAGACGCAGGTTAACACACACACGCACCCATTCCTCTCCAGCTCCCCACCACCACCGACTGCGCGCGGCGACGCGATAGTTTACATCCAGCAAAGCGAGTTCACCGATAATTGCGCCCGAAGAACTCATTCTATAAAGGTATAGATTGATAAAACGAGTTAGCCAGGTTCTAGTTCCTTTTCTCTTTTTTCCTTTTTCTTTCCAGCCAGTTGAGCTAGTAAAACAAGGGAGTAGAGTAGAGGGATCCTGGGATCGGGAGTTATATAAGAATGTATATGTGTATTACCCTATCAACCCCAGCGCTCCACCATAGTGCCTGGGCGACCCTTCACCCAGTATAGAGCCTGGGCGACCTTGGCCTTTGCCCAGTAGTAGAGCCTACTACGGGACATTTGCTTGCGGCATCCGATTGCGAGCGCTATTATGATAATAATAATCGAAATAGGCCCGCAAACTCTCCAGAAGTCGTTCTGGGTCGATTGGTCGAACGTAGGTCAGTCGTGTTCATTCCTAATAGTATAAGTGTCTGTTAGTATTAATTCATCCCATGCCTTCATATATATAGCAGGCTTAATATAATACCGTAGTACTAAAGGCGCATCCAATCAGCGATCACGATCATTTAAAGCTCAAATCGACAGGTAGTAGCTGAAGTATATTATATACCGATGTGAAAAAGTTTAGTGGTAGAAAGATGGTCGTGACAATCGTGAACACCAGCGTAGTCTCTTCACGGGACTCCTGTGCCCGCCTAGTGTATTCCATGTTTCTCTCGTGCATCTCTTCCTGCTCACTCGAAATCTCTCTGTAGACGCGGCTTCCTGAGTAATTCTCTCCGCTGTCATCCGTATAGAACTCTCTGCTGCGATTTTCTGTCGGCGCATCGTCTCGATCTTTGCAAGCTCCACTATCTATGCACCAGTTAATTGCAATTGGGTTTAAAGAAACCGGCAAAAGACAAGAAGCCAGAAAAACCTACAAACTTTTGAGAGTCCTGTATTTCCATCAAAAATTCCTCAAAACACCTTTTGAATTTTTTCCGCTCCTCTAGTAGCTGGTCACGGGAGCTATCGTTACGGCCGAAACACATTTGGAGCCTATTTAATGCTTGTATCTGGGTTTCGATAACTCTCGTGATACTTATAAGCTCTATCTTTATAGAGGCATGGAGATCAAACAGTTTTTTTTTGATGTTCAGCAAATTTGCTGTGGACAATTGGATTCTGCATCAGGTTAACAAATTATGACCGATTAGTTATCTAGTAGAATGTAGTGTTTAGACGAACAATGTAAGATATCCTGTCTTGAAAGCTCTGAATAAGCTCGCATTTTTCCGATTGCATAATTCTTTCGATATTACTGCTGAACTCAGGGTAAGGACCGTTCGGGTTAACAATATTAAGACCGGAATGTTGGTCCCCAGCTCTAAAGATGATGAGAACTGTTGGTAAATATAATGAGCTTAGGAAGCGAATCATAGAAAACGAGAGATAGAAGGAAAACAAACTCTCATCAAGAAGTATAAAAGTGATGCTGTGAACAGACACTTCCTTATGATGCATATCCAGGGAATCCAAAATCCCCCTTGCGGTGAAAATGGCATTTGTATCAAGACCTTGTCTAAATGGAAAGCGGTATTCAAATAAGCTCAAAGTTGATTTCCAAGGAGTTTCTTCACCGCTCGTTAAATCGTATGAAGTCAATCTTTCACACTCTTTCTCTAGAGGGCTGAGTATAGTAGATGGGCCTCCGGAAGGCTCCTGGGAAGGCCTTCGGGACCGGTATTCGAACGACCCCCTCTCTTTATTGCGGGACTTGTCCCCGGACCTCGGAATAGAGAAATTTAGGTCGCGCAAATCGGTTTTCTGGCTTGTATAGTCTAAGGGTTCCCAGCCGAGATATGGAATTGTCATAAACAGTAGCGCCGGATCCGAGGTAACGTCCCAATAGAACGCACTTTCAAGGAAGTTTGAATTCTGGCCTGCTTTGATTATTTTTTTCTCGGAAAGTCTGAATATTTCTTCGAGTGATGTATCGGGACAGGCCATTCGGACAAAATCCTAAAAGATTTTAATGTGGATACTAATATAATCATGTTAATCCTTTCATAAATTCTTTAACTTACTGCGGTATAACGGAAAGTTGGAAATTCACTATGTAATCATTCAATTATATAGTTAGCAAAGTAAACCGTATCATTGTGCCAATAATGGCGCAAGAGACCTAAGTAGGGTTCGAGAATTCAGGTTAGGAAGGAAATACATGGAGCATAATGTCATCTTGCAGTACTCTCTATCAGACATTTGTGTACGGAATCTCTCTGACTCGGTTACTCGCCTACGGAATCCCTTCAGTTCGCTCATTGAAAGAGTATCATCGTCATTCTCATCGGTAATATGGTTACTACTATCGGTAAGATGATCGATATGATATAGATGATGCAAAGGAGTGGCGGTGACTGTCCCCTCAGGTGTGAAATGAGTCCTTTCAACTAGGCCCTTGCTCCAAAGGTCCGGGTCCACCGGAGCGTTATATTCGAAAACTTGATATATATATATGTTAATATATGATACGAGTTAATATATGATATTTATACAAATAACGGAGTCTTACAGGCTCCTAATAACACTGATATTTGTCCTGGACAATTGTTGCTGCATTCTGCCCCCTCTGGAAGTTTGATGAAATTTTGCATCTCCCTCCTACGTTTAACAGATTCTGGCGTTCATCCGAGCCGAGCCAAGCTACATGCATTAATCTTAAGCAAATATAACCCGCGGAAGAGTAGTTATTACCGTAATGATTATTGATAGCTTCCATTAAAACATCCATCTCTTCGATTACTCGGGACTTATCCATCATCCACATCCATTTTACCCTCAGGGCAAAGTCCACAATTGCCGAGGTCGATAGATAGGTATATTCGCCAGAGAATGAAGTGCAGTTAGGATGACTGAGTGGTTCTAGGATGTGCGATGAGCTTCGTGGTGCAATATATATAATATTTCTTGTAAAATTAGCAGGTTTGCAAATGTTGACGCGGTCTAATTTGAAATGACCAGTACATGCTTAATTGATCATAAGTGACTGGTTATCCCATGGCCTGGTAGAAATTTAAAATTCCGGGACTTCCTATTCCAGCAGGCCCTTCCAGTGGCAAAGTCACTGCTCCACACTGCTCCACACTGGTAAAGTGTGGATTAGTGTTAATAGTGCGTGGAGCAGTGACTTTGCCACTCGCTGAAATTTCTACCAGGCCATGCCCACACCTATGATACGCACTTACGTACCTATGTTTCAGTGAACTATAGGTTCATAATTACTAAGATACTTGTAATTTCACAGCGTTTGTGGGCGCGGCCGCTATTGCATGCCATATAAAAAAAGCTGTCTTGACTGTTTTTTGTGTGTATTCAATAGCGGCCGTGTTCACAAACGCTGTGAAATTACCAGTATATAACCCACATAGAGCGCTAATTCCCCGTCCCAGGTTTAGTTTTTCTGGGAAATACATGTAGTCAGCAAAGCGCAATCGAGATTACTGTATCGATCATATAAAAAAAAGGGTGGGAGACAGAAAGGGAATGTTTCTTATATAGCCTCAATACTCGCGATTGAAAATTATGTTCTACTGCACTTTCTGTTATGTTGTGAATGGAAATTCAGACCCCAGGGGGTGAGGGCGATGCCACATGTACGCTTTCTCTCTTGCCGATATATAGTGGCGGAAGAGATCTCTTTATTTGTACTCGAAGTTCAAAACACATAAGTCGTGTTGAAAAAGAAATTTGTTGAACCAGTGGATGCAAGCCGTGTCTTTTAAGCTGGAGGTTGTCCGTGGGGTCTGGTTATAATTAAGTCTAGGGGTTAATGGGCAAAACTAAAAGGTGGGGACTAGCAGCTCAAAATTCGAAGCGGTCGGTTATAAGCACGTACAGCTTCGTGTACATATTCCACCATAATTGATCGAGATGGCAGGCCTCCTGTCAAGGGGTCTTCTTTAGTTTTCCTAAGAGGCCTTCACTGCCAAAAGATAAAAGGAAAAAGATGTGAGAACAGATCGTGAGCTTTTGGTGGACAAGTATCATGATCAAGGATTTCGGGGGTGACATGCGTGTCGTTGAATTAAGGTTCGAAGTAAAGTACATGTATGTACTCGTATTTCTCTGACGTTTGTGGACGCGACTGATATTGCATGCCATACAAAAATACGCCAAGCTCATGGTTTTGGGTGTATGCAATAATGGCCCAGTTCAAAAACGTCAGCGAAATACTAGTACTTGGCTCCGGGCCGGGCCGCGGGACTATATATAGCCACGTTCCTCGCCGACGATGTCTGTCTCGTGCCCAAATGCGAGAACATATTGGTCGGGTGTGTGCTTTCATCATATATAGCTTTCATCATAAGTACAACTTGGTTTAATACCTACATGTAGCTGTAGATGTGCGGGTGAGGTAAGATTTTGGTGGTGCAGGAAATTCCCGGCTCCGCTGCATGGTCAGTGCATGTTTTGCGGGCGTCTTCTAGTGCCTAGACTGGAAAACCGTCAATATATTTTAGTGCTAGTTCAAACAAAGGGTACTGATATCAGAATACATTTTTCTTTCTTTTCTTTTTTTTTTTAGATTTTCCGGTGAATTTACACCTCCTTTTAGAAATTCGAAGCTATATGAACGTAACATCAAAACTCCGGACAAGCCTTGGCCGGGAAATCGACTCCTCTCGAAAGTTTTATATATTCCAGAAAAACGCTTTAAGAATTCCATTTTCAATTCTGGGATTTCTTCTGTTCAAATTCATGTCATGCGCGCGTATATACGTGTACTGGTAGCTATAGAGGGGGGGGGGGGGCTTGATTAGTGCCGGATTTCTAGTTACATAGGAAACGAATTAACGTCGTGCACGCGTGGCGTACCAATTCGTACCGAGGTTATAAAGCCTGGACATAAGACAGCGATAACGTTAGTTGTAAGTCTCATAGTGAAACCTAAGGCCTCATGGGTAATAGACTCTTGACCAACTGGGCCAAGCCTGACAAAGGATGACTTCTAATCACATCCAGTCTGTTTGACAAATATCATGTGATTGCATTTAATATCAGTCTAGTTAGGCGAGCTTGAGGGTCGAAATATCGAATTAAACCAAATCTCACTCTAGGTAATCAAGTATTAATTATAGCATGCCCCTCAAAAAACCTTCAGATAATACTAGTTATAGCTGTATGGCGCGGAATTTACCAAGAGATTTCGCTGAGATTGGGGTGTATGGGATCGACAGGGCAATGGTAGGAATTGGAAGAAAAATACTAATCAATATCAATTAGTACACTAGATCGAGTGAGCAACTGTGCGCCAAGATTCATAGCTCGGCATTGTGGCGCATGCCGTCTGGACATGGTGGTATGACTAAATGGGACGAGCGGGATGATCGGAGGAAGCGTAGCTCAAGGCCGGCGGGAGTACGTCGTCGTGGCCGAAAGAGACAAACCGCGGTGTGAATTATCGCTCTATTTTGCCATCATCATCATCATCATCATAATCATCATTATCGTCATCATCACCATCATCATCATCGAACGAACCACCAATCAATCAATCGAATGACCTATGTAAATACCTTGGACTAGGTTTGTGGCTCAAGCTGTTCGCGTTTGTCAGTTCATCGAGATCATTTCGACGTATTAGAACGCCTGGAGAGTAACAGCATCCTTAACTTCCACTTTCCTGTGAAATGATACCCATAAGCTAATCAAACCCGATTTATACTACCCATCCCATAAGATAATTAGTCGTGGGTTTCTATCTATTAAGAAAATTGCAATGACTAGAGATTAAGGCTCTGTTCGGACGGACGTCAATACCATGGTATTCACCCCGAGTAGGAAGGTGTGTAAGTCAACGTAGTATTTGAGTGTTCGGATGGCCTAAATTATTGGTTTTGATACCATGACTACGCCACAAAATACCATGGTTTTAACAAATACCTCTAGAGGTGTTTATTTCCCGTTGTATGTCTCGTATCTTCATGCCTATACCCAACAATACCTCAGCTCCATCCGAACACTTTTATCTTTAGCGAATACTTGGCTTTATCTCAAAGGATAATACCATGCAACCGAATTTACCACATTATGGAATACCACGTCCGTCCGAACAGAGCTATATAAAACGTATTATCTCTCTTGGACAATCTCATATCTTTTATTGATGCCAACGCACAAAGAAATGTATAGGTTGAGTGAGGGTGAACTATAGCTATGAAGTACTCAAGGGAAGTATTATGAAATATCCAAATATAGAAAATGAAGAGATGACTGATAAGAATCAAGTGCTGATAGATCTGCAGACACGCAGTATATAGACAGAAAGAAATGTGTGCATAGTTACAAGAATGGGAAAGAAAAATGAAATCAAACCCGCGTCCAATCTAAATAAACCCTAAACGCCGAATCCCGATGCTCTATCACTGATCAAGAAGAAAGAAAATAACTTATAAACAAAGCAAAAATAAAATAATACAGCCATGACGGAATAGACGATTATATCCAGCCGTATGAGCCTCGGGACATATTGATCAACATCTGGCCGGTGGATGAGGTCCGCATATCTGCAGCAGAACGCGGCCTTCGGATGCCCATAGATTTATCGTGAAGTGAAACAACACCCGATGAGCGATTTGAGCATTCTATTCCGAGGAAGGTGGGATCAGATGAATGGCTCGATATTGGAGACAATCCTACTCCACTGTCTGGTCTGCTTCTCCAAAATCCTGCAGATGGAGTAGTCGGTGTTGCTGGCGTTGATCGTGTGAACCGGGAGTTACGACTCTCCCAGTATCCGGTCTCAGGGTTCCATACTGTCTCTGAAATTGACTGAGGTCGATCTCCATAATTTATATTATCCGGAGTAAGGGTATATGGTGGTGGAACCTGGAGGGTGGGGATCTCTGATCCAGTACCTCCTCCGTTATACCGCCAGCTTTCTTCTCGCCTCATCTCAGGAGAGTCACGATTCCCCTCTCTCCAAGTAAGTTCAAGCCTTTCTGTGAAAGATTTTACGTTAACAAACGCTAATAAATCAATATAGGCCGCGAATACTTACCAAAGTAAGCACGCCTTGCACTATCTTTCGACTTCTGCCTTGATTCATAGCAATCCATTCTCATAGTCATGATAACTTCCTAATTAAGATATAACCATCAGCCCATGCTAGTACTTGGCCGGTGAAAGAAGTTTAAAACATACTGGGGCAATCTGTTGATGAACTCTACATAGAAAGCCTTCTTTACCCTAACGGAACCATTAGAAATTTCTCATAAGACAGATATCCTAAATTTATAAAATGGAGTACACCTACATCATCCATGTGGACGCAGAATTTCCATTCAACGTCAGGCCCAACATATTTTGCAAAGTTCGCTTCAAACCATCGTGGTGTCATCCCCTCTCCGTAAATGAATTGATCTGTCGTCTTTTTCTTTCCTAGGTTTAAAAACATTATATATATATGTCGACTTGAGTTAAGTAGTGAGAGTGGTTGGGGTGTGTTGGGTTTATTGCCGTGGCCGTGGACTGATAGTTCGGTTTTGAGTACCTCGACGTTTCTTGCGGATTAGGGGTCATTATATTTCATCTAACGAACCATTACCTTGAGTAGCCCCCACCCGTCAACTCCACAAAAAGGATATGCATGTATCTCACTCCCTTGTGGTGACCCCATCTACCAGGGATAGCTTGTATACTTGACCTTTAGGTTGCCGGCAATAGGGTGAGGCTTAGGATTTGGCACAACCGGGGCGGAGTGGGCGATCCTAGAGTATCAAACCAGAATTAATTGCAACACGATTACCCCTTCCTTTCTTCGGTAAGTAATCTATCATCTCTACTAAGAATCGAACCGGCCAATGTTTACAAATTTGAAGGGTATAGCAGGTACATACATAGGACCTGTTTGGTTGTATGGGTGGAATAACTTGGCTGTCGCACCAGCTGCAGGATGGGGGCGTGGTCGTTCCGACTGGCACTTGCCAAGAGCTTGGATCCATACAAAATTCCAAACCACTACGGCATGGTACATACGTTCTGCACCATAGGGAACCAAGCTAAACTCTACGTGTCTACAGTTTAGACACTTTGAGCCTGTTGCCCTACAGAAATTATCCAGGGGTTTAACTTTCTTTTTCCCGTGAGACGTTATTGATAAATATTTACTTCATCAGGCTTCATAATTCGAGCAGCGGCAGCGGCAACGGAGGCGGCAAAGAAAGCGGCAATGTGTGCGGCAATAACAGCGGCAGAGAGAAGAAGTGGCTGAATTAGATCTATCCCTATGGTAAGGAGTTCTGTTTGTTTTTTCTTCGTTCACCTCTAGCTCTTGCATACGGATCTGAATTTCCAGTGCCTACCTGTCCACCGTGATATATCGATAGTCGCATGATTCGCATCGGTCAACAGAGTGCTAACAGGACCCAAGCAGTATGCATAGCCGGATTTCTTTTCTCAGATTCTCTTTATGCAATATGCGGCTACAGCTATGTTCCTTTGCATGCATAAGGGGTATAAATTGGGCGCTATTGAGCTATGCTCTACAATGTATGCCCTAGATCTTGGTATACTGAGCTAATGTAGCCAAGTGAACTCCAAACTTCGTACCGGGAAAACAGTCAGGGCCCGTGCGCTTGTCAGCACTACACTACAAGCACTCCTATCGGGAGCGACCCGGTGTTCTAGAAGTAATTGAAGGCACTGGCACCCCACAAACATACAACTATCGACGTCCCTTGTCTTGACATCACTCAAATCATCCATATATATTCCCAGATATGGCCAAAGAGACCGAAATACACTTTTGGTCTTGAAATGTCGGAATAATATCGGGGTAAATAGAGCAACCTCTACTCCGATCGATGAAAGTTCGAAATTCCAATAAAGAACTAACTACCGGCAGGGACTGTTTTACATGTTGTTTGAAAGGGTGAAGAGACCTTTGACCTCACATAGAGGACTCTATGTGCTAGCTGCCCCCACCTTTGATCGTTCTTTCCACATGTATATTGTACAGATTACCAGATATGCAAGGTTGAGTAATTGAATTGGGAAACTTTAATTCCCATGCAGATTATGAACTAACATATTTTACACAGGCTCTCAGAGGGTTTTCGCTCACCACTCTCTTATCTCACCACATATCAGCCGGTACCACCGTGGCATAGTTGTAGCTGATGCATACATAAGTTGACATACTTTTACTCTTCATATGTATATGGGACGCCCGGAATTGGTAAACAGACCTGAGGCATAGCAAAACACTGTTCCAGAAAAACCGTTGGATCCGAAGGAGCCTCCAACATAGGTCTATGAGCTTAAATTTCCATGCGCGAGCAAAGGATATACATGTAACGTGGCTTGGGGGAAGGCGCATGCATGGTGGCATAAAGCTAAACTTCTACTTTTGGTAATTCTTGGCAGCTAATTATGTCATCGTCTAACTAAGAATGTTAGGGCTAATGTGCCGAAATCAAATAGCTGTCTAAGAATAGTAACAAGGATGGTTGACCCTAACCCTGGAGCCTCATGAGTTGGACCGTGCCCACGAGGCTATGGCTTTTTAACCCGGTGTCGGTATTTATACATACGTATACGATGTAAACAAAGTTTTGAGCTTTGGCCATTATACATTGGACATAGTCTGGTACTATCAAGCCTTTCGCAGATCACAGATCAGTTGGGCCACATAAGCGGTGGATTCAAGGTGAGAGGTATGTGCAAAGCTCATGTGGCTATCCGCCTTGATCCGTTCGTTGGCTATGGACCCATCGACTCAGAATACGAGAGGTCGAAGAGGAGTAATACTGCTGCACATATTTACATCAAAAGTTCCTCTTTATCAATTCAAGCAGAGCTTTGGCCGGAAATTCAAATAAAATCCGGTGCTCGTTCTGAATAACATTCCTTTACCTCGAGGCACACAGTCAGGCACATCGGCTCAGGCAATGCCAGCACACAAACGCGTACTGAAGTCATGAGATCTTGAATAGTTACCTAGAAATTGCTGCTGATTGCTCCATCTGAGGCGGAATTTTCTTGTGAAATGTTCTCACTCTACCTCCGTGTAGGAAATATGCGCAGATAATCACTGTAAAGATACTCCCAGTCAACAGGATTGGATAGCAGAACTGCTGGGCAAGGTCTAGATCTATGCAGCTTGGTACACATGGACCACACTCAATCATTAGAACTAAATGTGTTTCAAAACATTGCCTGGACAGGAGAAAAGCCTCTTGATTTTGCACTGGGAGAATTCTCCTCTCGATCCTCTGCAGGCATTATATTAGTGTCAAAATCTTTAGACTCAATTTGCCAATTGAATTACTGTAGAAAGAAGCGGGGAGGGGTGCCATTACGGGGAGCGAGACAGCCCCGAGGGAAAAAAAACGGGGTCGATCCTAAGAAACAAATCATATATGCAAGGTATACGGTTTAGTTAGGAAGGGACGGGGCTATGGTAGAAGAGGGGTGCTATGGTTATGTTAATGATCGGCTTTTACAATGCAAAGAGTCGAATACGGGCGAATCTCCTACATATACGACCTTCCCCTGCCAACGCACCATAGAAATAATTTTTCTTTTCAAGATGTATGGTCACCTGTGACCTCCCCGGAGGTCTGTCTTAATTCTCAAGACCTAAAGAGACTATAGTGGGGGCGGATATCAGGTCCAATATGTTGAACAAGTACCAGGAGGGGTAGATACATAGACAAATACATGTGAGGTGACTGTAAATTCCGTTTTCGAAGCTTTGCCCGACAGATTTCGTCCTACCCTCTTTGTGTTTCTGCAAATCATTTCAACTGTTCTTTCTAGAACCCCGGTACCCTGCTGCTTGTCACAAACCGGAAGGAGACTATCGACTACTGGACACTACCGCGGTTAGTCGTGGTAGATAGCAATTTGATATCTGTTACCTGACATAGGATAGCTCCGATTTCAAACTCCTTTTATTTGAAACTTGGTAGCTTATGTCTGGATCTATCTCGAGGTATAACTAATGTCATAGAAACTGTTTTCATTCACGAGATCTAGAGTCAAGAGCCTAATTGGCTAGTTAGCTGCGCATGCAACTTATGCAGATTCTACCATTCGGAGACATGTAATACAACTTAGTCAGGAGAGGATTCCGGCTCTAGCAGAATCGTATCCCGAAGAAACACACAATCAGTATCGGTCACTATATCAGACAAGAAAAAGAGGACGTGGTAGTACTCGCTTTGCTTCTGGGAGTATGATCCGTGATTTCTAAAATCTGTGGGGTTTATACAGATACCTGACAAATGCAATTAATGAATTAAACAAAACAAAAAACAGATACCTGACAGCGGTGCCAACTCCAGCACAGACCTTGATCTACGTGACAAAAGGGCATCCATTAGCTAAGGATTCTGAGTAAGGATCTTTGATGTGTGATTTTACATAATGATAGGCTGCTTACTGGGTCTAAAAGTGGAGCTCTAAAGCACCTTGTCGGATTGGCTCGTTACCCGTCGGGCTCTATATGATCCCATTTCGGTAGGTCGAGGTATAAACTGTGGCTTTATAATTTAGTGGCTGTTTCGACTCCTAAATTGTTGGGGGATTCCCGTATCGGCTGCCGTCCTACCCTGCCAGAATATCGGTAATTCAGGACCGATCCTTTGCCGGTAGAAGGAGAATACTCTCAATTACAGGGGTGCCTAATTACCTGGGAAACCTCCATAATTGTATCGGACTGCCCATGGTATGGAAGTCACTACATCTTTCCGTAAGCTCTTTTAATTTTAGGGACCAAATATGTATCGAAGAATTCAAACAGACAGATTAAGAAGGGGGAATAGCTTAAACGCTCCAGAGAACGCGGCAAGTTTGGAGTCCTTCGGCGCAGCAAAAAAAAACCCCTGACTTCCGAAACACAACCGCAATCCTCCTCGAACAATCTCCCAGGACATCTACGTCTCGGCGCTCGTTAAGCGCGAAGGCGGACTACATATACAACAGCCGACCTACTCCAAGCACGCAGTGGCAATGCCCTGCTATGTATTACTAAAGGTAACTCCGTCTCTGAGCGCGGTAGGTTCCCGTCTAACTGCTCATGTCCCAAATTGATCGGGAATAGGCCGCCTTAACTCTTGTTTAAACATGTGAGGGGCCGCCGAGTATGAACTTCTATGAGCACACACGACATGCTGCTGGATGCCATCTCCTGGTTTAGAATACCATGTCCAAGCCCCATCTAATATCCTCTGGCCGCCAGTAGAGTATACTCAGTTGCATATACTACTGCACATCTCCGGCCATACAACCTCAGACCGGCCAAACGTCTACCAGTAATTAACCCTTTCAAAATTCTTCACGAACGGCGATAGGGGGGCTTTAAATTCGGTTTGCCGCCGGAAATGGGGAGTGGGAGTGCAGTGGGTCGGTCGTTGCGGATCACGCTGCAGGACAGCTGTAAGCCCCATCTTCACCGGAGCCCATGCCATGCATACATATCCTATTTCCGCCAAGTGATTAGCCCCTGCGGCTTGTTTGTCGCAGCGCTGATGAGGGCCTAGTTGGCGGAATATGTATATGTATGTGGCTAGCTGGTACTAGATGCCCAGATAAGCATAATTGTGTGGTTGGTGGCCGGGTTGTGGCGAAACTTGAGTCGGCGCCGGCGGGGGTGTGGATTGTGCAATATGCAGCAGCGAGTGGGGGGCCGGCCAGGGGGGTATCCAGTTGGTCCCATGCCGCCCGTGGCTTGGGGTAGGATTTTTATGAGTGACAGAAATGATGGGATTGTGGGGGCTGCGTTGGTAATAGAGACCTGGATGCGTTTGCATCGGACGGGAGTTCCCCGGGCACATCATGATTCGGATTCAAGGAGATTAATTTTTTTCTCCGTGGTTTTTAGAGGATGGATTATGAATTATATACACATCTATTCATGATTACATGGACTTTACGTGCATTTATGATAATACTACTGCAAGTAGCTCTTTACAGAGATTCCCAATCACTGCGCATGCTGGTTCTAATCTCATCCATGTTCACCCCCGTTCTTAATATCGATGGGTACTGCTCCCATATTCCGCATATTCATACATATACATGGCGCTTCCAACCTCAATGATAATTATATAAGCGGGCGGGAAAAGGTGCGCTGTGGCGTAGGATCGAGTGGATATGAAGACGGCGACGGAAGAATAAACGCATGGGCAAAGCGGCGGCTCTTCGAGGTCGTCAGAGTAAGGCAGAATGGTGAATAACGGTGGACGAGAACCTATGCATCAACGAGTGGGAGTGAGCGGCACCGGGGGCATAAAAGGCACTACGGCGAGCGGCATAGAGTAGGATCATGTACTATGAGGTGAGATTCAAAGATAGATGGTACGAGAATGAGAGTCTAGAGAGCTAGAGAACGATCAATAAGGCCGGGCCCAGAGTCACCTTTACCTTTCCTCCTCACACGGGGAGGTGGGCGTATATCTACGCGCGTGAGAGGGTGATGGTGTTGGCTAGAGGCGTGTCGACTTTTGGGACGAGTCGGCGGACATGAGGCGCGGTCGGACTCTCGTGAACATCTTGTCGGCTGTAGAGTGGTGGGGGCGGAAATCTAACTGTCTGTCCTGAAAAGCACGAATGTAACTACATGTATCAAATTGTTCGAGAACAAGTACGAGGATAGAGAGAGAACAAGAATTATGTATCTAAGCCGCGCGCGGTATAGGGCGGACAAAAATATATCTTGAAATTATAAGGATGAAAGATCTGTTTCCCCCACTACCGACGTAGCCGCCGGTGAAGAAGGCAGATGCCGGGGCTGGCAGAGCTGGTGCTGGTAGCGGGGTAGCAGACGAGGTAAGAGATTCTGCAAATACCGTCTTCTATCCTGGGAGGGCGTTGTTGGTTGACACTCTACTACACAAAACTTTGAATTGATCTAAACACGCTTCGCCTCGGGCTGAGTTGCCCAACTACATGTATGTGTCCTCAAAGTAACCTTAACTGGAATGTAATAAACATGCAATACAACCCGCTTACCATTTTCCTAAAACTCGCTATCTTCCACGTATACAGAACCTGCGCTGCTGTGTGGTTTTTCGTAATATTGCATTAGACCTGTTTCACAGGCCTGATTGCGGATGTTTCTCCCCTCGATGTACTTTACGAGTGATGATCTATGATCCGAGTGATTACTGATGATTCTCCAGCAGCCAAGTTACAATTTCTTTGGCTTCTCCTAATATTAGGAAAGAAAAGCGACAGTTTACACAAGTCTATGTGTCAGTGCAAAATAATCTGTGTACGAGTTGATCGAGGCGTTTCCCGGGGCGGTATTTAGTAATTTGGTGGCCTCTACATGTTTACGCCACAACAAACCCTGGAGCGCCTGGACGAGGATGAAGTATTATACAATCTTTTTTTGATGAGAGGTTTCACCCCTCAGTCGGCTAGCTTGATTTCTTGGGGATGTGTTTACGAGTGACATCTGATGATGCGGTGTATGGTAGTGGAGTGATTAATTCGTGAAAGAGGTTTTTGTGGATGTGCCAGAAGAATACATCTCTTAAAGCGCGATAAGATAGAACTTTCCCAAGATTTATGCGCGCGGATGTGCGTGTTGCGACCACGGAGGCGTTAGAGTGGCTAGCTAGATATACATGTACATATATGTATATAAATCTCAAATACATTCATGAATTTAAAAACATCCAATAATATAATTAAAGTCTTACTTGTTACTCCTACATTTACAATTCGCAATCCCAATACATCGTCTCCTCCGTCGAGACGTTTCCCCCAGTTCTGGCCACATACACACAATGTGGCCACTCCGTCTCGAGGAAAGCCGCGTACTCGTTTCGGAAACATTTTCCACGATATCTGGCCTTATGTCGTCTAGGTGTTCCAATGTGGCCTTTGAATTTCGCCGCCCTTGTTACCCTCTCGATTTCTTCGAGTTCGCTTAAGAGGCATTTTTTCCGCCTAAACCACTTCTTCTCTTTTCTTCTTTCCTTGGGGGCGGCGGCGGTGGTGATCGAGGCCCCTAATGTACAAGTAGTTGAGTTTTTCCCGAGTGTTTATCTATTTTGGAAAGTCTTCCTTCTTTCTCTACTTATCATTTTTGGTATCTTCTGCTGATGTGTCTTGTGTATTTTAGGGACTTGGATTTCCCGAGTATTCATATGGGCAAGTATTCCTTCCTTTCTTTTTGGTTTGTATTATACTGTCACTTTTCTAGTCCGTCGTAGGGATGTGTTTCTCCCGAGTTTTCAGATATATTGGAAGTCTTCCCATTTTACTTCTCATTTTCTGTTCTCTCTGATTTATCTTTTCTATTATAGGGATATGTGTCCTTTCCGAATTTTTATATCGAGAAGTCTTCCTATTCTTGATATTGTTTCCTTTGTTCTTTCTGATTTCCCTTGTAAATTATACACAGGGATCCACGATTTCTCAATGAATATATTGGAAAGTTTTCCTTCTCCTCTTCTTTCTTTATCCTTCTGATCTGTCTTATATATTCTAGGCATCTCAGGTGTCGTTCCCGATTCTTCATATCGGAAAGTCTTCCTCTTCTTTTCTTGATATCTTCTGATCCATCCCTTTCGCGAATTCTAGGAATCCTTGTTTTCGTCCCATCTATTTCTCTTATATATCATTTTCTTGACATGTTTCAATTTCCTTTCTTTTCACCGAAGAACCTGTTCTTCGTCATCTCTTATTGATTTTTTCCTATTTCCTATCTCTTTCATTTCTATTATCTCTGATTTCTCTGATTTACTTTTCATGTAAGGAACACTCTTTTTCCCACAGGGTTTTTTAATGAGGTTCCTGTTCGTCATCTGTCATTTCTGTCATTCTTATTTTCTTATTTTCCTTACACAACAACATTTCTGTTATATTTCTATTTCCCCCCTCATACCATTATCACGTTTTTATGGATCGCTCATTTATTATAGATGAGGTTCCTTTTTTCTTTTGTTTCTCATTTCTTTTATATTTCTATTTCCCCCCTCATACCATTATCACGTTTTTGTGGATCTCCCATCTATGATAGATGGGGTTCCTTTTTTTTTCCCTTCTGTTTTAAATTTCTTTTATATTTTCTATTTCCCCCCGCATACCATTATCATGTTTTTGTGGATCACCCGTCTATAAGAGATGGGGTTTCTAAAATTATCCTCTTATGAGCTTGTATTTCTGTTTGTCGGTTCGCTCTTTTCCCACGCATTGACCAGCGGGGTTTTTTAACGAGGTTCCGTTTTTTGTTGGTTAAGATGGAATACAAGTTCATTTCCGGCCAGATATGTGTGCGTTTTAGTCGTTATCAATGTGAATGTGAATGTGAATGTGAATGTGAATGTGAATGTGAATGTGAAGTTATCGGTAGACTATTTATGTAGCTGTCTGATCTATTGAGTTTAAATCCGATCTCTTTTTACTTTGATCTTTAGCAGCAAAAATGTGTTCTGTTGGCTGAATTTCATAATCGTAGACATGAATATCCCTGCGTATAGGTTGCGTGGACATAGCGAAAGACTTGAGCGTGACGGACAAGATCGAAGCTATCATCCTCGTTCGTGGGAAACGAATTGACTTGTACGTGTACAGTCCATTAATAGATATACACGTACACACATCTTGACAATTAACACCTCTCGACTCCTACCCGACCTTACGAAATATCACGCCTGCCCCCTCCTCTTGCGCTGCTAAGTCAACCCCCCCCCCCCCCACTATTGTAACTCTCACCGCCTTCAAAAACCTACCCAAAGCCCCCAAATCCACAACCTCGTCCGCCGCACCCGCCTCAGTATCAACACAGAATTAGCCCGTGAAAACACCGCCCCCACGAAGTCTCAACACAACTCGACGTCGTCTCTTAGCGCCAGTATAGTACATGCAGAGACTAGGTACCCCTTACTTGATCATGACCTGATCATGATGTAGCCTTGTTGCCTGTACCTCGTTTCTCAGGCATAAGGCTGACCGGTACGGCCCGATGGAGTAATCGGAGATGCAATGTGTTTAATTATGCATGAACTCGAATGAGCGCTCAAGACTAAGTTCAGGAAAGTTCACGGAGTAAGTGAACCCCCCTTGCCTTCGAGGTTTAGGTACGTTGGTATCGCGACGGTTTGGGGTGGTTGTCAGCTTGGTGTCCCTTACACTGTTAGGGCCGCCCTGCCAAGTATCGCATCTCAATTCTGTGGCTTGCGTGCGAAGTATCGCGTTGGCGGTACTGAAGTAATACATGGCGTGCTGACAACGGAGAGCTCTCCATTGCATGCAGTTGATTGTGTTGTGTATGTAGTTCAGATGCTGTTTCGAACCTTCTATGGCGCCCGGTCAAAGAACGGTATACTCCATGCGCATATGTACCACGACCTCGCCATATATGAGCAGAACTCAATATGCCAGATCCCTTGCTCAGGGAATTCTATTTTTTTTCCGTCCTGCAAAATCGGTTTGCTGTCTCGGCTTCCTAGCTTGGGAATATTTTGCGTACGAGGTTTCGGTGAATCGCTACCGTCCGGAATAGCGAGGTGCGAGATGTGTAACTAAACCCAGCTAGCTAGCTACTACATAAAGCTCATGTAACCAGCATCCATGATCGTGGGGAGAAGATGAAACTACCCTTATATATTATATACGTCGTTTTTTCGCTTTACTCTCGTCCTATTCACTGTCTTACAAGCAGCACATGCAACGGTCTTAGTAGTGGGGGTATTGGGTCTACTATTTGATGATGCTGGTACATACTAGTGCTGTTGTGCCCTAGTACGTGCTAGCCTCTACTGCGCCTATTGGTAGAAAGGGCGGATCCCCACGCATGGGGGAGGTTTAGTGTAGCCTTGAGTTTCAATATATGTACGAGGACCCAAAGGCATCGCACGTCCCATAAGATTGGATAACCGCTCTACTGGTATGGTACTGCTACTGTGCCATTGGTCATGTGTTATGTACGAAGCTGAAAGAGTGATTTTCGGGGTTTAGTGTTCGGGACTCTCTTACATGTGCCTAATGGTTTCCGGAAGCACCTTTCTTTTCTTTTCACTGCCTCCCATGTAGAAAAGAGGCACTTTGTAGCCTTCATGTGGTCCTACTGCCCTTGCTGATTTATTCAAAAACAAATCCTTGTGATGGAGCCTGGAAAACCCAATTGTGTGAAAAGATAATAAAAAATTTGCTCGTTTGCAATATGACAACGATACCCTCAATATTTCCAATTCCTAATCCATTCCCCCTACCTTAAACCAGTGCTTCTAGCCCTGTCTCCGGAGACTTTCAAAAGTAGCGCAACTACATCTTCATGCCCACCCTGACTCGCAAGCATCAATGGCGTGCTTCCTATACTGTCTTTCACGTCGATTTCCACCTGACCGGTTTTAATCAGCGCATCTACAACCGCCACATGTCCCTTCATAGCCGCTCTCAACAGCGGTGTACGACCCTTATTACATTTATGATCCACAGTAACACCCGGAGTCTTGCAGAGAAGTTCCACAACCTCTAAATGGCCGCGTCTCGCGGCCCAAGAGAGTGCCGATATTCCAAAGGAGTCACATGGGTTCACTTCGATTTCTGGAGTCTTGAGTAGACGCTTGACGACACCGACTCGTCCCTTTTGGGCCGCATAAAGGAGTGGGGTGTAGCCGTGTTTGTCGGTAGTATTGACATTGATGCCGGGTGTACATAGGTGCGCAGACGTGAGTAATACGTTACCTGTGAATGCTGCGTGGTGGAGAGCGACGGTGCCTTTTTGAGGTGCTGGAGTGCTTCGATGTGCGTATGCGGGGGGTGCAACTATATCTATTGCTGTAGACTCTCTGAAATTGTTCCCTTGTGGGATTTTCTCATCAGAGAAGCGGCTATTCCGTACTAAGTGTTAGCGAGAAGACCTTGGACTCGATTGGTAGATAGACGATGGTGCTGTGCAACCTTAAGGATGTTTCTTCGTAGGTGGGGATTTTCTCATCGTTGCTCGACTTGGAAGACCAGGCAATTCTCATTGCACGGGCTGTTCGTTTTATGCGGCTAAAGAATCCGAAACCCATCGTGTATTTCGAGGCTAAGTGTTCAAAGAAGGATTTATAGGTGGAATTTATAGTAGATTGTGGTATTAAGTATTGATGATAGTGGTGATGATATATAGGTAGGTTGTTTGAATCCTTTATTTTGGACATTGCTTGGAATTTATAAAAATTCATATTAAACAGTAGATCCCTGTCTACCGATATAGGCGGCATAATCCGATTAGAATGTGAGATGCATATGCATATCAAACAAATGATCTACTCATTGGTTCAGGTCTGTACGCATGTGTATGCAGGCGTGTTCGTAACTGTAACCACAATTCAGCAAGGCGCGAAAAATGCCCTACTATGAATTTTCAACTTATCAGTGTTCTCAAACTCAAGGCTGAAATTTTCAAACCCTAGGCGCTAAGTGCTCCTCCGACTTATCATTGAAGCGAAAACTCTGCACGTGACACTGTTAATCTCACACGAGTGCTGTTTGGTGATCCTTGGCGGAAGGCATTATTGGGAGAGGCAGAAAGCTGTAAGCAGCGACAGAAAAGTGGGCATATTTGTTAGACTAGCGGCTACCCAGCCCGACTTCCTTGTCGGCACCAAAAACAACACTGTTGGGATATGACTAGCAGGTGAGCTATGGTTTCACCTAGAGTTCGGGATCGGCGGTACCCTGCTTCGTTGACTGGACTCTCCAAGATCCGCAAAGTCTTCCGGGTCAAGAACGGGTAAATCCTTCTGTTATTGCGGTGATTACCACGTAGTGCCTCTTAAACCTGAGGTTGGGAGTCTCTTGATCAATTATAAGTTCCTCAGTGTTCGCAGTGATTTTTGCGGGGTGTTGCAACATCATTCGCGTCGGCGACGACGCGAAACGAATGATTCAACACGTTGCTATTCATTAATCCAATCACTACCAAAGACACAATCGGGGGCGGGGACGAATATTTATTGGCTTATCATAGTGTATAAACACAAAATGTCCTAAGACACGAACAATTCCCTTAGCCAAATGCTCAGTATTAAGTTGTGCCCCTGAACCCCATGCTACAGTCCTATAAGTCAAGTTTCGAACAATGCCGAAGCGCAGTATAAATGCCAAGAGGTGCCGGTATTACTCCGTGGTGCAGTTCGGAACCTCGCCTTCTAGCAGTCCCAGGCAGCAGTCCTATGCACGGAAAATTGAACATTCAGGATAAAATGGAGAAATTAAGCCACCGGCACGACACAACTAATCCCGAAGCTATCTCAAGGCGCGATGGTGTTTAAGGCTCAGATTCCCCAACAGACCTAAAAACACTGGATTGAAAATTTCAACAATAGACATCAATAATCTAAGCCAGATGGCTTTGAGTCCGAGGTACCCCAGGTAGAAGTGTCGAAGGTAAGTTCTTAGGCCCTTTGAGAACATCTCAGTGTGAACTGAACATATCAATACTTCGGTCCTAAATATAACATCGAATAGGTAATCTCTAGGTTCCTAGTCCGCTTCTTGACTGCCCCCTTTGTGGGCGAGATTGAAAGTGTTATGTATATCTTTTCAGTGCTGGCGAAGCTGAACTGTTCCGATACGGGAAGTAAAGGCTGTATGATACCATACTCAAATTGGTGTGACTAATTATTCTAATCAGTTAGCCTCCTGTACAGCTCTTGGGGTCCTCTTGTGAAAGGTGTCAACGTAATTTATCTATTTCGTTGAGAAATTACCATAGAAATCATGATAACCTACATCAACAAGTTACCCACTGCCACTTCCCTCATGAAGAGATTTCTACTAGATTACCGCTCATCAGACCGGTCTCCACTATAGTATCTTCTGATGTCAAGGCTTAGTAGCGAAGGAAAGGTTGATAATGGACGAGGTGGATTTTATGGCATTTTCCTAGCCCCGGTGAGGGCGGTAGGTTAATGCTACCACCGCCGCGTGCTATAGACCCAGACCCAATATTTTCAGTATTTAGAACGATGAATGGATTAGGGGGGGAGGGGCTTGGGAGGTAGACCTAGATACATTTTCCTACACTCAGACGTCTACCATGTCCAGTAAAGTTGAAGTAGCTGAAGCTCTCGATCGGATCCAGATCAGATGGTCCTGCGGAGATCCACCCTACTTCAAATATTTGCACATTAGCACTGAACAGGAACAGCAGGTTGCAGATTCGAAACGCCGGTCTGAATTGTAGTTGGATAGGTTAAAAGCAGGACGAGAAATTTGCATGTGAGAGAGCAGACAGGGACCGCAGTGGATATAGTGAAGCGGATAATTCAATGGACGGATAAGAAGTCAATACGTACAACCACGCGCGCGCGGATTTAAAGAATGTTAATGGGGATACGTATACCACCAGTAAAAAGTAAGCCTTGCTTTTGTACTCGTAAAAAAAAAAAAGAATAAGAATGAGAAAAGTTAAGCTAAAGGGAAACTAGCTCGGCCTAGTGTCTATTATATATTACATTCTTTGTGAATTTGGCTTTCATACATGGCATCATACATGGAGCAACATTTACATGTAACTAAATGATTTGTGAAATCTGTACATACTAGCAGCTCGCTTTGTTAACCAGCAGCTTTGAATGGCAGAAAATTGCCCATGACTATCGTCGTCTAATCACAGTCAACCGATCACGACGACGTTATAACTGGCATAATTCCACATATAGTACGCAAGTTATACTTTTAAATAGACTACTCTTTTGCTACATATAGATGTTGAACCATTCCTACTAATTGTAAAGCTTCTCTGGATGCACGAACATCCAATAGGAAATTGTGTTCCTAGAATCACAGGTGTGTAGCCTATAGCCTTAGGCTTTTGAAAAAAAAGCAAAATTCCACCGTGACTATCCCGAAACTGTCAATGCTTTTAGCATGCTCTAAAACTTAACTAAGTCTAGGATAAGGAACGCGAAGATCATATCCATCATACACTATCACTCGACATCAGATTGATAGTTCATGAAGCCAGGGCTTTGTTCGACGCGCTGTCACAGATTAAATATTACAGGGCTGATATAGTAATTTTTTGTGTTCCTTGGCAACATTGGTGAAGATGGGTGGTAAGTTCTTTGTTCCCCAAACGCCACAAAGCACGGCTACTCGAACAGAGGGTCTTCTTCGCTGAGTCCCATAAGTTCTGGATGATCCCAGTGTACCCTATTATTATTGACTTTTGATCGTCGAAATGCCGGTATTAAAGCACACGCATACCCCCGCTTCCCAGCAGGAGGTGAACTGCGTAAACTCCATCTGGGCCAATATTCGATATACCCTCTTCGGTGGCGATGATGGTCTCTGCACCACCGACCCTAAGACGACCTACTGCCTTCACATTATCGACATTGCTACAAATACGCAGAAAGGGGTGTGTATACCAAAGAAATCTTCACATACTGGGGATGGCGAGATGTTATTCCTCCATGCGAATGAAGAATACAGCACAACGATCCACCACCCAAACAACAAAATTAGTAGGAAAGAAGATATATATATCCTCGGTGACCAGGAAATCCTGATCGGCGGTGATGGAACTAGGACACCCGGCACCAAAACCCAGGAACTCTCAATTCAAACACGCTCCGATCTTCACCACCGGCGCGCCGCCGCCAGCGAAGAATCCACTCCTTCTGGAATTCCGATAGACCCGGTACCCCCCTCTGACGCCGAGCTGCCAACAGCGGCTATCGCAGGTGGAGTTGTGGTAGGAGTTCTTGTAATCGTCGCTCTCTGCTCTCTGGGTTTTGTTTGGCGCCGCCGCCAGAAAAAGAGAAACCAGCCAAAAGTCGACACACATGAGGGTAAGCCCGATGAGACGGAATTAGGGCTGGTAGTGTCCGCGTTTGGAGACCCTACACAGTTTACTAGCATTGAAGAGAGATTAGAGGAGGCAAGAACGGAAGGGAAGAATAAAGGGAAGGAGAACGGGTCAGCTGAAGCAGACATTAACGCGGGTGGAGCAGCTGTCGGTCGCGGAGGGCATAATGCAAGAGGTGTAGCGGAGGGGGTTAATCTAAGCGGGGCGAAAAGAGACGAGATGAGTGTGACAGCTTTGCCGGCGGAAAGCTCTAAACCAGAAGTATCCAAATCCGAAATACAGCCGGTCCGAGACTGAGATATCTAGGGCGAGTGATTATACATGAAGGAGGCTGGTTGGTAAATTTTTATATCTCCCACATGTACTTATACATATGTTTGGTTGCCCCACTAAAGCAAATAAAAGTGCAAGGTAAATCTTTTTGATTGAGTGGCTGCATCTATCCTTTTGCTATAACGAATTTGAATATGACAAGCTGCTTGAAACCCCCTGATCAACAAGACACACACTCATAATGACATCACCTTTAGGGGCATCAGCTTAGAGTAGACACCCACTTGAACCTTATTCTCATCCAACCCCTGCTGCACCCCTAGAAGGTTCTATATTCCCTTAACATATCTCTTAATTGTCTTCCCTCCACTCTTGTCTTCCCTTCACTCTCGTTTTTCCTCTACTCAGTCTTGTACCCATCCATCCCCTCTACCTCCGTTCCTACTCTATCCACCAACAATCGGTCCACTCTATCTCTTGTCAAATCTCATATATCAGCCACGGTTCTTCGTTGCAAAAAACAGCCTCTAAATCGGCCTTTGAATTCATCAATAATCCATTGACGCCTTTATGGGTAAATTTAAGGGCATTTGAAGAGTTTTGAATACATTCTTAATTCCAGCAAAGTGAATATTCATTCCAGAGTGAGTAATCTTTATTTTTTTTTTGTTTTCATACATTCGCGTCGATATGAAGAGGGAAGCCATCACTTCATTTGTTGCACCTAAGCGTACCAACCGCATCTCAAAGCAGAGAATAAAAGGGGAAAAAAGATAGTACGTATATGACTATACTTATCCAAAGATAAAGTCGAAATAAAAGGTAATAAAAAATAGAAATAAACAATGATAAAAGTCCCGAAAAGACATCACAATTTTTCGCCCTCCCCAACCCTTCAGTCTCAAAATTCGAAAAACGGACCCGGAAAATCCTTCAAAATCCCTCATCCCAAACCACTTCCTCAAATCCATCATCACTATCACTACTATCACCTGCCTCTGTTGCACTTTGGTCTCCTACTTCTGCATCGCTGCCCAATAAGCTCTCCGTCTCCACGTCAAACTGGACATCGTCTCCAGCCACCGTTCCGTTGTCGCTCTCTCCATCTCCCTCAGAGATTACACCAAAGCTCGAGAATCCAGACGTGCTGAATGATCCTATGCTTCCAGTTTCGGTTGCACAGTCGTCATATTCCTCTTCCTTCTCGTCCTCTTCGCTCTGGTCTCTTTTAGGTAAACCCGAGGACAATCCCCCCCTGATTTCGAGTTCCACCATTCTGCCCTCAGTTCTAATGTTATTATCGACTGTGTCCGCAGGAACTCCAGAGATATCCAAACCCCCTGCCCAGGCTGGACAAAAAGCCCACTCTTCTTCTCTCAGGCTCACGATCAATTGTCCATCGCCGGCCCAGAACGGATCAAAGCTGATAGGGATCTTCAGCTGCGTCGAACTCACTTTCATTAGATAAGCTTTAACCTCCCTTCTCAGCTGTTCTATGCTGAATGTAAGACTGGGGTCGTGTAAATGATGGCTCGTGTTAGGAATCTCCGTGTTAGGAACCCTCGTGTCTGGAACCCTCAAAGCTGAAAGTGGAAATCTCCAACAACCGGGCGTCCGACTCTCTTCAGTTGTTTTAGTTACTCCCGTTGTATGGGTCGTATGGGTCGTATGGGATGGTCTTTGAGCATTATGATCATTAACAACGCGGGCAACTACCGAGCCTGTTTTAGGATCGACCCAAGCAATGGGTTTAGGTTTCCAAGGTGCATATTCAGGATCAATCCAATTTGTGGTTGAAGCATCGGAGGGTAAGTTTTGGTGAGATTGAAAGGGCCTTGAGTCGGAGGTGGGGTCGAGGGTCATTGGTTCGTCAAAAGGGGGGGGAGCAGAACGAGCAGCCTTAAAATAGTACTGGTATTCGTCGTCGGTAGCATCCAAGATATCATAATCCCCTAAATGATACTTTTCGGATTGAGGGTTTTCTGGTTCATCCTCAATCGCTGTTTTCTTGCCTTTGCCTAGAAATGTTGAGGGTGGGGAGGAGGAAAGTCGAGGATCGAAATAGACACCAGAGATGTTGAACATTTCTGGTTCACCGGCTTCAGTATCACCCTGCCTAAAGAAACTGGCTTCGGTGATGTTTTCGTCTTCGTCGTCGCCAGGATCTCTTTCAACAGAACAACGGCGCTTTCTCATTGGATTCTCAACTTCAACTCGCCCTGGCCTGATATCAGGGAGGATAGTGGAGGAGTCAATGAACTCTGTTTCTTTACGGTGTGACTCAATCTCCTTCATATCTGTATATGACCCATCCAAGTCGGATAGTCTCATTTTGCGCTTCTCGCCGACCTTATCCGTATCTGGTGCGTGGAGTGTGTACGGCGGTGGCCCGTCGGGAAGATTGGTAGTTGAAAGCTCATGCCCATAGTTTTGTTCCGGTGATACGCTGTTCAAGGCAGAAGGATATGAAAACCCTGTGGTTGTGCCACTGCCCTCCGTGGGACCAGAGATCGGGGTTCGAGAAGAAGCCCAGACGGTATTTTGTGTGCTCCGCCTCTTGAAATTCTGCCACCGGGTTCTTGTCAAATTATTCTGCATTGAACTCATTACTCTGGCTTCTGCACGTTCGGGATTAGTTTCTACGGGCTCCTCCGCTTCTCGGCCCAAAGATAGCAAGCAGATTGCTGTCTCCACCTCAGAGTTCGTGGCCGGCCCGAAGTTCGTCCCCTGGGTGTCCTCATCGGGCAAATCTGTCTCCACCCTATGTAATGCAACCTTCCAGTGAGCTACAGCTCTTGCCACATCTAGAGATCCTATCCCATCTGTTGGAAAATTGAATAGTTGCTTCCAATACATTCTGCTGAATATTTGCTTGGGCTCTGGCATCATATCAAACATCGCTTTTTCCCATGGATTCATCCAATTTGGGTCCCCAGGATCTTCCGAGTACGCGAATAGAGTTTTGAGCTGAGCTTGAATCACAGCTCTGATAGCTTCATCTAACTCTGATGTGGCTCTGCGAAGCTTTGGGCCCTTCGCTTTAAGATTAACGGTAATCTTGTTGTACTCTGGAATAACCTTAGCGTTATCTAACCACGCCGTGCTATTGATATACGTATACAACCTCTCTAGCCTCCCCTGTAGGGACCTTTTCGCTGCAATGATACTCTCGCCCCACGGTTCCGCTTCGGGGGGTATACTCTCGTCAGAATTGAACACTCCCGCCTTCTCCACCTTTCCACCCATCAACTGCTTCCCCACCAGTATTGCAAACGCGTCACGAAATAGACCCGCGTTCTTCATCTCTGCAGCAGTCCGCAGTACGAATCCTGGGTATTGTTCGATGAAACATTCATTCTGGTAAATCCACGCCAGGATATGATCCTGCACTGCTGCTGTACATTCCATCTGCAAAGCAACTTTGTGAACTGTGTACCACATGGGCGTGGTGGAAATCTGTGGATCGAGACCATGGAGAATATGCAGCACCCTCTCAATAGCACCTGTGTGCCTAAATAATGAATATGCTGGCATCTTCGTCTTAACCTCCTCCGGCTGCGTTATAACCTTTTCTTCAGGCTGAGCCGTTTTCCCCTTGGTTTTCTTGAGAATGTCGTCACGAAGCGCCTCAAGATCACTCTCCATCTTGTCTGTGAGAGAAAGTGGTAAGTTGTCCAACGCACCCGATTTCTTGAGGTTGAACAGTGGAGAACCAAGCGGGGACTCATCCTCGATGTAATTGCCGTCGAGATTGCTTTCCCACCCCAGAATTTCATCCGGGCACCAAAAGCGCTCCACCGCATCCACTGCTTCTTCGCCCTCAATAGGCGGGGATAAGTCCACAACAAAGTTAATTCCTATGGGTAGGCCAAGCTTGTGGAGGTTTTTCCGACGCAGAATTCGAAACTGGTAGGTTGGACCGAGGACCCTTTCAAATACCGGTGAACCGGTCGCAAGAAGCCTCTGGGAGCTGCATCGAAGTGGAGGAGACTGCGAGTTTGATTGCACATAGATCAAGGTATCATTCTCGGGTGATTGGAGATTGAGGAGGGGTAGTCTGAGCCTTTGAGGTGGTTGGGGAGCGGAAGATGAGTGGGGAGCAGAAGATGAGTGGATGCGTGCTTTCTTCGAGATGTACAGGGAGTGTAAGTTCGAATTCCGTTGGATAGTCCGGTCGGTTTCTTCGTTAACGGGAGTAGATGGAGGCATTTTTCAGTCAGCCTGGGCGTAGAGGTATCCTCCTTGGTTTGTTGGCTTTAGCTCTGGTTTCGATACAGCGATGTTGATCATTGAGCAACTTGAACGAGCTTAACGGGAGGGGGAGCTGAAAACAGCTTAACAGTAAGGTAAGGGTGGAATTTGTTAGGCGGGAAAATGGAGGGAAGCCTTTATACATATGGGCTGAGTGCGAAAGGGCACGAGAGTTATGGTGGGGAGAGAGTCATCCATCACATCACTGATCTTGTGCAGGCCTGACATCCTGTGGTGGACGCCTTGCGGCGTTTGCGGTTCGTACTCTAGAAGCACACTCGCTCTGGTTGGATGATACTAGTGCCATGTTTACCTATCAGGGAAGGGGGATCAACCCGCTTTCAATGCTGGAAAGTTGAAGAAAATGGAACGCTTAAGGTAAATAAATACATAGAAACAAAACAGAATATGAAATCGAGTGTAGTGGAAGCTTGCTTTGACCGACCGTTAGAAGCTACAGTCACATTCTAGCGATAGCTCCTTCATACGGTATGTAGCTACCCTGGCTACCTGCCGGTACCTCTACTTTGTGTAATCCCCGCCTATGTTCAACGAGGCTCTGCGCGGGAGTACCCACCACGAACAGGTTTAGGACTCGGGTGGGCCAAAGTTTGCGCTCAAAGCTAGCCTTGGAGAGAGAAACAGAAACACGGTATCTAGAACCCTAATACTCTTACTATTTATTCTATGAGGATCATCCTATGAGTTAACATTTTTGAAGGATCACCTAAGCACCCAATACCTATGCGTATGGTGTGCCTAAAGACTCATACTCATGCGTTCATTAAATGGTCGGAATTCTTAGTAGGGATTTGGTTGCAACGATATCCGACCATTTAATGAACGCCCGAGTACATACTAGCATCAATGAATAATTGGAGGCCCGAATGTTTAGCTAAGTATAAGTACCTGCTCCTACCGCCGGGGATGATGAAGAATTCCCAATCCTATTATGGTAATGTACCTACATTCTGGTTGGTTTGTGCAGGCTGGTTGGACATAAACTTCTCGTTCCCATTTGCGGCTCATGCTTTTGCTGGTTGCATCGGACCCAGTGTCCACCGGCGTAGAGTACGTATTTAGTAATCCATGCTTCTCATATCCCCCAGTTTAAAACTTTTGAGGGTGTGTTTGTTAATATTTCTATTGGTGCCTGCTAGGGGAAGTAAAACTTAGATCGTAGTCAACTGCACCACTCGCAAGGCATTATGAACACACCAAAACTAGTGCAACATCAGCTTTTTCTTTACCCTTCTGACATTGGAAGCTGAATACCTGTGTTCCATATAGAATTGAGGATGATCTATGTGGGCTTCTATGTGAGGAGACGGATCTAAAGAAAGCAAAACGTGGATTAATAGATATTATATATAACATCTCTTACGGTCTTTGAGTGTAGTTATCATAGGTATGTGATTGAGTTGTGTAGGGACAGTACCGGAGTTGCTTTGGGTACTAATTCTTAGTGTTTGCCCAACAAAGACGCTATACCTACTATAGAAGTAAATAATGCCTACACCATCCTAGTATCTTATCTGATTTAGCTTATCAATAACATCAATTAAAAATCTAACTAACTAAATCCCTACATAACAGACAGAGAAGGGGCCAGAACGCATATTGTTGCTCTCGGATAAGGTGCATAGTACATATATGTACAGCCGCATTTGAAAAGTATTGGCACCTCCGAGCCAAACTCACGAGGCAGTCCTTTCTGCTTTTCAATTCTCATATTCGAGACAATTGCCAGAGAGAGCTGCAATGTCTCTATTGCGGTCATACCTATCAATAAGTTGAGTATGCGCGAGTGCCATGGTTTTTGGTGGGCCACAATTCATGAACGACTCAATATAGTAGGGTGCCAGTACTTTTCGAATGCGGCTGTACTCATCCTCAATATCCATCAGCCGAGGCTCGAGCCCCGAAACCTTATGGTATCTGTCATATTCCTACCGTAAAAACTATCTTCCGATAGTGGTGCTCTCAATATTCCATTATATCATCCCAACCCCAGTCCGAGTTTAGTCTACCGGGCTTCGCTCTACCCATTAGCCACTATAATGAAACCAAAAGCAGCATCAAACGAAAATATCATTTTTACTGGGCTACAGAGTTTCGTGTCAAGCTCTTTGCGGCAGGCACGATACATCATCGTTCTAATTTTCAGGTGCTTCATCATGGCCATGTATTATGTCCTGGGCTCATCCAACCGGTTGAAGGCTACGGCAAGGAAGTTTTGAAAAAGAGACATTTCTATGGTTACAATTGGCAATTCGGCAGCAGAAGTAATTACTTACCATAATAATCATGACGAATGATAAATTGCGTTCCTGGACGAGATTGGCAGCTGAATCTCTTGCGACCACCGATATTTCTCCACTTCTTTGAAGAGGTCGAATACAGAGCTTTACTCACCAAATGGAGATGGGAACGAATCATGGATTGCTTAAGATACCATATTGATCAATCCCGAGCATTGTCCAAGGAATGGGTGTGGTTTCCTGGAGTGGTATGGCAAAACTTGGAAATTATATCCAACGAGTAAATTTCTCCCTTACTCTGATAATAGATATTTCTAGCTTCTTCGTCAATCATTATTTTTGTTAACGTCGGCGTGTAAGAATCCAATAACTACAAATAACAGGTATTTCTAATAGAATTGATATTCCTCCAAACAGAGACACAAACACCAGAATAAATTGTCGTCTCATGTATGTGCCCCCTCCCCCAAACGTCCACTTGGAATACCTCCTGATATTTAGTTGACAGAAACCTAAATCGAAGAAATGAAGACAACATGGATCTCTCTTAACTGAGTTCCCTGCCATCAAAGGCCATAGAAGCACCGCCAACGCCAACCCTCCAACTTACTATCCTCGCCTGTGCTCAGTAATATTAGTTATTAGCACGGATCGATCTACAGAATTATAGAATATAAGATTGTATTCAATATATATACCTTCCAGTTCTCGTAGTCGAAAGAAACCCAACCGACTAGCTTTAAGCAGGTCTGTTAGGTCTAGTGTTCCTGCGGCCGCTCTGATGAATCTGGTGCCGAGAGTTGTTGACGACACCCAGGTGTTCTTGGGTTCTGGCTCTTGCTCTCGAAGTGCTAGGAGACAACCCACGTCTCTCTTATTATGAGGAAGTCAATTGACGGTAATGATGTACATATCACACCATGGCCAAGACCGATAATCTGTATGTGTCGATTTTAAGCAATCTCATAACGTTGGTGTAATAGATTCAACTCTAAATCGCCGCCTAAATTTCGGATGAAGATTGGTAGAGGAATCGCAGGGACATCTACGCCTCCCTGGCGATGTTCGGCCCCACGGATAAAACTTAAGGTTATGTCCTAGATGAAGGGTATCAGCGACAGCTAAGACAATTAGTGTCAAAAGATTGATTTCAACTTACTCTGCAAACCTTCGAATCTTCTATCCCCGCGTCAGAGAATCTCAACTAAGCAACCCACCCTCAATTCCCTTTTGGGCGAATAGAGGGAATTGAAAACAGCTGTGCCCGTTGAACGTCAGTATTGGATCATCATCATAGTGGGTGGGCATGTCTCACGAGTATTATAATACTCAAGGCGGGAGAGCCAAAGATTTCAGTCTCTCTCCGACGCTCTGGGACTATTTATCAACTAATATAACTATGAGTCAGGAGTTACGTTAGTTAAACCCATAAGAGATAAGTCAGAAAACCCAGAAAGTTACCTCAATACTCAAGGCAACGTCATGTCTCTCTTATTTGATATTGCATATGAGCGGAAATCTCAATTCCGCACCGAGACCATACAGGGGACAATTGCTCGCTTGTCCTAGATCCTAATAGTCCCTTTTCTAGATGGAGAATAGTCGTGCTCCTTCAGACGAGGAATTGAAAGGCTGGGAGGCATTCCTAAAGACGAGGAATGATTGTCGACGATGACAAATTTAAAACAGGATTTGATAGATCGTAAGTGTGCGCATGCAATGGATGATAGGTCCTCGGCATCGAGAGACGGAATATTCAAATTCGGGAAGGGCGGTCTTAGTGTAGCCATCGGATTAGCTAATTCTTTTATGCACAAAGACTTGTTACACACGCTGTGAGGTCTCCCCTATACCAATACGTACATGTACGGATTTTCACCCTTCGGGGTGTATTCTCTGTTTTATGATCATTTTTGGCTTGCTTATGACCACATATCTAATTAAGCCTATCTCCACCCGAGCTGGTCAATAAATTCTCCTTCGAAACGCTTTATTTACAGCTTCTAAAAGGACTATATAATATGCACTACTCCTACATACATATATATCCCATGTTATACGCTTTAGAAAATAATGACCTATCTCTTACATGTAGTATCAAGCCAGAGCGTCGTCATCACATCTAGACATCTTCGATCCCTGCTTTTCCCGAATATCCACTATAGAAGGATTATTTATCGCACTCTCAGATCATTCCCACGCTTAAACTTGATTTTGACGTTCCAAAATCATTTGTCCCCCATTATAGTTCAAAATATATCAAAAGCTATATCATTTTGGTATGTATGTTCGCGTCGGGGCCGAGGGCTTGATAAAAGTTGAGAGGGTCTAGAGGCTTCTGATCCTCAAGAACCATGAATCTGCGGCGAACCTTCCCAACCCCCCGGGCCTTTTTCAATAGCAGGCTAGATATTTCTGTGGTTTGCTTATGGAGTTATGAAAGGTGCAGTGCCAATCGGTACCTATAATAATACGGAAGTGATGGAGGCCCGCTGGCGAGGTGCAGTGGGGATTTCGAGTCCAGGAACGCCGGAGATAGATTGTTTGAAGAGCCTAGTGGATTCTGCCATATTTACGAGTTTGATTCCTAGATTAAGGCATGTTTGCACAAACACTATACATAAAGACACCCGGCCGGTGAGAAATATTCCTGTAGCTGACATTGCTTTGTGAGATAGTCTTATGAAGAATATTAAAGACTGTTGGGATGGGGCCGAGAATCAAGGGATGAGTTTGAAAAGCGCGAAGAGCTAGAGGATGTTGCCTTAATATGCCCATTCTAATGTAGCATGCCGAGAACAGCACAAAAAACAAGGCTTACCTTAGCCAAAACAAGGTCTTCTCAGTCACCACACGATAAGTGATTTATTGTAATATTACGGCTCATTTCCCCCTCTTCTCCATGATCACACACAGTGCGGAGCCGATATCTTGCTGTTCGCGACTCTAGGCCACAGTATATTAAAGCGAGTGATCTCTTGAGAGAAACTAAATGGGTTGGTTTTGCAGATAACGATAAGATCCCGATTTTAGCGTGGCCAAGGTCAAAGCGGCCAAAAAATCTGTTCAAGCCTAGGGCTTAGGGTACGCACAACCCCGCCTGCTTTAAAAGATTTTTTGCACAACACCCATCGCAAACACTTTTCCCCCACAGATCTGTCACCCACACCAACATCATGCATCAATGTTCATCAATTGGACCGCCTCCATCCTCAATTCTCCTCGAGAAAGGTAAGCTTCATCCATTCTCCTTTGTTCATCATCCCGCCTGCCCTGTCCCGTACGGTAGGATGATGAAGACATAAAACAATTTCTACTTCTGAGTTACTCGATGAAGTCTAAAATTTTATGCGTTATGGTTCCTGAACTACCGCTTTCTTATGTCTTTGAAACACCAATGACATTAATGTGACGAGAAGATCATGGCTAACGGTCTTTCCTTTAGAATCTCGCTGCTTTCTCTATCAAGAACGCACGACAAGATCCCTACCCCCCGCTATGAAATAAATTGTGAGTACACTCCATATCGTCAACCCCACTTCCATTCATTGCCTCATTCCGCTTGCTCACATTTGTGTGATGAACATAAAATTTAATCTTATCTACATTGTCTGAAATTATTTGAAGACATCATTGCAGCCTCTGACTCCAAATGATACCCTTCACACTTGTTTCCTCGTGTTCAATGCGTCAATAATCGTTACTAATATTACCTCATTGAAGATCTAGGTATGTGCCCACCACATTGAGCGAAGGTGCACGCTTCGGACGCATCATCGGTACTTCACATCTTGGTCGGTGTACGAAGTCTGGACTGTATCGGGGTGTCGTCCGAACACCTTCGCTCATACCCCTTTCCTTCCCCTTCCCCCAGTTGGCCTGTCCCGAAGAAAAAAAGAACCTCTCCATATCTGCCCCTACTGTTGTCATCAGGCTTTAGGGTTCCTGGAAGAGAGGAAGATTACCCTCCATGTGTGCGACTCACAAGTCAATCATTCGTAAATCGTGTTGTCGTGGGCATGGGGCGTGGTGTGCTCTGTTGAGAAAACTGTCCCGCTTCTCTATAGCGGTGCCGGTGGTTATACGTGTACTACATTCTTTCATTTGCGAGCTTTCTTTTTCTGCCATTGGTAGAAACCGGATTCTGGCTGTTGTCCCTTTATGGTATGTTTCTTCTTCTCCCTTTTTTTTCCTCTCACATCATACACTCTTCAATGCTTTCCTTCCTTGCGTACAATGATGATCTTTTACTTCTTCACTTTCAGACTTTTTAAAGGGATGGTGAACAAACGACATATCAAGCTCAACAGTCTGACATTACGCCTTCATACCCAAATTTTCTCTTCCCTCATATCCCAACACAATTAAAATGCATGGGGCTAACATTTCAATCAGTTATCAGTATAGGATGTAGCTCTACACTTTTGATCATCGGAAGAGGACTGCTCTTCCGGGAGGCAGTCCTTCCCCTCAAACAACAGGTAAGCTTAACAGAATTTTTTTACCCTACGCATTTTCTTTCCCCTCCCACGTTGTCGAAATGATGAACGTTTAATAGCATGTATTACCTTAGATGATGACAATGTACAAAATGTCGTCCTCATTGATGTGAAATATGAATTCCTCGAACTGATCTTCACAACATACCCATCAATTGTTTAATTCGAAGCTGCCAGTCTATTTTGGATGAAAGCTAATTTTCTTGAAGGATACGTATAGGTTCCTGTTCACCGGGGTACGGCATTGATTGGACTAGCCGTCAATGCCTACCGATATCCATAGAAATAATAAAAAGAAATTCAAAATATATGATCCAAGAACGTGACTTAATGTGATGAAGACTTGAGCTTAGAAAATCGGACCTTTGCGAATTGCTACCGCTAACCGAAAGGAAGGTGCCCTCAACTAAACTCCATCAACAGTGCTTCTTCTCCTGCCCGCTGTAATCACTCCTGATGAGTCCCATTACCTTCATCTAATCGTGCCCATAAAACAAGCTGAGTCCGCACTCCATGGCAATCCAGGGCCCACCACAACCCAGTGGAAGTGGACCCTGCCCGGAAATCGTAGACCCGAACAAGCACCATCCGCGGTACCCAGCCTATCATCCGTCAACCAAACCAAATCTCCCAGGTTATCCCCAGGCGCACATTGCATAACTCGCACAACTATTACTCTCTGCACGCACACCCGAGAAGGATTGCGCGCCGACGCACCCGACATCCGAAAATTCTCTGCATGAAACGGCGCGGGGTTAGGGTTGAGCTCCACCCACCCACCACACCAACTCACGATAGGTCCTCGCAATCTAGGGGAAGCGTGCGAGACATAACAGACAACACCACACCTTCTCTCTCTCACGACCTCCCCCCATACTCGCAGTCAAAGCCCTGAGCGCCATAACCCACGAACTCGAACAGAAGGCTGCCAAAAAAGATCCCAGGATCTACCCGGATCCCAGCTTATCCACCTACTTACGTCGAGCCGTGCCTCTTATCAGCTTCCTCCCCGCGCCCTGAACTGCGCCGCTGTGCCACACCACAACCACAACCACAATGAACCTCCTCCACCACCTCCACCACCACCGCCGTCCTCTCACCATACCACTCCTCCTCCTCTCCCTCCTCCTCCTCTCCCCCCACCCCGCCCACGCCTCCGCACCCGCCATCGACCCAACCACAACCCCCGGCTTCGCCTCCCTCGACACCTGCATCCAGCTCTGCTTCACGGGCGGCTCCCACCTCAGCGCCCACAGCTTCGGCGCGCGCATCGGCTGCGCCACAAAGGCGTGTGTGTGCGATGCGGAGGCCGCCGCTGCCGTAGAGGAGTATATGGAGACGTGTGAGAGCGTGAGCTGCGCGAAGCCACGGCGGCTGGAGTGGTGGAAGCGGGGCGCGTGGAAGAAGATCTTTGCGAGGTATTGTGAGGGGGTGTGGGGGAGTGAGGTGGAGGTTGAGGGGGGGTGGAGGGGTGGTAGTGTGCCGGTTGGGGAGTTGGGGATTGGGGAGTTATGGGGAGTGGGCTGGAACGGGGCTATATACATATAGCTAACCAGCCTTTTCTTTTTTACTTTTTTGAGGTGCTGAGGTGTGGCTTAGTTTTGCCTTGCCTTGCGTAATGGGCGTTTGGTGTTTTCTTCTTCCTTTCTTTTTTTTCTTTTTTGCTTAGTAGGAGCCGGAGCAGAGTAGTGCCTTTCTTCCTTTCTCTTTCTTCCCTAATTTCTTGGGGCTGACCCCTTTGATATCCACCCATTTCTCTTCTACACTTCTACTTCTCTTTATTAATCACTACATACACCTACATGTATGCGTATACCCACTGAGTTGTTTCATTCTGTATGTATTTTATGTATTTATGCTTGTCAAATAATGGAGCTCTTTTTTTGTTGTTGCGTTTGCGGGTGTTGAATGCTGAATTGGATGCGAGAATATATTCTTTTCGTCTAGCTAGTGCTTGGATGGATATCGTACGTACAAGGCTAATACTGGCCTGTCTAAGTAAACTAGTAATGCATAGAATATCACTCGTGAGTAATATCTTGGATCATTTCCTCTACTTGTAACTTTCAACCCACCGATCTGAGAACTGTCGTATTTCCATAGTGACACATCTCTGATTTGTATAACACCTCTTTTCTTTTTTTGGTACATGTTATATAACATGGAAAAACACATCAACGATTTCATAGTAAAGCCCGTGTAGAATTCACACAGTTTCCAATCTCACGTGAATTAAAGACTTTGTTTACAGCAAAACATAAAGCACTTTTATTCGAGTGATGGCCGGTGATCCCCACACCATCTAACTCTAAGCAACGACTCTCCAGGAAATGAAACCACATCTTCTATACGAAGGAATAGAACACTCAAAGCAGAACTTTTATCCTCCCCCCCCACCACCCACTACTCCTAACTTTTGATCAGTCGCTATTAGCCACTCCCTCCTTCTTTCCCATGCCTCTCTTTTTGTTTTTGTTCCTCTTTCCATTGGGTCCAGAACCAGCAGCTGCACTTTGGCCTGCGCCGGCCATGTCTCCCTCAGCTCTTCCGTGTGGCTGAGAATGATATGGCGACAAGACGCCGATGACCAAAGGAGGACGTGCTTGGAACTGACTACCCGCGCCTCCAATGAAAGACATGTCGACGGAATTAGTTGTGGACGGTGCCTTAGAACTAAGTTCCTCAATTGTAGACAAGTATTGCTCAGGTGAGTATGAGTTCTTAACAGTTAGAGCATTAACCTCAGAAGTGATCTGCGATACCCCATGGTGTCCCTGACCAGATGGGAGAGAAGGTTCTTCATCAGATGCCTCGCGCGCCTCAGAGGGGACATCCGAAATGTCACCATCTTCTACCCAAGACTGCCATCTCTGTAAAATTTCCTGTTCCCCATCCGAAGACAGACCAAGTACAGCATGTGAGTACGGTGAAGCTTGCCCGCTCCCAGAATCTCCAAATTCGGGCAAGGAGTTAGATTCCGGTGTGCGAACGCTGCCATTTGCACTAATGCCATCGAGAATGTCCCAGTCAATTGGAGTCTGAGCATCAAAAGATCCGTTAACCACGATAGATTCTTCAAAAGCGCTGCTGGATTCAGAGCTTTCTTTATTGCTAGTCGAGGTTGAATTACTCCTGGTTGGCTTGTCTTGTGCCTCACTTTCCGCACTTTTTCCCTGAATGATAGTATTCCTCAGACTAGTAATATTACTCAGGCCAATATTATTCTCCGGGCTAAGATGCCCCTTCTGGCCGAAAGGTACTGAAACAATTGGTCTTTTTTTGAACGAGAACTGCGTATTACAGCTGCTCGAACTTTCAGCAACTTCAGATACGTTGGAAGCCCGGGCTTTGCTGATTAACGTCTTCATCTTAGCTGGTCCTCTACATTCAACCGTATTAGCCTGTTGGGGCGGTGAAGGATCAATTCCTAGTTTCTTTGAAGACTCAACCTCCTTAGAGGTAGTAGCTTGAGAAGTCGGTTCCAAGTCTGAGTCCATTGTAAATACACATCCATAGCTCTCAGGAATCTGTGATGGTGGTGACAGGGCCGTGCATGAATCACTGATTGGGCGGAATATAGCTTTCGCTGATTCAGAAGGTGCGGTCTCCCATTCTGTATTTTCACGCTCCTGCTTATCCATAGACTTCTCAGTTTTAGGGAGCGATTCCTCTTCCTCTTCAGAAAAACTTCTCGGGCGTGGAGGCGGGCTAATGCCTCGAAACCTTGCGCGATTTTGTAGAAGAATTGCGTTATAGTTCTCAGTAGTCCTTACTCCGTCCAAATGAGTCGTAGATGGCGAGGACGTTGGTGCATTTAGAGGCGAATCTTGCAACTCGGGGGTAGAAACGAACGGAGAGAGAGTCTGAGAACTAGCATGTTCATCAAGTAAGTTGTGGCGGTCGGCATCATCCCTTCCAAACACGACCCCAGATACATGTTGCTTGACATTGTCCAGGTTGTACTATCATTCGATATAGTCAGTATAGTTCATATAAACCACAAAACGATTTTATGTAGACTGGTTATGAGTGGTTCAACATACTCCTGTTAATCCAACACCTGTCGTCACTAAAGCTAATGCTGCCGCAATTATTGCTACCATGAGCATAACACTCCAATGACCACCCAACGCCCGCAAGAAGTATTCTGGCGAAGTCTCTGGGGGTAGTACGTTCATCATATATGCCTGCATAGACCGTTTCACAGCCCCTGCAGCCAGTTCTCCAAGTGCATTTGAGGTTGTAAGTAATGCTATAGACATACCAACATCACTATGCGTCTTGCAAGAGGCTTGCACACCAACCAAGAGGCTGGTCCATACAATACCAGCCCCAAACCCGGTAATGGCTTGGGACATGAAAATTTGAAAGGTTTGAATCTCATAGACATCGGTGGATTGAAAGATCTGCGAAGATTTTAATTAGATCGATTTGAAAGAAAACAAAAACAGGGGAAAGGTGTACCTACCAAAAGACCACAAATCATAAGAAACAACCCACCGACCACAAAACCCTTGTAAGTACGGCTCAAACGAATGAGTAACCCCACAAAGAAACCGCCTACCATGAAGGAGGTAAACTGGACCTATAAAATTGTTAGAAACCCACTGACATATTTTTGAATACAAGGGAAAACATGCATTCATAAGGGCGTAACCTCCTTGTAACGATTCAATAATCATTCTATATGAAATAGGTAAAGTCTCCAGTCGATCCCAGAGGGACCAAGACCCGATCTTCATGGCAAAGCTCGTCAAAAACCCAACCATACAACCCAAGGGAAGTGTAAACGTTGTTAACAGCCTTTCCCGGAAGAGAGGGTGACATTTCTCTCTATAACTATTGTAAAACTTTCTCCAGGTTTTGAGCTTCCCTTGATCCTGCGATTCGGCAACCCTCACAGATAACTCTGCCGCGGCTTGTTCCATTGAGATTGAATTGTATCCGACAGGTGCAGCGGGCCCCATCATCATTACACGTTCCCCTGGAAGAGCGCCCCATGTAACTCTAGGAGCACGTCTTGCCTGTCTCCGTGCTTTATGTGTTGTCTTCAAACCCTTGTTAAGCCATAGTTCCCAAAGGGCGAGTAACATGATAAATGAACACCCAGCAATGACCAGCGCAACCACCCGCATTCCGATGCCGATTTGCATCTTCTCAGACATTGATAATGTCGTAGCTAAAGGGCCCATACCTAAGGACCATAGGAACATCCCTAAAAGATCCAGCTCGCAACTTAGCAAGCTAAGCCTTCTCCATAATCCTTTCGGACTCCACCAGATATGGTTATAAACATGGTTTGATGCTGGGAAAAAACCACCATGTTTTGCCCGGCGGTAAAAGATATATGTAGTAACAATGGGCGGAATCATGACCGGTATTGAAAAACTGAAGAAAATCCAGATGGGAACATTCCTATATGAGTAACACACCTTAGTAACTTAAATATTTTTTAAATAGTAGGTCAGTTCAAGTGTAGGAGAAACCAGTCTTACCATTCAACCTTTCCAACAATATATTTTGCCACAGTCGGTGCTGACCAAACCCAGAGAATTGAACTCATCTCCAGACCCCAAAGATATATGCCTCTCCAGCTCAGGTCGCTAGTATCAGCAACAATAACTTGGGATACCAGTAAAATTCCTGATCTCCCTAGGTGGAACAATGCAGTACCCGCGCTGAAGGACTCCCAAGTCACAGCAAATGCAGCCAGTCCCATTCCTCCGCAAGCAACTAGTGAAGCAACTAAGAGGGCGAGAGGGCGAGATTGGGTATTCGTGAGCTTAGCAACTACATTTTTTTTTAATTATCGGCATACTACTTGAGTCAATTGATAATAGAGGAGTCGGAAGAAAAAAACTCACAGATAATGATCCCAATGATTTTGGATACATCCAACATTGATAACGCCAACTCATATTGGTAGAATCTTACTTCTCCTCTCATTGCAAAATCATGGAGTGCTTCATTAATGATCAAGACCGAATTGGTCGATCCAAAGCTGAAGTAGCTGGCAGGAATGACGAGACTGAGATGGAAAATAGACTGTTAGTAATTGATCATCAGAAATGAGTGAAGGGAAATATTAGCAGCTCACCAAATATAACATGCCATCAAATCAGTTCTTTTCCAATTCCTCGAGACTGCTCTTGCCTTTCTTGTACCAATGTCTTCGTCCGATTCTCCAGGTTCTTCATGGTGTGCCGCATTGGCTCGAAGCTCTTCCATCCTCCGATGAGGTGCGGAGAAGGCGTGAATAGTACGGTCCTTGAGATCACTTACTTCGGACCTGATATAATTCTTCACCTTATGGTGCCACGGCGCTTTGCGAACAAGCTCCCTTGCAGCACCACCAGTGGGAACAACAGCCTGTACGCCGAAAGGATCTGGACGAAATATTGGGTTCATCACCACACTGTGAATACCGATATCTTGAGGAGCAAGCGGAGAAAGAGCGGGCAAGGGGGTGGCAGGGAAAGAGGGTGCAGACAAGGTAGGGGCAGGCAAAGGAGGAGGGCGTGGAGTAGGAGTAATAGAAAGGGATTGGAAGGAGTGGATGGAGTTCAAATGACCGGACTTCTTGTTACCCCTCGATGATTTTGATGCCTTCATCGTAGCAGCAGCCATTTTTGACAAATTTTCCATGATACGGCAGCAGATAGCTGGATCCTATCACTGTCGACAATATCAAGGGATATCAATGATAAAAAGTCGAGATGGTTCAGAGCTTATCAATGATCAAAGATCAAGAAGAGGAAGTCCGCGTAAGTTTGACGAGAGGTGGCTGAAGAAAAAGGTTAAGTTACCGGGGGAGAGAGTAGTACTCCCTCCTCGACAACCTTATTTCTCAGGCACTAGCTCCAGTGTTACCCAAACAGCCGAAACAGCACTAGTAATATCTCAATTTGTTTTACTATAAACCTTTCACTAAAGTACCCTGCCAGCCTTCTCCCGCACTACTGGGCCGTACCGGTTTACCAAGTTGGTCTGTGTACTTGTACCACCTCTCCCGAGACTTTTCCATCACATTTTCTTTTACAGAAAATGCGAGTATTCTACTCCACCTCATAAATCAGAAAAGATATAGTATTTCATTCAAAGCATGCTTGGTTTGTTGGGATTTGACTCCGTACATATGTTTTCTGCATCTCCTCATATTATATAATCGACCTAGATACGTCAACAAAGGATCCACAAAGTACGTGCATGATACATCAGATATACGATAAAAAGAACCACCAACCTCGCCTGTGACTACTCTGACCCGCCATTCAATAATTGCTAAACGTACTACACCATGGGCCTTTGTCATAGGTTAACACGATGTAGTTTCATATATTTCCTATGTCAGCTAAACGCGAGAGGAGGCGGAAGAGATCGGGTAGTTCAGGGGTATTGCCATAACTGTAAGGTTGCATGCAATTAATGAATTAAACAAAAAAAAAAAAAAAAAAAGGCCTTTATCAACCTTTGTTTCTCCCCCGAGTGATACCTTATGATCAAACTCCAATCCCTCAAGGGGAAGCGAAAGGTTAGGGTTTACTCGCCTTACTCTCGCTTCCCTTAAATATGACTTCCGACGTATTAAGTTACGTGTGAGCGGGGTGTGGTCTAAGGGTAGACACCTCGTTCGGGGGAAACACTACACCGTGACGGTTGTTCCCGTGGCCATCGTTAGGTCATGGGTTCGATCCTGGGGTGGGGGGGTACCTGATAGGGATGGTATAATGACTCGGCATTCAATTACTATATGTCGAAAAAGGCCATACGCACGCAGCGAGACTTTTGTTCTTTTTTTTTTCGAATTTTTTTTGTCTATTCTTGGCGTTTCTGGAGCATTTTACATCCTCTTTCTTACGTTGGAGGGGGATATATGTCACCACAAAAACCCATCTCCCAACGTGCCCACACCTGGAGTATCTTGGCGCCAGTCATGACTTATCACTCGCTGTGCACAGACCCTTGGTATCAGTTTCAGAGGTTACCGAAGTGACATGTTCATGGGGTGCAAGGAAGAATATGTGGGTTCTGACTCAGGGCATGACAAAGGGTGATTCCTTGACCGGATGGTAGTGTAATATGGCTGCAATGCTTGCTAGATGAATTGATATGATCATCTTGCTTTAAATTTCCGATAGGCATGATGCACGACTGATAATAATAAGCCGGTACTGATAGCGGTCTTTAAAACAACTAGTACGTATCTTTCATGGACGAAATAATTAACTAAAGATAACTAATATACTTCCCTACATAACGCATATTACAACCCAAACCCTACAAATCTCCCCAATCCATTAACGTCCCTCACGCCTCTATCACCAACTCTCACCCTATTCCAACGTCCTAAAGCTCGCCCCCGCACACGGCCCCGGCCCGCCCACCGCATCCGTCCTCCCCGGCGAGAAATACAACACCCCGCCCCCCAATCCCGCCGGACACACATCCGTCGGTCCCGGCCCCGCCACCGCCGCAATCAAGAAGCAATAATTCGTCCCCGACGCCCATGCCGAGCACCCCTCGACTCTGTTCGGCCCCCAGCAGGCAAGACAGCACTCCTCGCTGCCCTTGACGTCGGGGAACTGCAGCATTCCCGGGGCATTGTTGTCGGGGACTTGGACGCCGTCGGTGCCGACGATGCGGGATTCGGGGGGCGCGGGGCAGCGGGTGGATGTTACGGTTACTGTGGTGGTTGGGGTGGAGGTGGTGGTGGTGGTTGTGGTGGTGGTGGTGATGGTGGGGAGGAGGGTGGTGGAGGTGGTGAGCTCGGTGGTGAGGACGGTGGAGGGGGCGGTGGTGGAGGTTGTGGAAGAGAGTGTGGCGGTGGTGGTGAGGATGGTGGTGAGCGTTGCGGTGATGTTGTTTGTGGCCTGCTGTGTGATGGTGGATGTCACAGTCACGGTTTCCTTAGGGATGACGACATGGCCGCCGAAGCTGGTGTGGGTCTTGGAGTGCGTGCTTGTGATATTGGTGGTTGCGATGACCTTGGTGATTGTGTGCCCTGCTTTGGGTCCGCCGATGACGGAGAAGCAGCCTTCGCTGATGCGGTCGTCGCTAGAGTGTTCGAGGCAGTCAGGGACCCGGCGGCGGTGGTTTCGGCGCTGCTTTGCTGGTACAGCGCGGAGGCCGAGGGTCGGGGTGACGAAGAATGTGGATGTTGATGTCCTGGATATTGTTAGCCCTGGAACATGGATTAATAAAAGAATATGGATATTCAATATCACTTACACCGTGGTAGAGTCGGTCACGGTAGCAGTAACCACAACTACATAAACCCAGTTAGTATCACTCGAATTCAGCACTCAAGTCTTGAGATCCCCTACCAGTCGACTCCCCAGTAACAGTCACAACCGTCTCCATCGCTGCCACACTCGTAACAGTCGACGTCCCCACTACACTAGTAACAGTCGTCGTTGCAACATCCGTAGCATACCCTAGGTCCGTCTCCGTCACATAGTCCGTCCCCACGACCCTATCCGTAGCATCATTCGTCACCGTAACATCCGTCGTCACAGTAGTAGTCCCCTTCGTGATGGTGAAAGTCTTCGTCACAATCTCCGTAGTGTGGACCTTCTGTGTCTTCGTAGAGGTCACCAAGACCGTTACTGGTGCCAGCTTCGACGGGTGTCCGAGCCAGGTTGAACACCATTTCTCGAGATGGTTTTCGCGGATGATGTGGGCTGTGTCGGCCTTGCTGTTGTGTCCCCCTGCGGAATTTAAATGTGAGTTTTATGTTTAAGGTGTGAGGGTATGCAGAGCAGGACATGGGGATATGCTAACAGTTCTTATCCGCCCTGACATAGAGCGGTCTATCATTCGCAGCAGCAGCAACAGCCGAATGCAAGGATGCAAGAAGCACGCAAGCCTTAAAGGCTCCCGAGAAACCAAAAACCACCATCTTCAATATTCAACACTCAAGCAGCGATGCACCGTATCAATTCCCCTACGGAGGGGAGGGAAGCCCCTTCGTCTTTATAGAGACCACAATCATGCCTCCCTAGACCAAATCCAGCACGATGAGACAGCCACAACATGAACCAAGTAGTGTTTTGGTTTTTTTTCCGCGCTGATTTAGAGTTGTTATAACCGAGAAGAGTCGTACATGGTACCGGTAATTCGTACATACGTCCAACACGGCCCAGTTGGGGGATATCGCTGGAAAATCACCAGGCCTGGTGAGCTTATGTTAAGATAATGTGGCTTGCTCTTAATTCGATCCTTACACTTTTGCCGTTTGTCTGGGCTCGTAGGCGTGTGTGTGTGTGCCCACCCCGTGGGAGAGAAAATCTCGCAAATAAGCTTGGGAAGGAAGTTTTATCCTATTTGAGCGCTATCACGAGCCTCTCTAACATTTCGATATTGCTGTCAATGGTAGTGAAACATCGCTCTTGATAATATCGATATATAGAACGTTAATTTAGCAAACCTCATTCCCAGGAAATCTCCAACACAAGCTTTCCCCACAAGGGTAACTCTCTCTAGCTATTCCTCACAAATATAGGGATCTAAACCATATCCTAGCTTTGGGGGGGGGGGGGGGGGGCGTTACTAGTTTACTGGGCCACAAAGCTAATTGCGCTTGGCTACAAAGTCAGCGGAGAACTCCGGATCAACTAGTGTCTATGGGGGATAGGAACAGCTAGTAGTGACTTGGATGTTTGGACTTTGCCGGGTGGGTGAGCATATCTTAGTCCGGTATCAAAAAGGGGGACTGGGTGGATGATGGTGCGATATGAGGTCGTGAAGAAATGGCGATCCTTCAAATATCAAGGTGCTGTGCCTGAGGTCCTAACGATATGATGGAGTATATATGTTGACAATTGCGCCGGTGTATTCAAGCCAACTTAAGAGCCACATACACATGCACAGTCGATCCACGACAGCCTGAGTTGATCCTCCCAAATGTGTCTACACAGGTGCAGATATACGAAATTAAAACTCTAAGGAGTACAAGACCACCTCACCTCACCTCCATGATCCTGAGATGCTACTACCCAGATACTCCAATTAAACAATCCTACAAGAAAAAAACACCCATCAATTTCAATTCGATACTGAACGACTCCAAAATAATCTGCCGTTACGTTCGAAGTTCCGCACTCAATTCAATCGACAAAAACGCCTGCAAACGCCACCGGCAGTACCTCTGCCCCCTACGATATCTGATGGTGGATGTCTCAAAGCCCCTCCAAGACACACGTATGAACCCCTGAATCAGATCCACAACCAGAACAATATTCCGTCGAGCGTGCTATTGCATGGGTTAGGGTTGTCATACGCACAGCAGATCACTCGGCCATGCATCCAGCGGCTCTGTATCAACTGAACACACACGCACACCCTCGCATGCCATGCCGTGGATCAATTGATTAAACGGAAGTCGACTTGATAGACTCGATTTCATCCTTCTCTCACACAAACTACAATTCAATACATACATACAGCCCAAAGAATAGTGTTTTCTGTTCCCAAGTCACGGTCACGTCAATGGGTTCCGGAGGGGCTCTTTATAATTACATGTAATTTTGCCAGGTGCCGGAATTAAAGTTGTCTACATCTGGGAGAGAGTGCAGCCTTTAGATTCGACTTTCGCCGCCAAGCGCAGCGTTGCCGGGGCACAAAACACTCCATCCCTGTGCTACCGCCGCACAGTTGCATCTTGTTCCTTGCGGCGAAGATGAGGGCTAGCTAGCTAATAATAGCAGACGGCGCACCGTGACTGATATATCAAACGCATCATAAACAACGCCGCATCACTACACTGCAACTACACTACTCTTCTACTCTACTATATCTGCACTGGCTGCAGTCGCTCACCGTAGAAAGGACACACTACCTGCTCCGTCTGTCCACAGTACTTATTTAGCAGGCAGATCACTCAACGGCAGCTCTCTCTCTCCCATATATTCTCACACTTCAACCCCTCCTCGACCCCCTCCTCATCTTCCCACCACTCCTCCTCCTACGCTACATACTTGGGTCAAACACATTGCAATACACATCAAACACCACAATGGAAATACTCACCTCTCCTACTCCCGCCCCCGCCCCCGCGGCCACCACCACCCCCACCGTCTCCAGCCTCACCTCCCTCCCCAATGAGCTCATCCTCGACATCGCCTCCTACCTCCCCGGCCGCGACATCGCCCGCCTCATGCGCGCCAACCACCACCTCAACACCCTCCTCCTCCCCTCCCTCCACGCCACCATCCCCGCAGCCGCCGACTCCATCCTCATCTGGGCCGCCCACTACAACGACCTCCCCGCCGCCCGCCTCGCGCTAAAACACAACGCGGACCCGAACGTCCTCTCCGCCGCCAGCGCCACCCCGCTCTGCATCGCAGCCCGCAACAACTACACCCCCATCGTCGATGCCCTCCTCGAGAACCCAAACACAACACTCGAGTACCCCCAGACCGAGTGGACCTACTACCTCATCAAGCGCCCGCTGTGCCACGTCGTCGACGACGGCAACATCGCTATGGCGCGCCACCTCCTCGAACGCGGCGCACTCGTCTACCTGAAGCGCGAGGCGCACCCGCCGATTGTGTCGGCGCTCGTGCGCCGCAACGCGGCCATGGTGGCGCTGCTGCTCGACACGCAGAGCGGGTGGAAGAGTGATCCGGGGCAGAGTGTGGCGAACTCGAATGCGCTGATGGATGCGTTTAAGAGGGGGGAGCTGACGCTGGAGATTTTGGAGCTGTTTATGAAGTGGTCGGCGGAGATGCTGGAGGTTGAGGGCGAGGGCGGGTTGTTTGGGATTGCGCAGGTGGATCTGAAGTATGAGGGGTATGATAAGATATTGGAGTTCTTGAAGCATTATGGGGCGCCGTATGAGCTTGTGGGGGAGGCAAAGTAGGGTGCTGAGGCGGCGAGCACGGAGCTGGCGGCGACAGAGGGGAGAGGTGATGTGGTTGTGAGGGTGGCAGCCACTGGTGACCTAGATGTTTCGTCGACGCCTGTTGCTTCCTAGGAGGTCTTTCTTTTAGTGGTCTAGTTTTCAAAAAGGCGTATATGGGTGTGGGCTTTTCTTTGGTAGAGTAGATCTCAATTCAAAAACTTCTGGTAAATTTAGCGTTGTAGTATAGAGTGTCAGTGAGTGCCGCCGGAATTGATTGGATTGTGATTTCTCTGTTAAATACGGTAGAAATATGCACATGTGCACGTGGGTGTAGTCTGCTGTTGTAAATCTATGTATATATAGGCCTGCCTACAGTGGTGTTGATCAGTCAAGTGTCAAATACCGAAATTCCTTCACGGGGGATCACTCGCGCTGCTTAATCTACACTTTTTTTTTTCTTTTTTCTTTTGTTTACTTAATTCATCTCCACTCAATTGTAAACAGCAAAAACAACACCCATAAACGACATGGGGCAGACCAGAGAGATAAAGTACTTGTAACCCATTGCTTTCAACTGAGCTTTCGTAGAGCTGCAGTTTGACTGTGCCTGGTTGCGGAATAGGCCTGAAGTGAGCGTAGCTGCATGGTAACTAAAGGGTTCAGTTGTTAGTTATCTTATATCTGCAGGAAGAGAGGGGAATCGAATTCTTATTATTTACCTACTGCTGTCTAATGAATAACCAAACAGTCTCGTCACCTTCTCAAAGATGTGCTAACACCCTTACAGTATCATGATCATGGTATCTGTCCATATCTCACGCTCACAATAAGGCCTAGACTCCTTCATTGTGGTATGGTCAATACGGAGGTATGGTCAATCTCAAGCATACGTATATACGCCGGAGTGATGTATGATACGCAGGGAGCTAGCTATTATGTATAGTCAAATACCCTTTTCGTTTCCATTCAAAACCTTGGGATTGACCATACTCCGCGCATGTTGACCATACCACCGTGAAGAAGTCTACCACAAGGGCTTTTTTTGGACCCCCGGAATGTTAATTCGATGTAAACTTACACAAGTACATACTGCAACCACTTTATCTTGGCACATCCCGTTTGGAGCTACATATAGCATTCTATTTGTTCACTAGTGTTTCTTTACTTTTGAGTTACCCTGGATGTGTGCTCTAGAGGCCAAGCCCTAAAATCCACCCATCAACTTCATCTGTAAACCACCCATGGCCTCATCGATGATTTCCCATCCTCACCACTACATACTGGGATTGCTACGCACTCTTCTTGAACTACTTTGAGGAGAGTCTCACTGATTACACGTGCACATGTCTAGGTCCTCCGGTCCCGTTACCGGCCACACGGATACAGGCTCTACACTTGAAGCTAGAACTCGTGGACAGATACACGATATGGTTAGATGGCGCTGGAAGGGTTATAAGCCCAGTAATCCCAGTATTGGATAGTACATTGTTGAATATAGTGAGTCACAAGTTATCTCTTTTGTTAGATGAAGAGCGTGTTGATGAGACACATTTCTCTACCACTGGAATGCCCCCAGAAGGATAATCAAAGCTAGGAAGGAAAATATTCTCAGTAGGGCTAGTCTCACACCCATCCCAGCGAAGAAGAACCCGTTTACTGGCGATCCGGAAATGTGCGACATGAGTGATAATCCATGACTCAATCAACATACAGCAAGTGGTTCATCGTCCCAAAGCATAAAGAGTGGCGGCTTCACGGACCGATACTTCGGGGGCTTGGGCAGTCGTCCGGATGTATGTACTACATACATGTACTATGGGCTATCCTCTATTCTGCACTACACCAAGGTGCTCCATGCAGAAAGTCCGAATATACCGGGCGGCCCACCCAATGGGACCTGACTAGAACTATAATGGAATGAATATAACCAGGTTCGTCCGTCAATACAGCGACTATTGTCCACTCGCTGATTGTATGTAACTGTCAGTACGATGGGCGATCTAGAAGGCTGTCTCAGGTGAGTAGAGGGAAGCACATCGGTGTAACTCTGTCCAGTAATACATGCTGATCACATCGTGGACTACCCCAACGTCATCTCGGGCCCGCGGACCGCATACAGTGTTTGGATATGAGCCACTAATAATCCGGTAATGGTCTCTCTCATTTTTCTATTAGTTAACAGCGCTTTGTTCCTCCGAAGTGTTAGATTTTAAGACCTCGGAGATAGTCAATTAACAAGTTGATTATATCGGGCGACATCCATAAGACTCATCCACGATGGATCATATATGGCGAAAAGGCACTTAATACTCTCCAAAAGTCGCACTTAATATTATGTCTTGGGCAATAGTATTACTAGAGGTTCTGTTGTCAAGCGAACACAAGAATAGTGCTCGTAAGTAGAAGGGTTAGTTACCTAGCCGCAAAGAGTATTAGGTCGTGCAACATCCCCTTAATCCCAGGAATAATGCATATAGAGAACTTAGATTCCTATCTAAGAGCACGATATCTACTTGGTCGTATAGTAAAATGTCGTGAAACACCTCAATATCCTCAAGATCTATGTGACGGATTAAAGATTAGTTCAAGCAAACCCCAGCCGGCATTGAGGCCCGTTATTTCCGATTACAATGAGGAGGCTTCTAGTGATGCCTCTTGTATGGTCCATTCTACGGAGGTTCTGCTGACATCTGACAGTCCATATCCAGCTATTGCCGATGTCCTCCAGACCTTAGAAGGAAAGGATTTTCTAGACGTCCGGCGATATGCTTACTCTGCACGATTGTTCGCAATTCGCAATCTGAAACATGTCTAAGACAGACGGTTTTGCTACTACGTTGAGCTCAAGCCTACTATCAAAATAACTATATCACCGCATCTCAAAAAGCTCTAACAATTAGTAGATTGATATTTACATCTACACGTCCTAAATGGAATACATGACAGCCTTTAAAAGGACATCTCAAATCAACGCTGTGAATTGCAGGAAAATAGAGGTAAAGAAAATGAGAGTTGTTTGACCCGATTCGCTCTTTTTTACCTGCCCTAGCAGAATGAAGGAGCTCTTCCCCTCAAATGGTATCTACAAAACCACAATTTGAAAGAAATTGCCGACTTCCGAGGATCATCACACAACATTTCAACCTATCGAATGATAGGTTGAGATTTCAATTTCCCGGAATTTAAGCCTGATTCGGAACATGCCCGTCGATCTACCTGCAGGGAAAGCTTGATTTATGCATATTGGTACCAACGGTACCAATCATCTGTGGCTTATGTGGAGGAATAACCTTTTGATAGTCGATTAGTTCTCCGGGCTTTACTGCCGTGGGGGGGAAGGGCTCCATGGTTCTAAGGTAAGCAATGTCTTGAGGGGTTTTGTTTGAGATGTCTATGGGCAATATGAAGTCTCAAACTACATGTCACTAACATACATGCATGTCGTAGAATAGCTGACGTTTCCTCAGAATCTGAATGCTTCTTGATCCCCCTTGAAAGTTTGATATGTCGTGCTCACTCCCGCATATATGGCCACGTCTACTTAGCTGCGCCGGCAGCGCTACCCAGTATAAATATATATAGCCGTCACCTGGGAACACTATATGTAAACTCTTTCACCCCCTCCCTCTACCTCCCCTTGAAAATTGAATACGCAATCCTGATATTATGATGCATATGCTTCTTTTGATTCTTTCTAATATGCGTGTGGGTTTTGACAAGGATCTCTTTATTCAGTCTACTTTGCTCTACCGACGTATGATATCCCTGTACATACATACATTCGTCAGTTTTGTTACAGTGTACTCTACTGGCTGACACCTTAATTCAAATGGACAGTTAGGTACATAACGAGTACTGTGCCAGCAGTTTTCAAAGTTCTGGAGGAACTTGTTTCTTCAAAAATCCATCTATTCTCAATACCCTCGAATAAGTGAATCAAAAATACAATAACCTCATCTCAGCTTCTCATCACACATACCACCACATCTCTTGGCCTACATATCTTCTTGGCCTACATGCTCCTCTCCGACAACCAAGGTCCACGAGTCAAGACCTGCTCCAATTATCACCGGTATCGTGCATGTCTCCTAAAGGATATAGTCACGGCAGCCAATGCCCCTTTGTGGTTGTGAAATGGTTATATACGGGTTGATTCCTCTCTGAACACACCTCGTGGCTCGCTTCAGCTAGCCAAGTCTCTCGGCACAGCTACTCTACAAATTAACGAGCCAATCCTATCAGCTCAGTAACAATGCAACTTGCCCAAAGATAAATACAACATCTCCCCGCTGTAAGACGATGTTTTCTCATTTTTCTTCTTCCTTTGCTTTATTTACTGCACTGCACCGTGCTGCACTGCTTATGCTGCAGTTGTAGCCAGGTAGTTATGATCTGATAACTCGATATCCTCGGCCCAGCTCGGCATCGTGCGGGTCCTTCTATCCTTTCATCATCCTAGTCGATTGCTTGCCTGGCTTGAGAGGTGACTGCAACGCATCGTTTATGATGATCTGTTTCCCCCGGATCTTAAAAACTAGTTTTGATTATTCTTTCCGTTTATCAACAGAAACTCTAAAGTACCTGTTACCAACCAGTAGTACTACTCTGGCAAATTCAGGTACCATTTTCTCTCCCCCTGCGCGAATTTTCTAGAGTTCCCGTTCGCGCGAACCACTACTGGCACCCCACACGTGCGAACCGTCGTTTCCCCGGACCCCCGGAAAATTAGGTGCCCAATCTATCCAACTTAAAGTACTTTATTTGCAGGCACGCACCACACCTACGGTGGAAAGGGAGGACTCTTATCGGTTACTGACGAATATAATCCGGAGGTACTTGATACTTATCTTCAACAACCAGGCTGCAGAAAGGTTACATCCAACCAACCAAACACCAGCTGTCTGCTACCTACTACCAAACAGCAAACGATAAGAAGGAAAGGGTGGAATAACTTTTTTTGATGAAGGTTGAAGCTATATACCGACATCTACTACAGGGCAGGAAGGGTAGACAGGACTGAGGAGTTGGATTACAAGTGAGTGATAATCTATTTCTTATCTTATTTCCCTCATACTTTACTTAAGTACCCTTTATTTCTTTTTGTTTCGTTTCTCCAACCCCGAAGTCATCCGTGTTTCTTGTGTTAAAATTTTTACTTAATACTCCTAACACTGACTTGGTCCTGTTCCTTATGCTCTTACCCCTTCTCTTTTTACCTTTTTATTCCTTTATGCTATTGTCTCTGGTGCTTTCTGTCGTGATGTTTCCTGATCAGGCATCACGTGCCTATCCTTGCGTTGATCAGTAACGAACCAAACTGTTAACGTCAACTAGCTCGTCAGTAGAAATCCCTTTAGCTTCCGACAGCTACGATGTTCCGCCTATTTCCAGCATCATCACATCCTCACATGTATTCTAGCAAGATGCTAGACTACTGTGGTGGTTAGCTACAATGCTACCACTAGGAGCGCACTGACATCTCCCTTGACAACCTGACAACAGCCCACCGCGCTTCAGCCGCGACGTAGACGTCACAACTCCTACCGCTTTTTTAATCGCGTCTTTTCTTATTCGCATATGAGATGTGCGTCAGATCTTACTTACCGCTCGATGACATGTGTATAGGAAAAACGTTCTTCCATCATCCGGCGGAGTGTGATTATACAACGACGTCGTAGCAGGAGTGGTATGTCATGGCGAGGCTTGAGCAATATAGGTGACAGTGGCGTGGGCATTGTTTTGGAATATCTGGGATATGGCTGTTTGGCGATGACACTGTGTTGTCGGCAGCGGGAATGAATATTTTATTTTTGGTCGGTGTATCGGGTGCTGCCCTGGTGACGGGAGATATGGTGATAGTTAAGGACAGGTAGTGAGATCGAAGGGAAGGCAGTTCAATTAAGTGTTAGTCTTCCCCTCCCTTCTTCCCGAAAATGGAATGCATGGCATGGTGGATTATTAGCGGGGAAAGCTGCGAGCTGCGAGCTGCGAGACTTATCCTGTGGGCGGTCTCGTGCATGGCCGTTCTTTGAGTCCTAATCTGCAGCCATCCGAACCCGTGGAAAGTCTAATGATGCGGAAGGAGGAAGGAGGGGCAAGTGTCTCGCAGTTAAGTCAGTCTACCCACACCTTCGGGATCGTGCACGCACAGACAGATAATAGCGTCGCACCGGAGATTCGGAAATTCACGTTCACTGGCTCTGCGACTGCTCTACTCTACAACGAGGGAGATTATTCGGGTTCTAAAAATGCTGTACAGAGTAATGGAATGAACGTTACATTGAAGCTGAGAGGCAACAATCCGATGATCACGCGGGGAGAGGTAGTGGTGGGCAGGTATCATGATAATGTGAGAGGATGATCGCCAGTGGGAAGAGGAGGAATATGAGGAGGAGGTCTGCAGTGCTATTCATTGAGATGTTTCGGGAAATTTTTTTTTGAACGGGGGGGATGATGAGTTGGAATTGGTTAGTGAACATGACATGATGACGATTATTATTCTTGGTGAGCATAGGGGAACAGGAAAGGGATGAACATGGAGGAGCAGGAGGAGGAGTAGGAGGAGGGGCCGTTGGTTCAGTTTGAGTGTTCAGGGATAACTGCGCTACAGAGGTCGAATACGCAAGCGAGGCGCTAAGTCTAGTTGGTGCCAGAGGTCAGAGAGCAAGTGATAAGAGGTATGTTTTGAAAATTGGATTTGTCGATGAAAACAAAACCGTGCTCTGGATTCAAGTTTGTTTCTAGAACCAGGTTGGATGCTAGGCGTTTAGTAGATGTGGGTATAGATTTCCAGGGTCCTCTCGTGATGATTCCCGGGTCCTGTACCCTGCGTCTCCCGGTTCCCCCACAGGTTGAGGCTCGTAAGCCTCATGAAACGGGTACAAGACCCGTACCTCGCATGTGTTACGAAGGGCCCCAAATCTTTAACTTTTTCGCCTTTGTGGATGTAATTGTTTGATGGAAGGCAAGATAGGGGAGGGAAACTAACTAGGGGTGGTTGTGGGAAGGACCCGAAGAGAGAGGGCGTGAGAGTGGTGGGCTTGACTGGACGGATTTCCTAGCGAAACGAAAAAGAAATCAAACAGGGCCGCATCATGACCCCCGCGATCGCCTTTTTCACCCCGCATCTACTCTACATCCATCACTTTTTCTGCGCGAAGAGGTTTCGGGCCTGTGGAGATGGTGAACCGTGATGGTTGTAGTGGTTGGGGTAGGTAGTGCAAATATCCAATGTTAGCGAAGCCGAAGCAATAAGCAATCAATCACATCAGGCGCGCTAGCAAACGGCACCGAGTAGTCCTGGTCGCTCATGTCCGTGTTTACCGGCCACACGTCCCGCGCCATGCGCGTCACGCTTAGGCTTGAGGTGCGGACTACGGGATCAACATAATCTCCCCCGAGATGGTATCGGTCTTACGCTTCGGTGTGGTTGAAGGGGGGGATGAGTGGGGTGGTGAAAGCGGGGCTGGCTGATGGTAGGACGCTGGGGGGACTGGGGATGCTTGAGACCAAAAGCGTTACCTTGCGCTATCTTGAATCCGACCGAGACACGCATACAGATTACAGACCGGGGGGGGAAAGGGTGTTGGGGACAGACAAACTAAAACTGTACTTTGGCGGCGAGTAAGATGATGGAATAGGATACTAAAAACAGCGGCTACACAGGGACAGAGACCCAGGGACACAGGGACAAGACGCAAGAGACAGGAAGGCAGGCAAACCGACATCGGAAAAGAAAGCACCAAGATATCGATTCGGACTAGGGACCGTTACATTCAGCGCGGCATGTCAAATTGGGCCGAGGCAGCAGCAACAAGCAACAACAAGAAGCAAGCAACAGCAGCAAGCAGCAAGCAAGCAGCAGCAAGGGAACCAGCGGAACGTTAGGCATGATAGAGAGTGTGAGAAGGGGGAAGAGAGATCAGAACCGACATAGTCATATCACGGCTATTAATTGATTGCTATGATTACAATTTTGATCTGGACAGGCAACTTCACGCAGGAAATCGAGCAATCAATAAGCAGGTCTAGCAAGACGGACCGACACGTGGTGCTGGGATTGGTCAGAAAAATCAGGAAGGGCTAGGGTTACTCAAGCGGCTACGACGGAAATCTGCGCGAGAGTGTGGTTTTTTGTGGTTCTGTGGTTCCGCGGTCTGGGATTTGCTCATCAGCGGAGAAAAGAGAAGGGGATTGTCATGCTGCATATGTGTCTTCAAGTTTGTTACGTTGTGTCTACTTACCTACTACTTTTTGGGGTTGTGTCTTGTTGTTGAACTGTGTTGAAAGGGAAATTACAAATAGAATTAAGGTTATCTAGATGGCAAGTGGTTTAGTGTGTCCCTGTAATGACAGGATGGATCAAGTTTTTTTTCTCTAGTCAAAGGGGGAACGAGAGGGGGGTCTTATCTAGCGCAGAGATAAGATACGCGAGGCTTAGCGGGCGTCAGACTCTGACACAGTGTTTAGAGAAAAGTGATTCTAGAGTGAGAAGGCGCGCGCAGTGAAGAAATAGGTAAGTTGTAAGAGAGTTAGGAAGAGTACAGTGTAGGCAGGTAGAGGAGCAGGCAGGAAGGCAACAGGCAGGCAGGCAGGCAACAGGCAGGCATGTAAGCAGGCCATAGTCTACAAGTAGATTAACAGACTGGCAGGTGAGTAGCTAGAGTAGATATCGACATGTAGGATAGCCCACAGGCATCGGCAAGTTGGTAGGCAGGGCACTTTCTTGGCTTTCAAATCGAGGATTCACGGGGAGGACGGCTTTCAAGGAATGATGGATGGATGTGCACTATGACTATTATAAAAAATGTATGTATCGAATAGTGAGCTAATGAGCCAAGAGATCATGTACATACATGTACCTCTCTACTTTATTAAGACTGCGTGTTTCCTCATCCTCCTCCTCCCCCTTCACACACACTCACCCACACCCACACACAACACTCACACACTCAGACTATAACCCACACTCGATCAAGAACAGTCTTCTCCGCACAGACGCAACAACCCAAATATACTCACCATCTTATATTAAACAAATTTAATATAAACTTTGGTTCCCCCCTCCCCTTTACTTGATTCTCTCCTCCTGTTCCTCCACCCCCATAAAGCAATCAATACCTCACTACATCATTACCGTCATCATTGCTTCCTTACCTTCTTCCGTGTTATCTGAGTCAACACCTCAATCTTATTCTCTACCTTCTTCCTTAATTCACAAAGGAACCCAACTGTTCGAATCAGATATGCTCCGTTTCGGTCCTGGTTCACAGCTACCCACTGGGCCTGCTTCCGCGGCCTATGGTGTTGTCTCTTTGGGGGCGATATTTCTTGTTCTTGGATATCTTCGACGTCGTAGATCTTTGTTCTCAACCTCAACGTCGACAGCGACACCAGCGGTACCAGCTGAGGCAGAGAAATTAATCCAGGCATACAAATGCCCACTTCCCGTGGTGAATATCACTTCCCTCGCGGGATTCAATTACAGGGAAATGTCTCCAGCAAAGTTTAGGCCGTTCAAGCCCACTTATTCGCTTTCCATGGGAGCTTCTCCCCCAGATGCTCTTGGTGCGTACATTTTTTTTCTCTTTCATCTGAATTCACTGGATGTTGGTGCTAACAATTTCGTGAAACAGGCATCGAATCTTGCTCACCCAACGATCTCATCTTGCTCGATCGCCTCTACCCGTCAAGAATCTCCCTACGGAAACGTATCATTCAGACGCAGCCCACGGAAATGATTCTTCACTCATCTCCGGCGTCCATCCCAGCTGTCGCCGAACTTTACACCTTCGTGCTACAGAAATATCTTCCGGTTAGGTTCCCAACCCACTTCATGCTTTCTCCCTCCGGAACGCTATTCACAAACACAATCACCCACGACACCCACCCGATCGCTCCCCCGCCACACACAAATCCCTCAGATCCCGCCCCAGCGCTCAAGATTCTCGCCACCACTATTGAGGAAGATCTCATGGTTCTTCTCCCCGACTCAAAAGGCCTCTACAGTCTCGCTGCTTTTGCCTGCTGTTTCCCATCTGGCGCAGCCCCGGAGAAGAGGACTGGTCTGACTCTTGATGAGATCCACCATGCGCCCGCCCCCGGCGATAGGCTCTCGGCGTCTATGAACCGCCTCTTCACCCGTCTGCGCCCCGGCCTTGAGAACGCCGTCAGGCGCTTCAACTGGAGCATCACCACTGACGACCGCTTGTTTGCGCTCTCTGGAAACCACATGTACTCCGATGACGAGGATGATGAGCCCGAGGATGAAACTGTCGATCCCAGGAACTGCATGCTGCGAGTGGAGCGCCAAGTCCTGTGGAAGCTGCCAGGATCCCACGCAGCGGTTCTGACGGTCAAGACTTACATGTACACGCTTGCAGAAGTCAAGGCCGAAGGCCTCGGAGAGGAGCTCGCCAGAGGTGTCGAGGGTATGGGAGAAGAGGTTGGAAAGTACAAGAAGCGTTGTTTCTGGGTAAGGATGTTGTTGAGTACTTGAGATCTTAGACGGTGCATCATAAACATGTGATTTTTCATTTTTATCCTTTTTTTTTATTAAATTTCGACTGGGAAGGGTTTGGGTTATTCTTTTTTTTTTTTTTTTACCTAGCTTTGGTGGTGGGATGGGATTCTAATTTTTCCTTTTATCTTCTACATGACAGCGGAGACTGTCGGGCTGGGCTGGCGGACAATACGGAGTTTGATTATTGAGTCTTTTTTTTTCTCTTTCCCTTTTCTTTATTCTTATTCACAGCGTTGGGGATATACAACTGTTGAGCTTTTTGATTGAATTATTGGTTACTTTTTCCTATATATACTATCTTTCGCTGGTTCCGTTTCTTTCATTTGTTGGCTTTCCTCAGGATTATTATTTTTTCATCTTTTTTTCTACAGGGTTTTTTCTACAGGAGTGTGTGAAATCTGTTTTTGTTTGTTTCCAAACACGCGCAGGATAGGACTCTTACAAAGGCGAAGAATAAATTCACTTACACTACTACATATCGTATCAAATTATTTATGGCCGTGCGTGCACCACCACCGCCATGTCTTGTTTCACATGTGCAATATACACTTCATACCTACACACTTGCCTGGGTTGACAGCAGTTGGTTGGGTTCAGGGTTTTTGCCTGCCTTGATTGCTTGCGCTCGACGCAACTCTACGCTGCATGATGATACATCGATATCCAACTCAGGGTCCTTCCATCCTTGGCCTACGGTCTATTCTTCTTCTACCCTGCCCCGCCTGGCTGGGCAAACTTTCTACTCTTACTCTACTCTACGGCGAAAAGTGCATCCGCCGCCCGGGCGTCCGTGAGATAGCCAATCAACCAATCAGCGTACTAGATCTCACCATACCACGGTGGGGTGACTAAAACTGGTTTGATTACGTCAAAGCCACTGGTGAGTGAGATGTTCTACTCGTGTTCCAGAAGGACTTTTTTTGTTGAGGTTCGGGTACACAGGGGTGAGAGTAGGGGGGGGTGGTCGGACAATTTCTCCTAGCATCGGTGGTGTGGTGGCGGGACTAGATATAGGAATGTATGGACAGGGGAGATGGCTATGTTTTACGAGTCTTGGTACTCTAGATCTAACTGTTCTTACTAGGACACACAGCCAGCAAGCCTAACCTCGCATCATAAGCGCTCGCTCGCTGGATAGTGGCGAAACGGTGTGCCAAACGAAACGAGTGATGCCAAGTGACGGGTAGGCGTGGTAGAAAGGGAAATGACCGATTGGCCATCTTTTTGGGGTCGTCATCGACGAGGCAGCGCTGGAGGGGACTCGAGGGCGTGGGTGTGCCAAGACAATTTATGTTGGCTGGATGTTTGGAGATGCATGGATGGGGATCGGAAGGGATGTTGTTCGATCCGATCGGGGAGTATTTTATCCATTTGATTGTTTATTGATTTGTGGATAGGCTCGTGATATATATTGATGGTTTGGCGGGGTAAAATCTAATTTATAAATTTGACAGGTCTACTACCATGGCCATAGCTATGTCACAATGCCAGAATTAAATAAGCAAAACTTGGTTGGAAAATGTTCTCCTCACACACCCCCCCCCCCCCCCCCCCACAAAAAAAATTCCCGAAGGTAAGGGGATTAGCGCCCTGGTTGCAATCGCGATTGCGGGCGCGGGGGGAGCGGCGAAGTGGTGTGTGGTGAGTGTTGTGTGTGGGTGCGGGGGGGTGGAGATATGTGCCGGCATTCGATATGTAGAATAGAGTAGCATAAGTACCTACATCCCTTCGTGTGTTTTCACCACCGGGAGCTACATACATGTAGTAGGCAACTTTTACTCGGTAGTACACCTAACCCTCACCCCGTGAACCTCTTTTGATGTGAAGTCACCTGTTGTGACCCCTCCGAAACCTTTTCTGGTGTCTGTAGGTAGCTAGACTTTTTGAGTATCACCACGCCGTCGTGGGCCTAATATATCTCTCTGACGAACAGGATATATATCCCCCTTCGTTTTCTTATTAGACGCGCGGATATGGAAGGGGGTCAAGGTCTGGTCCAGGGTTAGGGTTCTATAACTAAAGGAGGGATATAGGGAAATCAATTCATAACTCTACCGACTCTACATACACATCTACATATCAAAGTGCAATACAGCTAGAATAGACCCCCGGCCTTTTCAATACGAAAACAAGCCCTGTTCTCCGATAAGCGGGACTACATGATATACTCGCAGAAAATAAGACTCTCACATCCCCCTATAACTACCTATGGGCCCCTGCCAGCGTATTTTTCTCGGCCGATGCTGAACGGTGATTGGATTTCCCAGTGTTGTCGGTATCGGAGAGACATAGATATATACGGCTCTCTCGTTCGGGGCCAATTAATTAATGCCGCGAGAACGGATACATGTAGTTGTGGACCCGGGTAAGAAGAGGTCTATATACATGAGCTATTGTAGAAATATGGGAGGAGTCCTGTTGGCTTGCTCAGCCATAGAAACCCTTGTTTTTACAATAATCATACCTCCCGCTTAGATATGTATGTAGAGTCGGTAGAGTTATAAATTGATTGCCCTTGTAGCTATATGTACTCTACATATGTGGTCACAGACAGACATCGTGACACAAGTTCCAGGCAAACCAGTCCGCAGATCCCCTGGTCACACAATCAACCCCGCTGCATGCAGGCGTGACACCAACCACAAAGCATGTAACGCGTTACAATAACCCTAACCCTGCACAAACTGGATATATATACAGCTCCTCCCACCACCCCACAGTTACTCTAGTGGATAGGTATTTGAGAATTAACGGTACACATATAATCGATTAGTAAGCCGATTAGCAAGCTGATAGTAAGCTGTGGTATGTACATCATATGGGCTACCTGAATCCCAGGATACAGGTAGCCCAGAGTTAATATATCCCTGCGTGTGTTTTCACCCCGCGAACCTTTTGCTGTAAAGTCACCCCCTGTACTCCTACGTTGGTCCTGATGGCTCATATGAGCCATCAGGGCCACTCACTAGAATAAACCTTTACCCCACCTCTCCGTTCCATCCCCAACATCATTCTTATTCGCATGCGTGCTGCCAGCACCAATCCGTAAACATCCTCTCCGAATACCACTACCATTTCCCAAGTGCTTTAGTGCACAAAGGCAAGACGAAATATACGAATGAAGGGATACATAGTATGTACTACGGGTGTCGGGGTAAGTCTGTTGACAGTGAGAACTGTTGCAACCACGGCCACTGTCAACAGACTTACCCCTACCCCCGTAGTACAGGCACCCTCTAATTCAGATTGCGCATGGTCCAACTCAATAATCTTATCGAGCTAGTTGGACCACATCAAAGCTACACTACAGTCCAATCGCCCTACATAGTAATCTCATCGATTACTCTCGCAGCCGGATTGAAGCCGCCCAGACAAAAGAGATAATTGATCCGAATACTGCAAAAACGCGAACTCTCATCGACTGCCAGATTACTCGCTACAGTTCTTTGGGCTTCAAACCGGCCGCGCGAGTACATAATCGAAGTGGTCCACCCCAGTCCATGGACCTGGAGTGGACCACCAAGCTACCCGAGTGATATATCATGCAGCAATTCGACTATCAACATCCCTTCGTCTGTCCCCGGTCTTCGCGGCCTCTTAGCTTCGAAGCGGCGCCGTAATCATAACGAGGATTGTTTAAAGCACTACTCGATTGAGGATTTCTGCGTGACGAGTGGAGATAAAACCGGCCCCCCACCCGCAACCCTATGACATTACCCCCCATAATTATGCTGTTAAAGCTGTCAACTTTTCCAAGTGTCATGTTTCAATCTCTTCGCACTCCAATAGTTCGGGGGCAACATCGCCGATTACATAACCGAAGCAATCCAGCTTGCTACGTGGATCAAGCTGGACCACCAAGCTACCCGAGTGATATATCATGCAGTAATTTGACTATCAACATCCATTCGTCTGTTTTCAGGACTTGTGGCAATTCGTGGCTCACCAAACAAAAATCCACTGCCTAGCTGGAAACGACTGTCGGCGGTGCAAAACTAAGGTATATAAACCCCCTCCCGTCCCCCTCTTATCTTGTTTCTCTCCATCACTTCTTCACATCACGATTCCCACTATTATACTTCTCTAGAGTATATCAGCTCTCCACTTCATAATCTCAACTATCATACTTCTTACCGTACCACCCAGACATAATGCCTCCCCAAGACACCACATTCACCACCAATGCCCCCTCATCTTCTATCTCCAGGCCCAAGGTCCTCGCTCCCACCTCCCAACGCCTGGGTGTCTCTCGTGTCATGAAATCCACGAAGAAGACCTCCACCTCCACCTCCACCTCGGACCCTACCTTCCCCGCCCTTGGCGTCCCTAAAACCACCATCAAGCTCGACTTTGCCGCGATACTGCAATCTCGCGCCCTTGTAGACCCCAGCTTTGATGTGGCCACCGTACCGACGCGGTATCCAGAGCTGCCCGGCTTCCTGCTCGACGCCAAGCGATGCCCGCATCTGCCGAAGGACTACTTTGCGCAGTGTACCCACAAGCAGCTGGAGGAGCTAGTGGCCGCGCTGTGCGTGTACGTAGGGGGTTGGGGGAGGTGATAAAGGCGGGAAAGATGGTCACTTTTGATCGCAATGATACAGCGGCGGTGATGGGGATCCTTTATTCAGGGTTGATGAGGTTGTAGAGGGCGGGGATGTAGGTGTGGCTACGAATTTCCTTGGTTTTGGTTGTATGCGTGGGAGTGTTTTTTTATGCAGTACTCTACTTGGTTCATGAATCATGATGTCAGTGGCTGTATGCTGCACGCTAGCGCTACGCAGGAAACCAATTTATGATCCGAAATGCTCTACATACCCATTACCGCGAATGATGGTCATATACAGTTTGATAAATTGGATTTATGGATAGTCATATCCATCAAGCCCAAAATTGAGTTTGAATGTGGTTCACTCGCCGTAACGGTCAAACCATATCGAGTGATATCTCATGATCCAATAATTGATTTATTCCAGAGGGATATCTAAGGTATTTTTTATGTGCCTCTTATCCATACTCAATTCCCCACTTTCTTACTCCCAAACGAGTGAAACAAATCCAGCGGATATAAAAAAGAGCAAATAAAACGAGAAAAAAAGAGAGTGAACGAAATGAATTCAAAAGATTGCTATGGAAAAGAAAGCAGTCGCCCCCAAAACAAAGCCAGACTTGCCGACGTTTAAACCTCAACCCTAGCGTCTCCTTCCGTATTACTCACATCCCCGCCCGCAACCGCAACCTCGGCCGCTTCATCTACTCTGCCCTTTTCGGCTTCCCCGACCGCATCAGTATCGCTCTTTTTGTCAGCAGTAGCCGGAGCCGCATCTCCGGGATGTTCCTCAGCCGGAATAACGGTTGGTAGAGCACCCTTTTCTTCTTTCTCTTCTGCTGCGGTGGTAGCTGGCACTTCAAGATCCTTCTCCTGCGTGTCCGAGACTGACGGGACGGTTTGAGCACCGGTACCAGTTACACCAGGAAGCGTGCTTGTTGTCACGGCGGGAACAGAGGAGTCCTCCTTCTTTTCCTTCTTGTCTTCCTGCGCCTTCTTTTTCTCAGGGGGCGGTGAGTCTGTGAGGACCTCAACGTCTCCTTGATCACCCACACTCCAGATGCTCCAGACGCCCACGCTCATTATTTCTGGCTTCTGCTCTTCCTTAGGTGCAGCAGCCTCAGTTGTAGTTGCAGTGGGCAACTTCCGCCCTCTTGGACCTTTTGCACGGCCCTTCCTCACATCTGCAAGAACCTCTTTCTCCTTCTCTTTCTCTGGGCTCGCGGGGGCTTCTTCCTCCGTTTTCTTCGGAGCCATAGGGCCGAGTTTCAACCGATTGTCGAGATCGCTAAGGAAACCTGCCTTCAAGGCTGCAATCTTGCCGCCTGTACGGGGAGGTACTGATGGTTTTGATTTCGGGAGTGTGGGGACTGCATCCGCGGATGGGGATTTTGCGACCAAGCTTCCAACAGGACGCACCGGGCGGTTCAATGGGACCTTTGGTTTTGGGCGATCAGGAAGACCTGGCGGCAGCCTCTTCTCCGTTACAGGCTGGTCCGAGGCTTGTGGGCGATCCGGAAGTGTGGGGGGAGCGCCTCGCACCTTAGGTGCCGGTCTTGCGGATGGAACTGCTGGGCGGGCAGGAATTTCTGGTCTTGAGCTGGCCTCGATAGGAGCACCGGTCGTAGGACGTTTTTCAACCTCTAAAGTGTTAGGGTCTTCGAACTTTGTGGTGCCGCTAGTGGTTGCGCGATCTTTGGGCTCCGTTGCAGAGTACTCTTCTTCAGGGAGGTATGTGAGTTCGGCACTGAGCTCCAAGCTGGGTGGCACATCCTCCCAGATATCATTACTAGGGAACCTTTTGACCTTCTCGCGGTTGGAACTGGCGCCTAGCTTATCGGGATCATCAGTGCTAGATCCGCGCTTAAGGAGCTTCTCGAGGCCATCGTCTCGTCCTTCGCGGTTGACATGATGTCTGTATTCCACTGTCTTCTTTAATGCATCTTTCTGTTTTCTCTCGAACTCAACCTCATCACCGGGTACATAATGCTCGTTCGGCTGGCCGTGAATAAATTTAACACCAGTTTCCGGCTTTCCATCGGTCCTCTTTGGGATAGTCCTGTCGGCTTCTCTTTCCTCATCTGTCATCTCCGTATCTTTCGGAGGCGGGGTAGATGAGACAGTTGCTTCCAACTGCGAGAACTCTGGCGCCTCTTCCCAAACATCCTTACTCGGGAACCTGTGTCCACCTGAAGATCCTATAGACTCCGGCATTCCAGGTCGCTTTGGCTTTTCGTGAACTTTCATCTCCCCTGGTGTTTCCTTTCCTTCGGCTTCGTCATCGGACTCGGGGAACAATGGTTCAGGACGTTCTCCGGATTCTAAAGACTCCCGAACGAGTGATTCTTTCGACTCGAAGCCATGGCCGGACAACCTGACTGGCTCGACATCTGCATCCTCGTCATCATCATCATCATCATCCATACCCGGATGAGTTGATTGAGGCCTTGAGTGCGGCCTTGAATTAACGGCAGACTCGGGTCTCCATGCAGCAAGAGGCGGCGAAATAGCTGGCGCCATATAGCCTCCACCAGCTCTCTTCAATACTTCATCAGCGGCCAAGATGGGGTACTCTTGCTCCCTCTCAATCTCAGTTTCCGTATCATTTGCATCTTCTTCATCATCGTGATAGTGCTTAGTCGGAGAAGCAGGCCTAGTACTAGGCCTGGTTCCCGGTCTCGAGCTTGGGATACGGTGGGGGTGGTGGTTATGCAGATGGTGGTGATAAGTCGGGGGATCCAGATGTATCGCAAGCTCCGAATCCTTATCTTCAGAAGCATCCCCTCCAATTGCTCGAGCTAGCGAAGCAGTATCTTGGTCGGAGAAACCGACCACGGGGGTCCCAGATTCGGGCGGAGAGATAACGCGTGCATAGTGTTCGCTGGCTAGATAACCGATTTCTTCGTCAGGAACCGGAGTGGAGGTTTCTGGTGCTGACAATCCCTGTGCAACCGATTGGTTGAGATCGCTCACACTTCGGGCTAAAGCAAGCAACACCAAGTCAGTTTTTTTTTGTTTGTCCGTACCTCTGCACCTTGACTCCTCACAAACAACGGAACATGGAAACAAGGAAACAAAAAAGCAAAGAAAGCGAAAAGAAAAGAAACAAAGACCCAGCCAGTTTTGCAATAATAATTGGATGAACACAGGAAATATTGGAGAGCCCAAAGAGAGGAGAAGAAAAAAGGAAAACAATTATCCCTGCCCCCCAAACCCCACCAAACAATTGCGGGGAGAGAAACTTAAACTTACCATGCGGATTCACCCTCGGCGTTCCATGGCTCCCGTATGCCCCCTCATCCATCTCCCATTCCTCCTTATACACATGCGCCTTTCTCCCACCCCCAGGCGTAGCTGCTGGAGTTGGGGCCTGCACATCTCCCGCATTCGGATACATTGGGACTCTTTTCCCAATCTGCGGGATCCCAGTATTCTTCCTCACTGGAGTTCTGTACGGAACTCTGGCCACAGGTTGATGCAATTCCGTAGATGGTGAGATGGTGTGGAGCTCTGGCTCTTGCTGCTGCTGCTCCCCCTCCGCCTCTCCCTCCTCAGGGGTGGAACGTGGCTTCGTGGAAGGCCGCGGCGGGATGGCGGGCACGGGGGCAGATGCGGAGGCAGCGTCATTATTTGATGCCCTCGAGGGACGCGGCGGGACCAAGGGTGCTGGTGCTGTTGAGGCCATTGTTACGTTTGTTTTTAAAGTTTATTTGAGGTGAGATGAGATGAGGTGAAGGTGGGAGAATGTAAAAGAGGTGGGAAAGGGTACTAGATAAATAGAAGCTCGTTCTTGAAGCTCAAACCGCCTTTTATCATCCGTTCACACAAGCAAGGAAATTCAGAGCTAGGTAGGTTAAGAAAACCCGCGGGTCCGCTATCCTTATGAATCCGGAGTCCATCCACCCATCATACATCCATCCCCAACTCATCCCAGCAAAAACATACGACGTGCTCAAGTCTCAAGTCATGGGAACAAACCTTGCAGCTGCTTGCATGAGGAGGGGCGTTGAAGGAGGACTGGAGATGCTGTAGCCTGTTGTACGAGGGGAGCTCTATTCTAACTGCATGCCTACCTACCTATGTACCACCTACCAGGCAGACAATGATTGTTTCCCCATCAGAAAACCGGAGCCTTCTCTTTCCTCCACCTCAAAACAGCTCATCGATATCATGACGTTTTGGCCATCCCAACATCACAAAACAACCCCTCATTACGCCCCCCCAACATGCACAGCACAAGTACGAATATCAAATTGGTGATTTCTCTGACACATCCGGCCGCAACAATCGCTTTGTACCCCCCCGGTTCGACTTGCAGGTTGCAGAGAGCCCCTTCTGATTGGCTTAACTCTACCCCTCCAACCATAACTTTTGCGGGGAAGAGCTCCTTCCTATGGGCCTACACCTTGCTGTACCTACATGTCCCGCATACATCATGTATATATGTAACTGCGCTTTCGTGACAGACTGAGATGATTTACTCTGAGAATATATTTAACCCTAGAAATAACTCATCATTAATAGAACTGCTTAAATCCATAGGTAGCCTCATGAAACATTAGAACAGGGTTAGGGCTACCTTGGCTATTCTGAGCGGGTACTGGAACGATTCTCAGCGATATCGTTTCATCACACGAAAAGGGGGTTGTGGGGTAAACCTACATATAGGTACCTGTATCTTGTAGGGTGCCTTTTGCCTCCCGTCACTTTCTTCTGTAGTACAATATCTCAGCTCACAAGTAACCATTCATCTCGAGCTCATAAATTCCCCAACCTGAATAGAATGAGCCTACAAGAATAAGGAAATCATTCGGGGCATAAAGCTTTCATTACTACACTGAATTCACCACAGGAAGAATAGATGAATGAATAAAAAGAAAAAAGAAAGGGAATAAAAATAGGAGCCGGATCACCCGAAATTGACAAAACCAAGGGAAACCCAAACTACAAAAGCTACAAGAAAAGAACTCCTTCGCATCCCCAAACCTATAAAAGCCGCTTCCGAGACCCATATTTTCTCTTCCTCATCTAGCCATCCTCAAACGATCTTGCAATGCTTCCCCCCATGACCAGAACTGTCAGTATCTGTGTTTATTACACGATCATCTGAGCAACACCTGCACCGCCCAGAGTCTTGCTACCCATGAATTCCTGACCCTTCAACCCCGCCAATCCGTAGAAGGACCCCGCGAGGGTCAGGATGAATGCTGCAGCAATGAGAGATGAAGCCTTTACAGCGATCGAAATCCACTGTACAGCTGCCATGGCGAGGTAGATACCCGCGCGACCATAGTTGGAGTGGAACTTGCGCACAAAGTCGTCGAATACCTTTGACGTCGGGCAGATGCGGAGGAGCAGGGGAATTTCAATAAAGACCAGAAGAAGTCCGCAAACGCTAATTACGCGTCAGATTACAGCTCTCCGCAAGGAAGGGGACAAAGGAGCAAACAAACAGGCAGATTATCGAGAAGATGATGAGAAGCGAAAAGCTGAAGATGTTCGCAATACCTAATGCGACACAAAGAATGATCGCAAGGATACCCGTCCTGAAATTCTCCAGTCAGCGATAAAGATCTATAAACGTTCAAACCACCCCTTCCTATTAGACGTAGATGAGATGAGGCATACCATTGGCCATATATACCTATCAATGACAAACTCAGTCAGCCTCATCTTGTAAACCACCAACCCCGCCCTTATCCCAGGTAAGACTCACTGAAATTCCTCGTCTTAAATTCCGAACCGATGCTCTCCATGATACCCATTTGAATTATGTATATGTGTTGTTTCTTTGGCTTAGGTGCGTTTATAAACTACAACCACAGGGGCTTCTCGGTGATAGCAGTGATTGAATGAAGCGCGAAGTGTGTATATATTAACCGGGGAAGCGTGGGAGTCGTCGTCGTCGTCGTCGTAACTGCAGTCGTGTGATGTGTGTAGATATGGTGTGGCCGTTGTTATTCGTTCCCTCGTGACAAGCTTGCTTGTCTATGTGTATATCCCTTCCTTCGTCTTGCGATGGTGTTGATGTGATAGCTGCAGTGGTTGTGGTTGTGGTAGTGGTGGTGGTTGGGAGTGATAGAGAAGGGATCAGGTGGAAAAAAGAGCTCCCGTCATCGGCCCTTCTCGTTCCTTTGTGGCCACACATTCCTCTCGCCAAAAGTAGAATGGGGCACCGTTGCGGCAACAAACGGTCCTTGGCGCCAGGAATAGAAATTACATGTTCCTCCCCCGTGAATCCTGTCAGAAGTCTTACATCGGTTCTATATAGATTGCTATTCCTCTGCTCTACTGGCTCAACTCTATTGTAATGTTACATATATCCCCCTCCCTCAGCATCCACCGGAGAGACATCTGTATCTTTCTTAGAGACTATCCCGGTGCGCAGTGGCTACTCGGCCACTCTCCCGCAGACGCGCGTTCAGCCTCCCGTCGCCTTCAGGGCCGCAGGGCTGAGGACCGATGAACACTTCTTTGTTCGTCATCATCGGCCATACGGGCGCCGTACATACTACCCACTGTTTTAGCTTCTACTAACAGCTCCAGTACATGTAATCACCATCCTATGTTCACTTATCCGAATCGATGCGGTAAACTACATGTACATGTCCTACGTTTTTACCTGTGACTTCCGCCAAGGATCACCATGGCTCCTTCATCCAACTCCTTGAAACCAGCCTTTTCATATAAAACCTTTGGATACCCGCAAAATTGGTCTCATTGGCCAGAAATAGAATAAAGAATACTTCTATCAATTGCCCTCCTACTCAAAACACACGCGTGAAACTACCCAGAAAGTGGGGAAAATAGTGAAAGAATGATTACTTGTGAAAGTAGAAGCACAGATAGGTGGAGAAACAAAAAACAAAAGATGGATTTTGCCAACATCCAAGAGCTTATAGAGTGCCTTGACTGCCTGTAACTGCTGCATCTATACCTCTGACCCGACTGCCTCCAACTTTTGCATCTCTACCCCCACCCCGCGCGCCTGGGCGTCCACAACACAAACACGCACATGGAGAACACCGAAACTACTTGATCTTTACATTTCCACCGTAGAAACATTAAGTGCAGCAATCAGCAGTAAACGAGCCTGAAGATATCGTTGAGTACATAGTAGCTCTCCCCCTCTGGGACGAGGTGGAAACATTGAGAATATCGCTGGGGATGTTCGCTGTCATCGATCTGAAGCGAGGGCATGTATCAGCAGCAGGCACAAGGCAGGAAAGGGATATAATAAATAAAGAAACGAACCACGAGCTCGCCGGTTACCTGGACCATGATGTTACCATTTGGTCCAGCAGGCTGGGCATCAAGAGTGGTAATCCTGTGGGCGACCTTCCCAAAAGGTAATGACTACAACTCATACTTAAGTTAGCATCACATAACTAGCCCCGGAGAGCGGAAGTGGCGCTGACTGTAAGCTTTTCAATGATAGGGGAAACGCCCTGGTGTTGGTTCGTCTCAAAAGTCATCATTGAGTTCTCCCTCTGGTGTTAGGACCTGGTGTTAGCCTTTCATATACTCGATCGAGACATTCGGGGTGGGGTGGCGGTCGAACGTAGAGAGGAGCCAGTCTAGTGCGATCAGAGTCGAAGGTGTTGTAGTAATATTTAGCGAACTCATCTATCCACTCGTATCAGAATCTGTCCACGTCGCGCGTAGCTGCATAACGTGAAATGTGAAGAGACACATACTCGCAACTGTAACAAAATCTAGAAAGTTGACATGAGTGTTAGTAAATCGCAAAGGGTATGAAAGTAACCTCCACACAGCTTTATAGAAGAACCACGAGTTCTGTCGTAGCTAAAATCGACCTCTCCCTCGCCTACTTCATATCTAGACCTAGCACAATCTCACTCCCGTGCCCACCCTCTCCGAATCAAGAATACATGGATAAGGGGAAACCTACCGGCCATCTTGAGCTTCAAGGAATCGGGCGTCTGTCGAGCGGCGAGAAATAGTACTTCGCGGGTGGTTGAGGGTATTCGTGTGGTGGTTGGTGGTGTTGGTTCTAAGAGGGGAACAAATGAGGGGTTGAAGTGGGATGTGATGTGGTGGTGGTTGGTGGCCGCCAAGAGATTAAGGGTTTGGAATAGGGTTTCTTTTCCCTTTGAGACTCGCCTGCAATAGAAGTTCGATACTCCCAACGTGACCACCCCAAACCTTCTAACAAGAAATTTCGAAAGGGGCTAATTTTTATATACATACAGTATTAATTGCCCCTTTCTTCTACTTACATGTATCTTTCTACTTGGAAGTGACGATGTCGTGGTCACTGGTGCCCATACTCCTAAGGTACGTGCACTTCGATATATCTGTGTCAATTTCACTCCCTCACTTTATATATCGGAGCTCTCTATACTCGAGCTATGGCTGCTTAATAAAACATCATATCCATCCTGGATTGCTGAGATAGGGGTCAGAATGTGTTTCACTCATAAGATATCACTCGCATCAATTCTCACTCCTGCTGGCGGATTTTTTTTTGTTTTTTGTTTAATTCATTAATTACATGCAACTCCTGCTGGCGGATAAATTTTACACATCGGTGAAAAAACTTTACTCCGTGTATTATCTCCGTCGAGAACTGAATGCGGTAGACCAGGGCACAAGAGGGTGCATAGATTCTTCTTTGTTCCCGTTCCACACACATGCACACCATCATCCGCGCACGCACACACACACCTACATGAATATGTACATACGCCGACATACCCAAATACAGAAATACTCGCACATACGCACAAGCGTGCTACACTTATCAGATTTTCATACTCTCCGGCGGCCCCAAATATCCTCCTCTTACACCACCAAGGTCCACTAGCACCTTTTCTAGTATAATGCCTGGTTCCAAGGCCCAGTATCTGATTCTGTGCGGACCCGCCCCCGAACTCGTAAACGTGTGGCTCCTCCTCCAAACACCATCTCTAGCAGCATCAGTCCATCCCGACGGCAGGTCCCCCGCCGTTGCTGGTTGAGCCAAAAGCCTCGTTGTATTCGCAGGCGCATCTTGATCAAAAGAAACAGCGTACATGAGCGGCCGTACTGGATCAGTGTCAAGGGTGGTTGTGAAGTAAAGCGTTACATTCACAGTCGTCTTTTGCGAAAAAAAGTAGACGGAATAATCTAGATATGGTGATGCTGGAGGACTTTGGCTAGGTGCAGTGACTGGGTAGAGGGCAATACCCCCGGAGTTTGTGCGGGTACCAAGATATGGCAGGATTTCGTAGTGGGGAGAAGAGCTGTTCAAAGGGGACTGTGTAGATGCGGTGAAATGCGCAGCTTCCATTGAGACGTGGCCATCTGTCTCTACAAACCCATTGAATCCGCCAGGGACATTTCTGTTGTTAACTGGGAGGCGGACTTCCTCATAATCTCCGAGTGTCGAATTAACGTAAATCAATGCGTTTTTGCCGATAAAGTCGATGGGTACATCTGCCCAATTTACACTAATTTCAATTCTTTGGTCTGGTCTGTCGGAGGTGAGGGTGCCGGATGAAGGTGTGAGGATTATCCAGCTGTACTGCGCCTTTACAGACCATTGGATTTTTGGTGTCCCTCGAGCATAAACTTCAATATATCTGTTGGCTCCATACGGGTCAATGGGAGGTAGTAGGAAGCCTGGCGCTAGGTCATCTCTTGAAGGCTTTGCGAGATCACTCCCTTCGTTAAAAAGACCAGGGCGAACGCCGACTAATCCTTCCACCCCAACTCCCATTTGTCCAAGTGCAGGTACGGTGTCCTGCCTGACTTGCACATAAGATAGACCGGAGATCATATCTCTTGATGGCGGGTGGAAAACTGAGGTATAGCCATAATGTGCTTGGCCCATAATGTGATTCCACTTACCGCCGAGCAATGAGTGGTACTCCTCCGTCAAGTCAAAATCATCGTTGAACCTCTCGATAGCGTTCTCGGCGAATTTATTGGCAGAATTACGCCTTTGTCTGGCATAAACGCTATTCTTGGCCTGCGATACTTTAACATCAAGAAAAGTGTAAGAAGCCTTGATCGGGTGAAGCACAAGCTGAAAAAACGCCGGTTTACTACTATCTGGAATTTTCGAGTACAACGCTGAGGCTGTGTCCGAAAGATTCTTCCATTCTCCAAGAACTCTGTCCGCTTCGTTGTAGTTGAGAATCGAAAAAGTTTCGGCTTCGATACTCTCGTGTCTTCTCAAACCCACCAAATGGCTGTGTCCCAGAAGTAGATTTGCTATGGGCTTTGCGTATTCTGTACCAAATTCACGACTTGCATAAGTCTCCAAGAAATCTGGAATCGAATCTTTAGTGACATAGTTGCCGTTCCAAGCCATTGTCATGATGAGAGAAAGTGGTAATTCCATAGGCTTAATATCGGCAACATTTATCACCCATATTTGGTCCGCCCCTCGAAGCCAGGCGGTGTTCAATTGTTGCCACACTTTTCCTAAAGAGTTTGTGTTCATCCACTTATAACTTCTGGGAGAGCCAACAAATTCGAGGTGGTAATAAACCTGAAAGTAGAACTTGTTAATAGCCAGTCCTCTTGTAACCGCTTTAGGTAATGATCACTTACCCCGATCCCACCGGAACGTTCATTCTCGGCTTCGGTTGGAAGTCTTCGAATGGTTCCAAAATTGTCATCTGCAAACAGCAAAGTGACATCGTCTGGTACCTCTAGGCCCTGTTCATAGTACGCCTGGACTTCCTTATACAGCGCCCAAACCTCTATAAGAGACAATCAGCCCCGCTCAATTACCAACTTCCCAAGGGGTACATACGTTTGACATCCTCCTCTCCATTTTCCTTCAGAATATCACGCTGGGTCGCAATAACTTCCTCTAGAATTGCTAATGGATTTGACCCACTAATCCCAGAATCCCCCGCGCCTCTCATTCCCATGGTGAAGTAACTTTCAAAACCCTTTGCTCTCTCAGCTCCAACTCGGAAAAATTCGGTAATCTTAGCCTTGTTACTATTCCAATCCCATGCGCCCTGGCCTGAGGTAAGCCATTCATTTGTTGCCCTCTGCATGGGTTCGTGGTGGGAGGTAGAGACGACAATTCCATATTCATCTGCAGTGGCCTGATTCAGTGGATCGTCGACGAAGAAGCTATTCCCAGGTTCAGGGTAGCTTGGCCACATGGCGGGCCAAAGATAGTTCGCCTGGTGGTACAGCACATGTTAGTCCTAAATTGCTCAAGAGACCAATCCTAGCTAGCTGGGGGACAACCTTCATCCGGAGAAGGAGCTCGAAAACATGCTTGTAGAACTCAGTATTATAAACCGGGCCAAATTTATCCAACACGAAGGATGTGAGAGAGGGAGATTCATCATTAATAAAGATCCCCCGGTAACGAATACTGGGTTCTCCATGATGAGTTCTCACGGGGAGCGCATATATCTCTTTTCGTTTCTGCGGAACCACGTCTGCCCACCAATACCATCTGTATGATACGTACTCCCAGTTATTAATGTTATCCTTAGAAGGAAAAGGAGAGAGGGAAAGATCAGGGTGCTAACGGTGAAACGCCAATCTGCTCGGAAAGCGTATAGACCCCAAATATGGTCCCTCTTTTATCGCTCCCCACAATTACCAGGGCTTTGTCCACGCCTTTCACAGGCTTCTGCACTATCGCCGTCACAAATGACTCCCATTGACCTTCCAGCCCTGTTACGTTGACCCTTCCCTCCTTCACCATCCCATCCACAAGGGCAGATTGCCCTAAGCTACCTACAATGATCGCCATCGAAGCGTTAACATTACTAGTATAATTCTGCACCCCGGCAGGCTTGCCGGTGACCTTGCGAAAATCATCGGAGAGCGATTGGGCGGCTATCTGTACTCCTTTGAAGTCTCCTTCATCTACGAGGATTGGAGCAGAGAGAAGACTGACTCCGGGTGGGGCGAATGAGATGAAACGCTGCTCTCCGAGGGCATGGCAGAGGGTCGCAGACGCGAGTAGCAATGCCGCGTATGGTATCAACATATTTGCGAATTGCACGTGCAGAAAAGAAAGAATTGCGATGCCTCTCTCTCTTACTGTGGTAACACGCCAACCTCTAACATATGCTCCTTTATAAACATTGCCTCATGAATAACATATCATTGACAGAGGTCGGTGACCGGGCTATTCCGCACCGACTTTGGAGGGATTGTGTATCGATCATAACCTCAAAGGTCTTTGTGTGGTAATCGGCTAACTTTGGATGTTATGTTTTCTTTTAGCATCCGAGATGGCTAATAGGAGATGCTACTAGTACTCATCGCGGATCAGTCTTACCCCGGATTATTTGATCGGCCAAATCAAGCTTTTCTGTGTCTCACTACTCTATAGATCTAGCTCATCGCATATCCCCAGACCGGTTTTGTGCGAGTGAGAAGCGATGAAGAATACTGTCCCCGACTCCCTCTTAATTTAAAAACCTCCTCCAGTTCCCAGGGTTGGCCAAGGTAAACGCACCCTGGATACCACAACCTTATTTCATGGATCAGGTCGATACCAGACAAAGTTCTTCAAACCCACCCCATCCAAACTGATCATCGGCAAGGAAGGTGGCGGCGCTTGTAAAAGGTATTGGTGGGCTTTCATTCACGTCGTTGATAATTCCCCTTGGAATTGAATATAACATCGGTAAACAGGCGAGTTATATCTTATCAAGAACTCCAAGCCCTCCTCGCGTTTCCCGGGAGTACGTTTCATATATAGCGTATATAGAATAATTTAATTTACATGGATAGGCTGATAACAGGAAGTTAATTAGATGGCTAGCCTGATCCAAGCTTCATGTCGGCTATTGAACGTCGAGTCGCGAAAATCATTACTTGAACCTATCTGTAGGTATCATATCGGCACAGCTCGGGTCAGTTGACTTGTTAGATCTTGTTGATCATGATGAATTCTTAGGGACCAGAAAACATGGTGGCTATATGTAAATGTATATAGGTAGAATTAGTTCGCTTGCGCGATTCATCTATTCATGCAGGGCTTTATAGTAGAATAGAGTAATTTGGATTCTGAGAAAAGGCGCAATAAGGCCCTTCTACCCGTAATGTCGTTTTTAAGTGGTTCTTGGCTTAATATGGCACCTTTTAACCCGGGCCTAGACAATCTATCTCACGAAGATACAAATGGGGGTATAGATTGTCTATCTATTTCAATTCAGCACTCGGAGTGTAATACTCTCGCTGGTAGTACACGACCGAAAAGTAAGGTTTCTTAAAGTTCTTTGGAAATGAAATGTACACATCTCAACAGAAGCGCTGTGTACAATCACTTTAAAAAATGAAATTTGTATTATTTGGCATGTGGCAGTTTCTGTGTACGTGCTACATGTACTCCATAACCATGGGAAAGAAAAAGGCACATGGCAGAGCACTTTTTCAAAAGTATAAATGTAAAAATTACACAAAAATCGGGAGAGAGCACATGTCTCCACCCACGTCACTAAATGCACTACATGTCAGCATGTCTTCCATATAATTGACCCTTATATAGGTATCAGTGTACTACAGATAACCTCCAAATAAGTCCAGAATTGGCATTGAAATTGTAGTTTTCCACGAAGGCCAGCAGTTTGAAAAGTCTATATCACAGGGCAAAGAAATAGTAGAGAAATTAAAAGTCTCAGTAAAAGCAAGACTTAAGTCTTAAGCTTACTATTATAGAGCGAGGAAAATTGTATTATTTGATAGTCGACCGATATATTATATTGATAAAACTTAAATTAGAACAGTTATAGATTCCATCATACAAAGTTATATGTCGTTAAATAGCTAATGGCCCCCGAAACCAAAGGTTTTCTCATGTCGATCCCTTAGATCAAGTCTGGAACAAGATCGATCAAGGCGTGATATTGTGCGCACATAGGCCTGTTGCTTGGGGAAGGTTACTCCCTGGCCATATCCTTTTCGACTTTCATTGGTGTAATGGTTTCGGCTAACCTTCCTATCTAGCTCTCTGGTTCTCTCTCCAGACATCTTCAAACGTTTCTGACCCAAGGACAGAAAGCATATCCGATAGGAAGTCAGAAGCAGAATTGAGATATACGATACCAGTACCATACATTGTCAAACCAGCCCTGCTAGCGGTTGGTGCGTACGCCAGTCACGGACCACATATCTGGGTTAGGGTTAATGGAGGCTGCAGCTGATGTTTCACGGCAGTTGAAGAAGGTCTCTTTTTCCCTTCCCATGGTTCCGATTGCGTGCAATTATAGTTTAATCCCCGAGATCCACGAAGGCTAGCCTAGATTGCGCGCTAGAAAGTCACCTAAGTAGATGTAGACGGCCGCATACTCGAATGTACATGTATGTATGTACAAAGGCATCTCTGAATGACTCCTTCAATTTACTTGTCATTCATCCTGCACAGAATTACCCCGGAGAAGGAGCCGAAAGAGTAAGTGTTCGTTTTTCGCTGGTTACCAGCTACTCCCAGGACGCAGGCTGGTCGAGGGTTCCTGCCGGGCTAGATGCGAGGAATATTCGATGTAAGGAACACCTTGCTAGGTTGCCGTATGTAAGGAACGTGTTGTACGCATCCGCATCTCAGCCGTTTTCTCTCCGTTTGGGCCGTTTGAGTGGTTATACATGCAATTACAACTGCATCCTACATGGGGCCCTTAATAAGTATCCACTGCCCTATCACTGATTATTGATCTTGAAGGCGATTTTCAGGCATTGAGAAATTTTAACCTTCACCTATAACGACTGCATGAACCGTTGCACTCATCCTCTGACGCGCCGAAACTCTTTTCGCTTCGATTATCGTTGGCCAGGCTATCCATCTGGGCCTATGAAACCTGAAACGGACTAGCCATCCCTACTGTGGCAGGGAGGATGGACCAAATATTGATAACCTCAGAACCCGCTCCCAGTGGCCTATCCCTGGAACCTGGCACCCTTGCACAAGAGGTTTCAGAAAAAGTATTGGAGATGCTGGACATTTCCGCTGAAAGATGGCAGACCAATAATTATTGGTATGGTAAAGGGTCAAAAAGATCTATAATCTACATATCTATATCCCACCTCCTCTTCTTTCTTTCTTTCTTTCCTTCCCCGTTCATCCATTTCGGTGACGACGTCGTTCTTTGACAACTTTTTTTCCTTTTCTTGGTCGGATTGTTAAGGTCGGTTGGACAGTAACTTTGAGAGTTTGGTCTAACGTCCATTTACATTCATTCAAATTATATTCGAAAAGGACCGGCTCCAGTGATCTACAGTGTTCCTCTCTTTATTATCGTCATTCGCTCTTTAGGCTGCTGGAAGGATTAGGTTTCGAAGTAAGGATATATCGAAGGACCTACTAGTGCATCTATATATGCAAACAGTTTGGATATTACAATTATTGGGGGATCAGCATTTTACAATCGCCTTACGGTCATTTCACTCTTAAGATCTTACTTTAATTCAGTACAAGCGCTAGCTAGGCTAGTTCAATTCTTTCAGTATGGCCCAACAAATAGCAACATCACCGTCATCAGCAATTATTCCCCCTCTCGGGACAAAAATAACAGAGGTGGCAAACAAATCCACGACATCGCTGCAGTCTACATTTAAACCGCAAAGTCTTTCGGCTCCAAGGATCCGGATACTGCTTGCACCCTATATGTCTCCTTTCATTGTACCACTACACAAGGTCGAAACGTGGGATGTACGTGCATAAATCTCGATTGGAATAAATTTCTCTATCTATAGCTAGGTGTCTATATACATATGCTGATCAAATATATAAACAAATATAGCTCCTATACGAAGCTCTGAAAACCCTTTTTGGCCTCGATATCTTCAATAACTCTTCAATACGCATAACCGACCAGGACGGAAACTCAATTCTACCCCCGGTTTGGAAAGATTTGCTCGAACCGGATATGACAATAATTGTCGACACTTGTTCCCTACAGGCAGAAAACTCCCCAGTGACCTTCAAGTTCGAGCCACTACCCGCTTTCAGCCACAGCTCGCCGCCAGCTTCACCAGCCTTTACAAGCAGGGTATCGGAGGATAGCTGTCTTTACGACTCTGCTAGTATGTATAGGGGTCAACTGGGTGTTATCATAGGACAGGCTGTGCCAATGCCTCCCACCCCCGTTGGGACACCTAATGTTCATGGCCGACGGACATCAAGAGACATGATTAATGAGTGGTCTAAGAGGGTGGGCGAGGAGGAGAAGAGGGATGCGTCCGTTGAGATGTTTTCTGGGTTGAGCTCAGGGCATTCTTCAAAACCCTCAGAGAAGGAGCAGACCACATCCACAGAGAAACCGGTACGGCAGGAAAATGCTCCCAAGGCGAAGTCTTTCAAGTCGAGCATATCTCGCTTTGCACGGGCAGTGCTGTGTGTCCTCACATACTCAAAGGATTCCCCACACTCCAAATCCTCAGACAAAAGGAAACGGGCGCCTACACCGTCAGACAAACCCAGGCGCACAATCACCATGGATGCCATTGAGAAGCAGCCCCCCAAGAGCCAATTCACCACTCGTGCCTACCATATCCCCTCTGAACGGCGTACAGCATCGATATCACGTCGCCGCGGCATACCGTCACTCGCGCCGGTCGCCACTCCTTCAACTACTACCCCAACTCGCAGCCGTGCTGAAGTCCGACGCTCAAAATCTCTATCACACTTAAAACTACCTTCCTTCTCATCTACTAAGGCCACCACATCATCGCCACTTCCCACTCCAACAGCATCCATAAAGTTCCGTCCTCGATCAAAGTCATTTACTTCCACACGTAATAGCAGCAAGCTGTCAATCATATCTCCGCCGGTGCCACCCCGACGACCAAGTCTCGAATTGGGAACAAACGCCCAATACAAAAGCCTCGCACTCGATAAAGCCCAAATCACAGAGATGTTCAAGGAACTCGATGGCGAAACACTGGCTGGACGCAGCAGGAGTGGAACTGGAGATACCTCTTCCACCTTAGCCGTTCCTCCCGCTGCTCAAGAAGTAAGTAGAACCGCATTCTACCCAATACTGCCGTATGAACTAACCTTACCAGCTGCAAAAGCCACTTCCGAAGCTTCCCTACAAGTTCTCCGCATTCCCGGCGCCATCACCGCCGAGATCCCAATAATAGGTTTCGGGGACGACTATGTCGTGTATGAGGAAGTCGGGCGACCAGCCACGGCAGTCACAAGGAGGATCACAAAGGTGACTTTGAGGAAGGTGGCAAGCACCGATTTTACGCCGGTGAAGCCAAGGAGGGTGAAGACTGTAAAGACGTTTTAGTTGGTGTATGGGCAAGTATTCCGTTTTTTTTTTTTATTGTGTGATAGTTTCTTCTCTATGTATGTGCTGGGGTTTATTTGTGTGGCGAGGAGTTTTAATTGCGGGGTTTTGTAATTTTGGGGGTTCTTTTCTTCATATTTCATAGGTCAAGGAGAAGGCAAGGTGGAGGGGGAGGATGTGTTTGGCGGTGGTGGTGGGTAAGGTTGGATAAATGAAAAAGTTGCTTTGTGGCATAGCTAGTGGTTAACAAACAATATATAGCGCTAGCAGTTCAAGGTAACTCTTCCTCTTTCTCCGAAATGTTCATGACCTGTGAGAGTAAGCCTGATCTAGCTGATATGGCACTTGTGATATCCTCGAGTTTAGAAGCAACAAAATCCTACCCAGATCTGTAACCTCACTTCTCTGGTCAGTTAAACATCAATATATACAAATGGTAGTATCTCTCCGCGTACCATCTTTAGATTATCCAGCGAGACATCGTTCAGGTCATACAGCCCCACCCCACCAATCATGTAGAAAACCGGACTATGGCGTCCCCCACGCACCATTAAAGAATTCCCTTCAGAAACTCTGCAGGAGTAAGTATAAATATAATAACATGCCCCCAAGAACCCACCTTAGACAAGCAACTACACCGCCCGCGCCAAAAACAACACATACCCGCCCACATGGAGTACAGGGGCAGCCGCCCAACAACTCCCTCCGGACGTCGCTCCGTAATCGGCAGGAGCGATTGGCATGACGGATAAGGGCTGCGCGCCTGGTCATTGGGTGGTTTTAGTATATATTCGGGCGCTAGCTGTGACTGGGCTTGGCTTGGGTGCGGTGTCGAGGCGTGGCTGGAGGAGTGGTAGCTGGAGGGGCTGGAGGGGCTGGGTGGTTGGTTGAGTAGGGCGTGAGGGGGTTGATGCGTGGTGGGGGACAAAGGAAAAGGGGCCCCGGGGGGGGGGGGGGGGGTATTGGAGTGGTGGTTGTGGTGGTTGTGGACGAGTGATGGGTTGTGATTGTGGTGATGCTGTCCCTCCCCTGGTTGTCAGGGCCGGGGCTATATTGGTTCGGACAAACTAGTTGATACAATCATTGTCAGTATCAAGTAAATATAGCCTCATTGGCCATGATTTTGCAATTGACTATATAGGGGGAAGCAATATCGATTCGGTATTCCAATTCCAATTCTAATTTGTAGAGTAGAATACTAGCGCGTGCTAGTTGCATGTAGTGCGTCTCAATGCAGAAAGGCGCTCTGGTAGTAATAAAACTTCTGGCAGATACGAAGAGAGACTAGTGCGCTGCGTGCATGTGAATTGTAGAGGAAATCTAATTTGTAAAAGCTGCAGCTGTGAATGAGGAATATTAGCTAATTGAGTTTGTTAGTTGGTTACGAGCTATGAGATAATTACATACCGGACTGAACTATATCCTACTGGATGGATTAAGCAGTGCTGTCTACTATATTATATGGCTATCAATATTATCGAGTCCATGTGTCTAATCAGAGCCACTAATTAACAAGTCAATCGTATCGTCTGGCAAACCGCCCATGAGAGGAAAAAAAAAGAGTAAGAAAAGGCCATCTGAAACCATCCCAAATCCATATAAAAGCAAAAAGCAGCTAAATCCCGCCCAAATCCAATCCAAGTCCACTACCACCCAATGCCCACCATCACCCCACACATCACAAACCACTCCCCATCTATACCCATCCTCAATTAATACCCCTTCAACCCAACCCTCCACTCCACCACCCTCTCATCAAACGCATCCACCACCTCCGCCGGCAGCCCCTCCTCAGGCTCCCAACTATCATCCTCACACCCCCACCCCTCCCAATGCACCAGCATCTCCCTCGCCCACCCAACCCCGCTCCTCGCCTCCACCACCCTCTCGCCGCGTATTCGGTCAATTAGATACAGCCCCTCGTCCTCCTTGCTCCTCGTATCCTTCCCACACAGCCTCCTCTCCGGCGCTGCCGTCACAACGACCTCGTCGACGGCGATTTGCGAGGGCGTCAGTGAGCCGGCGGGCAGCGAGATGGTCACGAACCCCCTTTGTGCGGGGAGGCTCGGGATGACGAAGAAGGGGCCGTCGTAGAGGTCGGTGGTGTCGATGCTGTTGGGGAGATGGGAGGAGGGCGGGCGGCGGCGGAGGATGTAGCTTCCTGGGGGTGGTGGTGGTGGGGACTTGGCGGGTGGTGCGGGTTGTGTGGGGGGCGTGCGCTGGGGTGTGGGGGGTGAGGGTGTGGGTGGGACGATTGTTGGAGGGGAGCTGGAGCGGAGGGAGTAGTTCTCTGTGATTGGGCCCAGGGTGTGGGGTGAGGGGCACTCGGTCTTGATAATGGCGGCAGGAGGTGGGGTGGGGACGGCCTGGATGGAGGTTTGGGTAGGGCTGTGGGGAGGTGAGCCGAGTGGGCTGTGCCTGCTCTGGAAGCTGAAGGCCAATGAGACGAATTTCTCTGGCTTTTCGATCTGGTCCTGATTGATGGTAGGTTGTGCTTTGTCTAAAATACCCTTATCAAGGATATCAGCAGCAACATCAGAGAGCCTCTCTACCTCCATCTCCGCCATCACCATCTCTTCATAACTTTTATCACCAGCGTCAACCTGTCTCTGCCTCTGTCTCTGTCTCTCTTTCTGTACCTGTCCCCGCTCTTCTGTCCCACCCCCACCCTTCTCCAACTTTATCTTCACCCCACTCGTCCTCCTCCTCCTCCGCTTGTTAACCCTCCCACTCACCACAGTTCTAGACTCTGCTGCCGCTCTGTCAGCACGCAGTCGTCTCCGCTCACTCTCCATGTACAACAGCAGCTGCTGGTCTTCAGACGCCACCTCCTGCTCCTCCTGGCTGCTGCCGCCCCCGCACGCAACCAGCATCAGCGCACAGAGGAAGACGGCGGGCCATGTGACGACGAGGTGGTAGGGACTGAACATGCTCAGTGCGTTTGAATACATTCTCGTATACGGCTTGGATACGCCGAAGCGGTATGGAGTCGAGGATGTATGTAGGGGTTGATACAAGACGAGTGAGGCAGTATGAATGATGATGATGATGAAGTGTGATATGTGCTATGTATGTATGAGAAACCACCAGGGATGGATATTGTGATATGATGTGACATGAGATGCCACGACGTACGTATGTAGCATACTTACTGCCAACTAACTACATCTAGCTCCCACCACCATGATGTGAGCTACCGTACTGCACCGTATACGTATACGTACATGTATTTACCATACCATGACAAGAGGTACGGTACGTACGGCTCAATACATGTATGTCTGTCTGTATGTATGTATGTATGTATGTCCGTATGTATGTATGCAGGGCAATCCGCGCGCAAGTTTGTATTTGTATACACTCCGGCAGCTCATACAAAGCCCATACATGTAGCTACCTTTAGGCTATCATACACAGTACCGCACAGTACCGCACTGCACTGTCCAAACCCACGGCAAACAAGCATCACACACTATCACTCGCACCTCACACAACCCTCGCTGCAACCCCCCCTGATCGGCAGCAGGTGCAGCGCGCGAAACCGCGCTTGCACACGGTAGCCAATGGCAGGGCGGGGGGCGGGGGGCGCGCGCAATCCTTGTATATTGCTGGCTCACAACAAAGAGAGAGTGTGAGGGAGAAGAGTCTAGACAGCAAACTCTAAATGCCACGCGCAGAGATCTGGCGTGACCACACAGGCTGGAGCAGATCGGGGGTTGCACAGCATACAGGCAGGATGGGTACGGCGGTTGGAGGGCGCTGCTGGCTGCGACTGGCTGGTAAATAGTAATTAAGTAGCGTAGCTATGGTGTGTGGTCGGTGTGTGTAGAGTACATACATGCCGGTGTGTGGACGGAGAAGGGGTAGAACACCAAAATGCCTGGAGCAAATCACTGCAGCGCTGTACTGGGACGCGGGAGATAGTCGTCGGGGGGGATCCTGATCCTGGTAGATCAGAAACTGGGCCGGGGTTCAGCTGGTTTTTGTCATGTCAACTACGACGCGCGCGGCGGAACAGGTGTTTCGATTTGCTGGGTGTTTAGGCCGTGGAAACGGGGGGAGGGGAGGGGGAGGGTGGGGAGAGGAATATATATGTGGAAGTGGACAGCGAGTGCGCGGGTTGTGTTGTGTGGGACGGTTCTAGTTCTATGGATCGTGGAGGGAGTGAGTGCATGGGGATTGAGTGCTGGCTGGTTGATGTCATGGATTGGGGGAGAGAGAGGCGAGTGAGAGGTTATGCACTTACCCACCCCACCCCACCACCACCACCACCACCACTATCACTATCACTACTGCGCACTTACAACCCCACCTCGGACTGACTACTACTACTCTCGTGCACCCAAATCTTCAAACCTCAACTCAGCTCACAACCACAATTAACTGCCGGGAACGTGAATGGCCAGAACCAAATACTGTCTAGTAGTAGAGTAAAAAAATTCAACGCCCTAATAGAAGAGCGGTAAGTGTATATATATATATATAAATATCGTAAAAATAGACAGCAGTGAAGTAAGTACTTTTCCAAATATCCCAGCTAACTACATACATCCCAATTCCATTCCTTCGTGCAAAAAACGATAGCGGCTGCAGCAGGCAAGGTATCCAAAGAGATAAAAAAAAAAGCTCTTGAAAAATAAAAAAAGATCAGAATTACAGGCCTCCTAAAGTAAAAAGAGAAGAGAAAAAAAAAAAGACAAAGGAAAAAAACGGATTAATAAGTCAAGTGTTCCTGCTGTGTAGTGTAGCCCCCTTTTTTGTCCCCCACCCTATGCGCCCCTCCCAAGTAAAAAGTTTCCAAACCAAATAAAAGTAAAAAAAAAAAGAAAAGTAAACTCTAGGAAAGAAAAGAACATTATGAGATGATGGTAAAAAAATAAAAAAAATAAAAATAAAACGCCGGCCTGTAATCGTATCAGTCGCATATTCACAATTCCAATTCCAATTCCCCCGCCCGCCCACGCATGTTCACATTCCCCCACTAATTCTCACGCAGCACATCATATCTTGATCTCCCGATGTATATCCCTGTGGTGGTCGCCTTCGCGATGACTGTGCCCGCCCCCCCTATGACTCTGTGACGTTGGCGGCCTTTCCCTCTCCGACGACTTCCCCGAAGACCCTGTTGCTGGTCGGTCCTTATCCTTCTCCTTATCAGACTTTGATGGTTTATCGGCCGTCACTCCCCCGTCGAAGAGCCGCCGTGCAGCACCAAACAGCCCGCCCTTCTTTGCGTCCTTCTCCTTCTCCTCCTTTGGTGTTTTGTGCCGATGTTTGTCCTTGGTCTCCTTTGTGCTGCTGCTCTTTGAGGTCTTCTCTTTTAGCTCCTTCAGTTCCTCCTTGGTCTCCTCCTTGATTGTCTCTGGCTCTTCTCTACGTCCACCGCTCCGTGACCGCTTTGCTGCTGCGGAGCTGCTACAGTCGTCGCACGAATCCTTACCGTCGCAATGGTGCTTCTCCCGGCGCTCCTTCTTCTCCTTACGTTCCTTCCTGTGCACACTGCGGCCATCAACTGTTGCGTCATCATCATCCTCAGCTATGGCATCCTCTTCGTCAGTCCTCTTCTTCCGCTCCCGCTTCCCACTCGCCTCATCCCGCTCCTCGATACGCCGCGCCTTCTTCTCCGCCTTCTTCCGCTCCGCCTCCTCCTTCTCCTTCTCGATCCTCCGTTCGGCCCGCCGCCGGCGATTGAACGTCACATTACTCGCGCTGTCGTCCGGGCCCAGCAATATACTCTTCCCGCCCTCCCACTCCTCCACCGGCGGCAGCAGCAGCTCATTCTCGTCCTCCAGCTCGTCCGGCAGCGGCGTCGGCGTCGACGACGACACCTCGCCCTCGGCCAGCTGCTGCATGCTGCGCTTCTTCATCTTCTTTGCGATCCCATTCTGGCGCTCCTTGAGCGCGCGGCGGACAATGAGGGCGCGGTTGTGGAGCTCCTCAATCTCATCGTCGAGGCCCTCGAGCACGCGGAGGAGGCTGCGGTCGAGGCTGGTGATTGTGCGCAGCTCCTCCTCCTCGTCGCGGGGGACGGCGTTGCTGGACCCGTCGAGGAAGCCGTCGAAGCGGCCAGAGTTGATTAGTTCCATCTCTGCGTCGGTGAGGCGGGAGACGGCGGTCAGCAGTGGGTGCAGCTCGTCGTGGAGGAGGAGATATAGCGCGATGATGGGGGCGGTGATGGCTGCGGGGGTGTGCTGCGGGTATAGGCGGACCAGGGCGAGCTTTGTGGCGGCCAGGATGTGCGGGTCGGACAGGTATGCGCGGAAGATGAGGATCTGCGTCTGGTTGAGGATGCCCTCAATGATCTGCACGACGATCTCGCTGTGCTCGTCGAACTCGCCGTCGTCGCTGAGCGCCGATGCGGTGGTGGGGGACGGCGGTGGCTGTGACCGTTTTAGCACCTTCTCTACCTCCTCGAGCCAATCCTCGACTTTGCCCGTCTTCTGCTTCACGCCCGCCACGACCGACTGCGCGAGCTCCTTGGTGATGTACATACTTGGCGGGTGCAGGTGCGATGCGACATCGTCATCCCCGGTGGCCCCGCTCAGGATCGAGGCTTCAATGTTGCGCCGCGACATCAGACCCTTAACCGGCAGCACGCACAGGCATGGCCGAGTGCGTCCTCCGCGGATATACTCTAATATATCGTGCCAGCCCACGCCGTCCACGCCCAAGTCCCTTGTGAACACGCCGCCCACCTGCTCCAGGAGCTTTCTAGCGACGCTGTGGTACCCGTTTGCGACCGCAATGCTGCCGCCGTTCGAGAGGATGCTGTGGTAGTTCTCCAGCAGGATGTTCAGGTTTGCAAACACCGCCGACACGGGCTGGTCCGTGTCCGGGCTGTCGTCGAGCGAGTCTGGCTCCTGCCAGGGGTGGAAGTTTGTCGACACGGGGTTGGGGAGGGAGCCGTTCGGGAGGAGGTAGTCGATGGGCTGGCGGCCCAGCTTCTTGCCCATGCGGGAGACATCCTTCAGCGATGCGTTTGACGACGATGTGCCCGGGCGGAGGGCGCCAAGCTTGTCGGGGGAGCCGCCGCGGACGGCGATGGCCTGCGGGCCGTAGCGGGAGGACGAGGTGGTGCGGGTGTTGTTGGTGCCCCGTCTGGTGAGTGGGGGGGAGGGCGGGAGGGCGGTGATGCTTGGGTGGCTGGGGGAGCGGATTCCTTCTTCTCTCAGTACCCGCGAGAGTGAGGATGGAGATAGTGGTGTGGTTGTTGAGGTTATTGTTGTGGAGGTTGTTGTTGTTGTGGAGCTGTGGGTATCGGAGACCTGCCGAAGGGGGGGGAGGGGAAGGGACACCGGGGCTGGCCGCGGTTTACTACTACTGCTTGAGCTCTGTTTGGGGCCGTCCCGCTTGGGGACTGTCTTGATCGAAGGCATGGACAACTCCTCTTCTTCCTCTTGTGCCTGCGGTGTTGCTGGAGTAGTTGTGATGTCGACAACAGCAGCAGCAGCAGCAGCAGCAGCAGCAACAGCAGGAAGAGAGAGGGTCGGCGGAGACGGCGGAGCTCTCTGCGGTTCAGGCACCACAAACACAGGCTCTGGGTGTTGTCGCTCGTCCACTACCGGAGCAGCTCTTCCTACGGTGGTTTCCTGCTCGTCAAAGTCCTCCTCCTCTTCGTTATCGGTCTCTGCGGCACCAGAGATTGCAGTAGATGCACGAGTTGTAGCAGGCGGTGTGGGAGGGGTTTCTCCAGAGGCAGGAGCACCAGCAGCAGCAGCAGCAGCAAGTCCACAAACACCACCACCACCCACAAGCTGTTCTTCGGAAGAAATCGAGCGCAGTAGCAGCAGCGGGGAGGAGTGTTGGCGCTGCTGTCGCCCATGCGTCTCTTCCAGTGACGACGAAGGGGGTGATAAATCGGCCATATTCCGTCGCTATTACTCGCTTCTTTTTCCTTTTAATTTAATTTTTTTTTTCTCTCTTTCCTTTCCTAGTTTGTTGCGTGTGCTGTATGGATTGTTTGCTTGGGTTGGGTTGGGTTGGAGGCAGAGGGGGGGAAGGAGGAGTGCAGTGGAGTGGGTGAGGGCAAATAGACGTGGTGTATGTAGGTGCGGAAGTAACGGCTCAATGGAGCTTCGAGCTGTAACTTCCAGGAGTCAGCGCGGGTGCGAGTGAGAGGAGAACAAGTATCCAAGCAACAAGCAGCAGGCGGAATGGAAATCGGGAATCGCGAACCACAGCCGAAGATAGGGTGGTTGAGTGAGGAGTTTCTAACCTGGTACCTCTGGGCGGGCTGCCTCTGTTTCTGTTTTTAATGGTAGGTATGGGAATTTTTCACAGACTGGCAAAGACTGGCAAGACTGACTGACGGGCGAGCAGGAGAAAAAAAAGAGTGAGAGGAATCCTTTGGATGGGGATAGGATATTGTGATATTATGATGTGATGTGATTGATTTGATTGATTGACGGTGATGATGATATGTGGGGAGACACACTCTGAGATTCTGCCTCTCTGGGATCTCTCTCACGTTCACTGACTGATCTGTCGCTGCAATGGGGAGCAACTCTCGAAAGACGGATGACGAGAAAAACAATTCCAGCGTCCCAAATCAAACAGCGAGCGGCCAGAACCAGAACCAGAACTACTAGTAGAGCTAGGGGACTAAGGTGATAGATATCGTGGATCGGGGAGCTGTCAGAGGCTGAATGAATCATGTGTTGAGGTTCCTCTCAACCTATGAGATTGATTACGCTGCCCTGCCCTGCGCTGCCTGTTGGGAAGGGGCTATGATACAACCAGGAGAGCAAGAGATGCCTTTTTCCCCTTCCGCTCCTCCTTCTTCTTTCCTTCACTTGACTTACTTCACTTTACTTCACTCGAACCCTCGCTTCCTGCACAGGGATGATATGTAGTACTTTAAAGTGGTACATAGAAGCAGGGGTATTTTAGGGTAGGTAGGTACGGTACTTACTCTACTCGTGATATAGCTAGCTGCGGCGGCGAATCCACGATCCTCGGTGCCTTTTCTCCGCCTCTCCCTTCTTCCATACTACCTTCCTTCCACACTCATAGCTCCTTCTTTCCATCACCATTCTATTTCCCCCAAAGTCCCAAAAGTATATTTTGGTGATACTCTACATTATGCTTCCCCCCCCCCCCCCCCCTGAGCCAGCCAGTCAGACACACGGTCTGATCCGCCGCACGAGCAGCAGCAGGGGGCCGCCATTGCAACAGACACGTTGGCAGACTTTCTCCCTCTTTTTTTTTTTTTTTTTCTTTCTTTCCATTTTGTAACCCTGTGGTTGTGGTTGTGGTGTGTGGTGCGTTGACATGGCACTGCAGGTTGGTGGAGTGCACTGGGGAGTAGTGAGTGGTGTGGTGGAAGGTGTGGAAGAGAAGTGTGTGTGTGTGTGTGTGATACCCTGTCCTACCACCACAGGTATGGAAATGATTGAGATTCGCCTGCCTTGCGGATGGGGGGGGGGGGGGGGGGTCGTGAGGAAATAAGGAATATGTATCTTTTGCGAGAGGGTACCTTCATCTACCGACCGACCTTGGGTTCATCTACTCGGTATGGGGTCTACTCGTGGTGGGGGTAGATGTAGATGTACCTATTCTAGCTAGATGCTGGCTGGTACTGGTATTGGTAAGTCCTGTGTTTAAGCTTGACATTATCGACTCTTCTTCCCTATCGATAGCGCTCAAGCTCATCCACTCCATCGTATCCCCCAACCCAAACCCGGCCGCGGCGCGCGGGCATCTCGATAAGATAGAGTATGTACGTACCAAGTGCGTATTTGTAGTACCTACCTACCTACCGCATCCCAATTCCCTCGACCCCCGCGTAGAAAGCATTCTGGAGGGATTTAATTTAATCCTTGTCTTGTTTTTGCCTTCTGCGGCTTGCTTACTTGCACTCTGTTCCGCCCGGGGGCAAAGAAACAGGCAAATTTCAAAAGAAACATATGTAGGTAGGGCAGCTGAGTTATATTCCGACATGGTATTGTATGCACATCACCACCTCATGCTCAGTGCTCACCACCTACCGCCCGGCCGGCCAGAGTGCATCTGGAACAGGCAATCATTGCAAATAACAACGACTCCCTCCATCCCGAGACAAGACAAGACAATCCAAACGTCCCGCTGTACCTATGCACCGCAAGTACCATAGTCACGGGGTGCAGGCCCAAAGTCATAATCTGGTTTAACTCTGGTTCTAGCCGATCGATAAGATGGCTGATCTATATCTAGTATCACCAACGCTCATCTAGACATCTAGAGAGCAGGAAAAAAAGTTCCCTTTTTTATTTTTTATTTTTTTTATTTTTTATTTGTAGTTCCTCACCCGCGCGCCTGTGACGTTATCCAGAGTGGCATCATCATCGTCTCCCACCCACCCCCCGGGCCCCGCAAAGTTTGAAACCAGGCCGTGGTTAGCCTGCAGATTCGAACATGTAGATTATGTATGCCGGTCGGTATCCAATCGCCGGCTTGGGCGTGGAGTGTGTATGGATGGAAGGGGCGGCCGAGAAACGTCGAGAAGGACACCGTACGTTCGTTCTACATACCTCCCTTCACATGTAGAAATGGCATGAGCAATCCCAGCTCTCTAGATGCTTTGCTTGTGACTGTCGGTGCATCCCCGGCTAGCCAGGGCGACGAAAATAATTTTTTTTCTTAGCTTCTTGATCAAGAGCGGGGTTGAACTTTCACAGTTGAGTTGCGGGGCAGGAGGGATGAGCTCGAGGAGAGGGGAAAGCAGCAAGCAAGCTGGAAAGTGTTGGGGGTGCACAGCCATGCACGGTGCGATTTTGGGGCATAGTGTGCGAGGGGCGGTGAGTGAGTGAGATGTTGTGATTTCGACGAGAGGGGGAGAGTTGATTCTTTGAGTAAAGTAAGTGGAGTAGTTGAACCCTAACCCTCAATCGTTACTACACCTACACCTAACCCTGCTTATTCTAGTTAGTACGCATGTGTCAAGTACCAACGCCTAAGACGAGTGATAGTCCTCACTCCGCCGCTGAACTAAGGATGAGTGAGATTAGGTAGTGGCCGATCTTTGGGAGATATCGTATCTGAGATTACTACATACTAGTACTTTCATGCTCTAGCCCCCGGCCAGCAAAGCCACACCACACAGCTTGCTAGGTAGCTGGCTGGCTGGCTGTCAGCTGTATCAGAGTCTATTTCAACTGTCAAGTGACATCTCTCTACTCTGTGTAGATCTTTGGACTTTACTCGTCAGCGCCTACGAGTAAAGGTGATCGATTGTAATAAGGAATTAAAGTGGCTGATACTAGCTAGCTAGCTAGGCCAGTGGCCATGGGTGGCTAAGCATATACTCTATATAACCTATCTATATCCTAGCACAGGGCGATTACTTGTATATATATAGCTGATATGATGACTACATCTTGTACTCTATCTACTCTGCACCTCCACAATTGAACCTATCGCCACGAGCACCACTCAGCGCATTGTGCTGAAACAGCACTTTGCAGACTCTATGATTAAGCGTCCATTCCACCAGCCGCAGCGAATCCCCGCGCGAGATCCTCGGGGAATGATGCTCTAGCCAGAGTAGTTCTACCCATGTACTCAGGTATGTATGTACCTCATTGCGGGATCATGGTCTGGGGATCACACTCAACCCATATGATAGATATATACGAACACTGCAGCGGTGCCTCCTCCTCCCCTGACTGGACAGCTACAGACAGTTAGGCAACCAATGGGCTCTCAACCCTAGCCCATGCCAAGGGCCCCGCCAACCTCAAGTGATGAACGTACTCACCGAGCTTTTTGGGAGATGGGCTTCACCACCGAACTGGAGAGCTGTTTGCCAGATATCAGCACAGCTCCAGACATCAGGTCGAATCAAATCATGTATGCCATCTCCCATCTCCCCAATCCCCAGTCCTCAATCCCCAGTCCTCAATCCCCAACCCCCAACCCCCAATCCCCAATCCCCAATCCCTCGAATAGACAGACAGACAGACAGACAGAACCAAGAAACAAATCCGGCCCCAACTAATATCCCCACTATACAAACAGAATTCAGCCATATACCCAAACCCCACCTAGCCAGCCAGCCAGCCAGCTACCCAGCTACCCAGCGCCATCATGAACCTCCTCGACCTCCCCCCCGAGCTCATCATGCTGATCGCCGAGAGCCTCGACACCCTCTCCGAGCTCAACAACCTCACACGCACCAGCCGTGTCCTCCACCACATCACCACCAAACTCCTCTACACCGCCATGGACAAGAACGCCGTCCTGCGGTGGGCCGCCCGCAACGGCCGCAGCACCCTCCTCACCCTCGTCCTCGACATGGGCGCATCCATCGACGCGCCCGACAGCGACGAGCGCACCGCCCTCCACTGGGCCACCACCTACGCGCACGACGCCCACCTCATCACCCGCCTCGAGCACGGGCAGGAGATCCACGCCGTCGTCAAGTCGCCCCTGCACACCGTCCCCCGCGACGACGAGTACGCAACACCCGCCAAGATCCTGCTCGACCGCGGCGCGGACATTGGCGCGCGACCGTGGTTCCGCGGCCGCCCGGTGCACGTGTTCCATGCGCCGCTGCACTGGGCCACGGCGTGCGGGAACGTGGCGGCCGTGGAGCTGCTGCTCGACCGCGGAGCGCAGATTGAGCAGAAGGGCGGCATGGTGCGGTATACGCCGTTGATCCTGGCGGCGATCAATGACCATGAGAGCGTTGTGAGGGTGCTGCTGCAGAGGGGCGCCGATGTGAGGGCGACGACGATGTGGAATGAGACGGCGCTGCACTGGGCGTCGTGGGCGGGGCATGAGGGGGTTGCCGCGGCGCTGCTGGAGTATGGCGCGCCGGTGGAGGACTTGGGGTCTGATGCGCAGACGCCGCTGATTGAAGCTGCAAGGGAGAATCATAAGGGGCTGGCACGCATCCTGCTCAAGCATGGTGCAAATGTGAATGCGCACAACGTCGACCACGACACGCCGCTCAACATCGCCGCACAGCGCGGGTTCCAGCGGATGGTGGCGCTGCTGCTCGAGCACGGCGCAGACCTCACCATCAAGAACCACACCCGCTCGCCGCTGCACGCCGCGGCCTACATGGGGCACGAGTCGATCGTGGCGCTCCTCCTCGACGCCGGCGCCGACATCGACGAGCACCTCGAGCACGACGGGTATAACCTCCTTCACACCGCCATCCTCGGCGACGGCGGTCTCCCGCTCATACAGCTCCTCCTCGACCGCGGCGTGCAGCCCACCGACACCACCGCCACCGGCCAGACCGCCGTCTCCCTCGCCCACACGCACAAAAAACACGACCTTGTCAAGGCAATGCTCAACCACACGCCCTTCCGCCCACTGCAGTACCTCACCGCCCCGAGCAGCTCCGCGACCCAGACGCATTCCACATCATCGTCAAGGCGAGCGTGCAGCTGCTCGACGCCCACGCCGTCCCCGCAACCCACTACCTCACCGACGCACTGCACGCCGCCTGCTCCGCGGGCCTCACCGACAGCGCGCGCATCCTCATTGCCGCAGGCGCAGACGTCAACGCCCCTGCCGGCGACCCGTGCCTCTCGCCGCTGCTGTGCACCGTGGCCAGCGGCAACGAGGCCACCGTGCGCTTACTGCTTGCGGCGGAGGCGCACGTCGACGACGCGCACGACGCCGGCGGCTGCGACGCGTGCGGCGAGCTGGGGCTGGCCATGGTGGGGGCGGAGCGTGTGGCGATTGTGAGGGCGCTGCTGGAGGGCGGGGCGGACGTGAATTGTGGGGATGAGTGGGGGCAGACGGCGCTGCATCGTGTGGTGCGGGAGGGGGAGGAGGGGGGCGGGGGGGAGGTGGTGAGGTGCTTGATGGGGTGGGGCGCGAACCCGGATCAGTCGGACTGCGAGGGGTGCACGGTGTGGGATGCGGCGGGTGAGGAGGGGTGGGCGAGGAGGGCGCTGATGGAGGCGGGAGTGGCGGATCCGTATCGGCATTGGAAGGAGGCGATGGAGGAGATGGGGCAGTGAGTGGGCTGTCTGTGCTTTTGCGAGGGGGGGGGGGGGGGGCTTGTGTTTTTTTATTGTTGTCTTGTTATTTGGGAGAGGTAGTTACGGTGTACTGGCGATATTATATCTGACTCTTCAGCTGTTTTTGTTGTTTCTGCGCAATGCATGATATGTAGTGTGCCCCATATATGGCCATTGAAGCGGGGAGGTGGGGGGAAAGTTCTTGTGTATTTCAAAGATGATTTTTATATCCCATAGTGATCACTCCATTAATTTTGCAGAACTGTCTCCATTCTTGTTATTATCAGGAAATTCATGCAGCGCCCCCTTAAGTTTGCTCTTCTTCTAATTCGATCGACCGAGTGAGCGTCTGTGCGCCAAGTCGCACGCCGGGGTATTTTTTTTTTTTTTGTTTAATTCATTAATTGCATCGCACGCCGGGGTATATACGGATGATATGACATTATGTAGGTTGGGTGATCATGAGTGATGGTACAATTAACTACACACATGTATGTAGTTATGTCCTGGGACTTGGAAGTAATGTGTGTCTATGTGCTGCAACTACAGGTTGATAAGATTGAGAGAATACAAGTAGTTTGGCATTCTTGTATTAGGTAGTCTTAATTAATAACGGATCCGGACATGCAGTTCAGTAAACACCACACCGCAACCCGCTTCCGGCTTTAAAATTATATTGGAATGTTGATATCTATCTATCTACGTCTATACAGAGAGCTGGTGGGGAATAGTTAATTATGAGAAACCTGGATGGAAAATACTTGTTTCTGTATATAAGTACAATTGCAAGCAGCGTAATTAATTGTATATCCCAGTTGCAAGAATGCCACAAATCAACTGCACGTACATAGGCAGTGTGATAGATTCGGAGGTGTAGGTACAGGAGAAATTAAAAGAAATAATATAAAATCCATTGCAAGGTCGACTGCCCTTTCGAATATCCACCATATACATATACACTCTCTACATGCAATAATCAAGTATTCCACGGCAGCCAAGTAATATTTGTATGTGAAGGCTTGCTGAGCAGCTAGGGAAACAGAGTACTTTTACTGCATATCACGACTAGTAGTACCTGCACTATATACTTTATACCACTTCTGCGCTGTACAGATATGCGGTGACAGAACGAGCAGAATATGTATGCGTAGTAGCTAGTGAGTTGACGCTGGTCAAGGATACGTGAATTAGGACACGAAGAACCAGGATACGGTGGCAACTGGCGGAGGACTACTTGAGAGCAGAGAGCCATCGCTCTTCCTTGACATATATCATCATCAATACAATTAAGTTACAACTTCACACACTCTTCCGATCATACCACTAGCTAGGCCTTCACTGCATATTATAACAAAATGGCCAATCACCCCAACTTCGTCATCATTGCCGAGCACCTCGATGCGATAAAAGATGAGGTCGCGCTTATTCCAAACATCGTCCCCCTCACTGCGGACACGTTCCGACAGGAGGTGCAACAGATATTGGGCACCTTCATGGCCGCGAGTTTCGTGAAAGGTACGTCGCGTTCTACATTATATCAAAGCCCTTTCGCCCCAGCCCCCTATAATCCTTCGTACTCTTTGACCACGAAGTATATCCCGCCCTGCTCTTCCCATTACTGACAGAGCAAAACAGCCAAATCCTGCTACCGATGCGCCTTCACAATGCCACGGTGAGCGACGGGGCACCCCTGCGCTACACACGGTATGCCAATCACGCGGCGCGATGTATTAACGCTGAGTAGTACAGTCGCCTCTCGATATAAGGATTCTTATAAGGCGAGTATCACTATAAGAAGTAAGGAGATACTGGTAAAAGGGTATTTCGGGACCACCGATTGCTATCATTATAACGAGAGTATCACTGTATGAAGTATCACTATAAAGAGAGTCAACTATAGGCTTACTTTCTCTCTCCCGCCACCCCAAGTGTTAGATCAGGTTGCAATTGCTAACCAAGGGTGTTTGAATTGATGGGCAGGCGAACGGTGTCAGCTAACCTCCACGGTGCTTGGGCTCCCACTACTAGGGAACCCGACGGTTGCGTCACGGAGGAGGCAGATAGCAGATCATTTGGGAGTTACCTTAACAGATTGAAGTTAGGGTGCTCGAGCTGTGATCAGTTACCTGAGTTTTCACATGCTTGTTTCCTTGCTCGGTTTGTAATTAATTAGCATTATTTCTTCAACCGTCCGGGGGTCAAAATTAAGCTCACCCTCATTTCTCTAGCCTGTAGTAGTCCTGAGGTATAGGTAGTCTTCATGTGAAACCTTGAGATACAATATGGCTTACATGCCGGCAGATTACTAGTATAAACGGTATGATATTTTAGGGTGAATGATGCGGGGGTGGGTGTGAGAGGATCGGTGGGTTAGGGTTACCACATTTTTCTTGAAGTGAGTAATATTTGGGGGTTTTACTCACTACACGGACCTAGATGTACCACTTGTGTTGGTGATAGCTACTTAGTCGGGATTCGCCCAAGCAGTGACGGAGCGTCGAAGAGGAGAGTGAGCACGCACTATAGCTACACAATCGCTGAGAGGCAGGGTCCAAGCTATATCTGTCCCCTAGATTCTCTGAAGAGTGCTTGTTAATTGCTCGAAAACTGGTGGAGTTATGGTGCATAAAGTAAGGGGAAATAATGTTGCATCTCAATCATCCCCCCCCCCCCCCCATAGCAACCACCCCCCACTAAGAAATTTCTAGCGCAGCAACCACATAAGATATTACTCTGCCCTTCGGAACCCCAATACTATAGATGCGTAGGAATAATATATACCCCCCAAACCATTTTTATTTTAATTGTATTAATGTCATCTATCACTTGAAACATTTGAAATGCAAATCTTGTCCCTTCGGTTCAAGAAATAATTATTTTGAGATTTTTTTATATATTTCTAGACTAATCAATTATCCTCTCCTAAAACCGTGAGCCTTTATCTTGAAAATTGGTTGTTTTGTTCCAGCACCGCCGCTGGTACATTTGGTTGTCGTTGCGGCGTCGTTGGGCGTCGTCGGACCTGATTTGTCACCTTTAAGAGTACTAGTGGGCGCACCATAACTACAAGTAAATACTCCGTTTCCCTTCCCAGCGAGCCCCCTGCCAACTGAGCCAGCTTGAGAGGCTCCTCCACGCAAAAAAAAAAGGTTTTCAAACCTGCCGCCAGTCTACCCACCGGTCTGAAAAACCTGAAAAACCCCTGGTATTCTCCCTAGCTGTAGCATTGGTAGGTTGGATCTGAGCTGACCGATATATGGACCGATTCCCATTTCCCTTCCTATAGCTAGCTAGGCCTGTGAGTCTCAATCAAGCTAGGTTTTGTGTGTGATTGATATATTACTACAAAGCTTTCGACTGGCAGCTCCCCTCCCCCCCCCCCCCCCCCCCACATCACGGGGTCTCCTAGGTTCCCGCATACAGCTTACTGTCAGCTTTCATTTGTATATACCATGAGCAGAGGATACATATTGATTTGTTGCGTATATATTTTTACTCTGGCCATTCAGCCGTGTCCATTAACGTTAATATAATCACCAACAACCAATCAACCAACCCAGAAAGGCTGTCCACACATCCGATCCCGCAACGCCGCAGAAAGCGGAATCGAGAAAGTCCCCCCCCCCCCATACAGCATCAGAGCGGCCAGATGGATACATATACACCCGCAGCGCCGACATGATGCCCGACGGCAAACTTCTGAGCTAGGGCGAAGTTTCTAACTCCTCGAACAGTAACAGTAGTGAAGAAAAAAAAAAAGAAATAGCGGAGTAATAGGTACTTGTAGCAACGGGGACAGATTTCAGAACCCAAGCTGCAGATGATCGAGAAACACATAAAATACATGTCTGGGAAGATTCCGACGAGTGTATTGAGTTTTATTTGTTTTTGTAAGAACCGAGTGATATATCGTGATGCACGGCAACCCTCGAGCAGCTATATCAACAGGTAGCTGCACGAGCTTTAGTAGCTGTACTATAGGCATATATTAGTATCTAGATCGCCTGCTCGTATCCAGTACTCTCCCACGGCGCCCCAGGAGCTGTTTCACATGCCCAGGAGCTATATCAGTAGCTGCGCTCGAGTTCAGTCCTCATCACATCTCCAGAAGCCCTATCAGGATCACTTCTAGCCCAGGAGCTACCCCATCACCTGCAAATCGATTATTGTTGCTTGATTTTATTTGTTTCTCCACCATACGACAACGATGTTACAACGGGTGGATGAACCACAGTGCTAAGAGCATAGATAGATATTGCGAGACATCAGAGGATCGATCGATAAAAATAATATAGCTAGGAAAATAATATCGCTAGCCCATACCGCAGGTATTCTCACAAGTCAGGAAATGAACAGAAAAGAAAATAAAAATAAGAAAGAAAAAAAGAAGAAAAAAAAGACTCGAGTCCGCTTCTCTGCCACGCCTCTAGGAGCTCTGTATGCGCCAGTCATTATGCTCACCCCGTAACCGCCGCCGCGCAGAATCTAGCCGGGGCAAGCCCACGCCCACCTCAATGGTCTCATTATCAGCACACACCCCACTCAACAACCTGATGATCCCCGTCGCTGCAGAATGCATCGCCGCAAGTATCAAGGGCGACCGCTCCTCCACATCCATCACGTTCACGTCCGCCCCTCGATGCCACAGCATCATCGCAGCCAGGTCCCCCCATTGCACATCGCCATATGCAGCGCTGTCTGCCCGTTGTTTGTTGCCTCTATGTCTGCGCTATGGTCGAGCATCTTTTGCACGTCATACTCCCTCCTCGACCACGCCGCAAGATGCAGCGCCGTGAGCCCGGACTTGTCACGTCCGCCCCGCTTTCCAGTAGCATCTCAAGCGTATCATGGCTGTCTGCAGCGCCCAATGCCAGCACCTTATGGAGCACGGTAAGCCCATCGCTATCCTGCGCATTTGCATCCGCTCCATTCTCCAACAATAACCATCGGATGTCATCACATTCGCTCCAGCTGCGATAAAACCGGTGTTTACTATGGAACTGGTACCCCGGAGCATTTACTTCTGCTGCGCACGCAATCGCAGACGAATTCTCCTTCTCCCGTTCACCTGGCACATCCATCACTAGCGCTAGCATTAACGGCGACTTCCCGTTATTAGACCTCCCATTCACATCGGCGCTAAATTCTAGCAAGATCCGCACAACCTCGACATTCTGCTTCGAGAGCGCATCCTCCATCACCGTCCGGCCATTCCTCCCCTTAAACATCATATAATCCGCCCCGTTCTCCAACAGCACCCTCGTAACAAACAGGTGCGAATTCCTCGCAGCAAGCCAGAGCGCATTATCCCGCTTACCAACCATCCACTCCTTGCCCTCCCCTGCGGCTAGCAATATCTCCACTATCTCCAACTTCCCGGCCAGCGCCGCATACTCAAACGCCGTGTACCCACGCTCGCCCGGCGGATCCAGCAGCACCCCACGCTCAATAAACAGCTTCAACACCTCCGGCTGATCATCCTTCACCGCAGTATACGCCAGCGACCGATTACTCCCCTCCCCGTGAATAGATATCCGCACCCTTGTCTAGTAGCAGCTTCACAACCTTAATATGGCCCAACCTAACGCCGACCTGCAGCGCGCAGTGTACACTCTTCCTCGCCCTTTCACATAGCCAGGGGGCTTCCTCGCAAGAAGAGTGACAGCAGGTCGACTCTGTTCAGTTCAGCGGTTAGCTGCAGCAGGGTGACCCGGAGGTCGTCTTCCGCGTCGATCTCAGAGCCAGCATCGAGGAGGACCTTGAAGAGCTCCTCGTCCTTATGGCCTATGGATACAGCTAGCTGCAGCGGGGAGAGACCGCCTCGGAGCCTGGCCTTGACGTCGGCGCCGGGATCGAGGAGAGCCTTGATGACGTCGACGAGCGGTCCCGTGTTTCGTTGGTAGGTGGTGATGGCATAGGAGAGGGCAGTCTCACCGTCAGTTGTGGAGTACTCGTTGATGCCGGCATTGCTGGTGAGCTTGAGGACGAGCTTGACGAGGGGGAGGTAGCATTTCCAGGCAGCCCATTGGAGCTGTGTGAGGTGTTTGTGTACCGGTTGGATGGCGAGCTTGTGGAGGTGGGGTGTGAGGAGGACATTGAAGTGTTGAGAGGTTAGAATGAGCTGGGAGACAGACCGGGTGTCCAGGCGAGTGGCTACGAGATATAAAAGCTCTGTTGGGAGCAGCTCTAAGAAGGCCATCTTGCTTTTTGGGGGAGAGGAGGTGGTGGTGGTGGTGGTGGTGGTGGGGACTATAGCTAGCTTCTGAGCGCGAGGTAAATAAATAAACAAGTGGGTTGGAGTGTTTTGAAGCAGCTGTGACGCATAGTTTATATCTAGAGGCTGGGAGTCCTGGTTACCCGGGGTGTGTATGCACAGCGGAATCTTGATTGTACGTTTCTGGACTCTGATCTGCGTTTTTCTGCCTGATTTGCGGGAACAGCTTGCGGTTGGTAGGTATGTTAGCTGCACAGAATACTGCATGTAGCTACATGTATGTAGTGTCCCGAGTGATATTCCATGATTATCAACTTTTTGGGGCAAGAACAAGAAACTAACCAAACCCACTAGACAAGGCCGAAACGACCATTATGTATGTAATGCATGCAACGAGGGCAAGATATTACACACGGTTTCGTTCAGGCTGTTTGTGACCAGGGTCTCACTATATATATATGAGTGATGCTCAAGTTCGATGGTGCTCAAGTTCGATGATGGATAAGATGAGGATGGTGGTGGTGGTGGTGATGATGATGATGATGATGATAACTGACGATGTATGGGTTGGTCTATGCAGGTTACGAAGTCTACATGTAGTGTCTTTTATACAGGTCTGGAAACGGGACAGCTTCGCTTGATCGACCCGCTAGCTCCAGCTGGCCACGTCTCCGCTGAATCGTGTCACAACACAGTTACCAAAAAGCGGGTGGATCCAGACACCTATCTAGTAGAATACTACAATACTACGTATACGGTATTGCTACGGTATAATAAGTATGTAGGATTCCGATTTAATTCGGTGGTTTTTGCACAACCCCGTACTGGCACAGTACATATTACATTTTTCGGTACTGGAGTCTGCACATATATACCACAGCAGCAGGACTTGAACGCACGGCAAAATTGCTTTATAATTATGTCCTCAGTATATATACCAAAAATTAAAGTACATTTGCCCAGCTAGCCAGCCTGGCTACTCGAACAACATCCCACATTACTCGGACATTGGACGGGAAGGGGAAAAAGAACAGTTATAACGTACCAGCCCAGCTTCTATCTTTATTTCGCCAACCACCACCAGCTGCTCCAGTGAGAGCTATGTAGGTACCGTATTCGGGCGGTCTACATCATATATATATCCCTCAGCGTCAAAGACCTAACTAGGGCTAGTTACTGAGTATTACAAGCCAATCCCCAAGCTGCATGCGCAGAGACACCCGATGATCTACTGGGGGCCAATGATCATTGTGTCGGAATTGGCTACAATAGCTGAGCTGAATAAGACGCCCTCGATGGTGTTCAGGAGCTTTGCCGGATGATTATAGGTACCCATAGCTAGGTGCATGACGTTTCCGACCACGAGTGATATCTGATGCTATACAAAAACTCACGTACCAGATCTTTACCTGGCATGGCATATAGTATCAGCATGAAGTTGTGGGTGCGTTTACCCGAGTCGGATCAAGAGATAGAGCTAGGAAAGAAGCTAGGTTGTGGATCATTGACTCGAGACCGCTATTTGCATTATTGAGGCAGAGAGCTAGGAAGGTGCCCTTTATAAGAGGGAATGCATATAATGACGGAACGTCTACAAAGCTAAGTAGGTAGGTTAATTACAACGTTATACATTCCCGTTGATTGCATAGATGCCGGCCACTCGGCCTTTGCTCGCCCAAAGCTGTGGTTCATCATCTGTGGTGACGTGAGTTTTACGGCTACGAGATATCACTCGGAGTACTTGGCCAGTATCTTAATTTCCCTAGCCAGTACTCGGATAACCCGCTCACTGAAATAGTCGCATTTCCACTATAACTATGTATAGTCTAGTGAGGGGGTACGGGGCGTCTGCATAGCTACGACAGATGTCTATGCACCTCACATCGTGACTTTAATTTGAAGCGGATTCAAACCCCCTTCATTGACCTGGTCCTGGATAGTGCAAGTTCCGGGTTCCGTACGGTAATATACTCCAAGGGGGGTTGATAATACCACATTTATACCCTATATATATACCAATCAGGTGCGCCAGTTCCACCACAAGAACGTAGAAGCATTGATATGAACCTGCATATTGCATTTCACTCCTGGGACCTCCTCCGGCGTCGAGAATACATGTAACCAGGCACCATGTGCCCCAAGAGGCAGGACAGTATCTAGAGTACATGTACTGCAATTTCAATCAAGGGTCCGATCCTCAATATCTAGTGATCATCTAATCACCCTCAGGTGATAATCTATATCTATTCCTCATATAACCAGGTCAGGTTCGAATTATCAATCAATCAATCCGGCCGCCGCACTCCAGCCACACTACACCATCTGTGGCTCCCTCCCTCTCTCCAAAGATAAGCTCCAGCCTGCACTTACTTCCCGCGGGTGTGGAAATAGGGCCGTATGCCCTCCTCTTCTCGCCAAATCTAAGGTTAAAACCCCCCCGAGCCCAGTTCGGAATAACCGACCTACTCTCCCTACCTACCTTCCCTACCTACTCACCCCAGACTCGGCAATCCTCACCGGCGATCCAACCTGTATCGCTGCGCTTTGCCTCCCACCTGCAGTACCAGCCGTTTCCACGCCAAAACCCCAGATTTTTAATTTCTTCCCCACGGCGCGGCGAGCATCCCCCCCCCCCCTTCCCCCCTCGCTCACCCTCACCCTCGGCTAACCGTCGGTCTTTTGCCCGCTTTGCTTAGGTGTGGGGATGGATCAGAGTCTAGAGTAAAGTACATACGCTGGCCGGCGATCAGTGTTGCTGGAGAAGAGTCAAGCTTTTGGCTGCCCGGTCAAGCTTAAGGCTGGGCGTGTGGAGTTGCAACGTTGGGTGGGACTAGCTGCCAAGGCTTAGGTTAGGGTCCTTCTCGGGGGCACCGGCAGGGATCTCGGAAGCGCCGGCACTGGGCATCGGCGTCGTAATTGCTCCTATTGGGCGGGCGTGGGGCTTAGTCAGGAGCAGAGGGTGAGAGAGAGATGGATGGAGGGAGTGTGCAGAAGACACCATCTAGAGTCTAGAGTCTAGAGTCTACAGAAGAGAAGAGTCTACTCTCCATACCAAAGAGAAGAGATACAGATACAGACAGACAGACAGACAGACAGTCTCTCTCTCTCCATCCCCCGTCCCAATTGTCTCCACGGCTATCCCAGCACCTCTCCCATCCCTGGGTCCAGAGTACCTCCTCCTCCTCCTCCTCCTCCTCCTCCTCCTCCTCCTCCTCTTCCTCCAAAACCCAAACCCTCACACCCTCCACCCTCACCTCAACAACCCAGTTAATTCCAGTTGTAGAATAGTAACCCAAAAAGAATTCCCCGTCCATTAGTAGTAGCTTTTCGCATCCATTATTCCCACCTCTGACTGACTGACTGATACCTGACTGATACCTGCCTGATACCTGCCTGCCTACCTGCCTGTCTATCTACCTGTCTGCCTCTCTCTATCCATATCCATCCATCCTAAATAATACCATACCCACCAGCCAGCCAGCCAGCAAGAAAAAAGTCCCGGCCACATACCCACCCACCCCCCGATCTTTCCCCGACGTATCCGTTCATCCACCAAGCGATAGCAAGAAAGGCAAAAAAAAAAAAAAAAAAAAAAAAAAAAAGAGAGAGAGAGCGGACCCCCCCCCCGTAAATACCCACCTCACCTACCTCACCTACCTCCCGAGATGAACCATGACCACGTCGACCGCGACAGCAACTCGCAGGACCGTGACGACCCCAGCCTGAGGAAGGTGCAGTTCTCGCCGCCGCCTACCACGAACGACGGCGTCTCGAACGGCGGAGGGAGCAGCAGCAGCGCGGGAGGAGGAGGAGGGGGGAGCAAGAGGAAGCGGGTGTCGCTGGCGTGCAATGCGTGCAGGACGAGAAAGTCAAAGGTGGTTTTTTTTTGTTCACGCTGGATCATCATATGATGTTTGTGGATTGAAAGGAGGCTGATATGGCGTGTGTGTGGGGCTACTACAGTGCGATGGGGTGAGACCAAAGTGCTCAATGTGTCGAGGTGAGATCTAGAACGATTGTTTTGGAGCTTCTGTTTTTGTTTCTGTTTCTGTTTTGGAGCTTCTGTTTTTGTTTCTGTTTCTGTTTTGGTTTTGGGTCTGGCTTGGTGTTGGAGTTGACTGACTGACTGACTGACTGACTGACTCGACGGTGACGCCATAGATCTCGATTTCGATTGTGTCTACCAGCAGTCTGCCTCTTCCTCAAACACGATAGTCGGGAAAGAGTAACTACATCTTCTCTTCACCATCTCCTCTCCCCTCCTCGCGATTCCATACTGACATGACCACTATCTTTACAGCTACATTGGCCGTCTCGAAACCCGTCTACTCGCCGTCGAAAACTTGCTCGCCGCACAAGCGTCGCTCTCACTCCGAAATAACCTGCCCCAAACCCCCACGGACCACAGCACCGTCAGCCATGACTACGACGAGACCAGCCACAGCCCCGAAGAGCTCCAGCAGCCGCAGAAACGCCTCAGGGTCGATGGGCCGGTGGACACGAACGGCGGAGAGACGTTTGTGAACCTGCGGCAGGGGCAATTGGAGGATGAGTCAAGCGCGCCGGACACTGTTCTTGACGGGATGGGGGCGCTCAACCTCGGCGACGAGGAGGACTATGGCTACTTTGGTACGTGCTTTTTCAAACTGCGGAATATTGGTCTGTGGAGATACTGATGATGATGATGATGATGGACTGCAGGCCCGTCCTCGAATATTGCGTTCATTGGACACGTCACCCGCGCGCTCGCAACCTCCGTCTCCGTGACCGCCGCCTTCCCCAAAGACTTCCGCCGCACCGAGAGCGCGCTCGAGCAATCATCGGCCACCTCGACCCGATTCATGTCCGCGCGCGCCTCCCCCGCGCCCCTCGACTCGGGCAGCGAGTTCGAGGCCCGCACCGGCAACGTCAACATCTACGTGATACCCCCGCGCAAGCGGGTGCTGCACTACGTGACGCTGTATTTCCAGAACACAAACATACTCTTTCCCTACCTGCACCAGCCGAGCTTCCTGGAGACGTACGAGGAGGCGCAGAAAGAGGGGTTCACAAAGGTGCGCAGGACATGGCTTGCGCTGCTGAATCTGGTGATGGCTATGGGTAGCAGGGCGAGCACGGAGCGCGAGGTTAGCGCGGAGGAGAAGTACAAGGCCGCGGAGGTCTTCTACCAGCGCGGATGGGGCCTGTGCGATGGGCACTTTCTGCGGCTGGCAAGTCTGGATTCAGGTGAGTTTTCTGTCTAACCCCCCCCCCCCTAGTGGGTCAATGATTCAGGTTACCGATACGTATTGCGTAGTGCATCTCCTCCTCCTAATGTCGCACTACCTCCAATCCACCCGCAAGCCCAACCAATGCTGGACCACGCACGGCCTCGCCGTCCGCATCGCCCTCCAGCTCGGCCTCCACTCCAACCAAGCTCTGCAGCGGTTCCCGCCGCTCGAACGCGAACTGCGCAAGCGCGCCTGGTACGGGTGCGTGCTCCTCGACCGCACACTATGCATGACGTTCGGGCGGCCCTCCGCCATCACGGCCTACGCCGAGAAGCTCGACCTGCCCCTCGACGTCGAGGACGACGTGTTCAAGCCCAACATGTCGCCCATCCCACCGTCGGGCCCCACGTCGACAACATTCTTCATCCTCAGCATCAAGCTGTACTCGCTCCTCGGCAGCATCATCGACACGCTCTACGGCGGCAATCTCGGCGGCGGCGACCAGCCGGAGCCCACGTTTGCCGATGTTGCGCGCGTCGCAGAGATTGAGGAGAAGCTGTCCATCTGGCGGCAGCAGCTGCCCAGTGCGCTCACGATCGTGTCTGCCGCCGACATCCCGGTCGGCGGGGGCCCGCCGAGTAAGTTTTGGCGGCAGAGTATCATTTTGTCGCTGAGGTACTATAATACGAGGGCGCTGCTGCATAGGCAGTTTGTGGTCAAGGGGCTGAGTGAGATCTGGGGTGGGGGCCCGAGCTGTAATAGGTTCGAGGGAGACTTCTTTTGGAACTTTGGGTGGGCGAGTATCAAGGTGTGTGCGGAGAGCGCGATCGAGACGGTGGAGATTGTGCATAAGGTCAAGTACCGCAGTGATCTGCTGGGCTTCTGGTGGTTTACGTTGTATTACAGTGAGTCCCCCCCCCCTTCCTTCTTCTTCTCGTCGAGTAGTAACGAGTGATATGTGGTGGCTGACTCTGTGGTAGCATTCAATGCGTCACTTGTGCTCGTGTCAAAGGTGTTGATACTCTCGCAAGTGCGGCAGCTAGCAATGCGGACAGACTTCGTGCCCGAGACAGGGTCGTTATTGAAGCATCTCGAGATGGCCATGGAGACGATCGAGGTCCTCGCAGCCGGGAACCGCATCGCAAACCGGTGCCAGCTGTTCTTAAAGAACCTGATGCAGTATGTCGCGCCACTAGTCACCTCCTCCCCACGCACACTGCAATCCAACCCTCTCTCAATAACCTACAACCCCGCCGCCGCCGCCGCCGCCTCCTCCTCCTCCACGCACGCACCCCCCGACCATACCTCCACCGCCGCCGCCACGCCCACGCCCACCTCCACCGCTACGCTCGCGCACACCAGCAGCGGCCAGCCGCTCGACCCCGGCGCGCCCGTCGGCGGGTACAACACGTCGCCGTTCCGCGCGCAGCTCGGCGAGTTCATGCTGGAGAGCGATTTTACCTATCTCAATAGCATACTACCGCCGCTCGGGATGGACATGGGGCTTGGGGACCACGAGTTTGGTGGGGAGGAGGGCGGGCATGGGCAGGGGGGGTTGGGCGCGCATGGGGGGTATGCGATGGGGTTTAGTGGGTAGTTGGTCCCTTTCCCCTTTCCCCCTGCTCTTGAAGGAAGGAGAGACGGAGAGAGGGAAGGGATGGTGAAAAACAAAAAAACAAAATTGGAGTTCTGTCTGTTTTGGAGGGATTTTATTTTCTATCTCGATGTTTTGTTGAGTCCTTACTTTTTTGTTTGTTTGAACTGGGTATTTTGATGGGTGGGGTTTATATTTCATGGATGTTGCATGCTGCACATGTGCTGGATGGCTGCGGCTGGGTTTTAATGATTTGGCGGGGCGGGGGAGGGAAGGGTGGGGGGTGGGTGGCTGAGGGAGTGTTTATGTACTTAGGTACTGCGTATATCCTGTGTTTATTTGGTGTGTTTGGTACATTGTATGTGTGGTTTTTATGTGTATGTGTGGTTTTTTATATATATACTGCAGAGCAGGAGCGTTAGAAAACGAGACCTTAGCTATGGTATTTTCTTTCTCGGAGTATATATATTTTCTCTACTCTCCACGTGGTTTCTACCTTTTGCCGTAAATTCGTGTTTCGCAATCATTGAACCTGGACACATTCAGCAGTTCTTCTCCATGCCCCAATTCCCCATTTTAAAGCATACTCTTAATTCTCCGCCTGCACCCCGCAGTTCCGATAAGGTACTTAAGGGCTAGTAATTCCTCCCGAATCACAAATCATCACTCGTCACCCTTTCTACCGCGTCGAGTGATAACCGATGATCCATGTAGTATTGTCTCCAAGTAGCATTGAAGGAAGACGCCGTGGTATGATCCGGAAGGCTACACCCACCTCTTATACCTCCGACGAGGCTGAACTCTACCCAAGGTCTAGAGCTGCTATTCTCCTAGTAAGCAGCATACAGGGTTCCTCTGGAATGTAGACGAGCTACAGAGCTGTATCCAGAGCTAGAAGGGCAGAGAGTGATACAGCTGTTTACAGCATTGCTATGGCAACTTTGATGCCAAGGCTAGATCGCCGACAGGCAGCGCTAGTATGTAGATAAACCTTAATGTCCGCCCGGTTTCTCTTGGCGCGCCTACGGGTTGGTTGTCCTGGAGTCTCTCCAGACCTTCACACCTAGAACTATACACAGCTAGCTAACGTACTACAAAATCACACAGCGGTTCAAAGTGAGTTGATCTGTATAAGCACTTCCCGTGGCCCATACATCTCTAACTACCATCACGACCCAGCCTCTCTTCTTTCACTACTTATTCTGCCTTTGAGCGGATGAGAGGTTAAGTCTCAACTTTATATCTTGGGGTTAATATTGGATGATCAAAGGGCCAATCTACGGCTCACTTCTTTTAACCCTCGAATAAAAGTTATATCAGCCTGAGTGAGCTATATCTCTGTCCCTACCCAAGAGAGGAAAGTACAGTGGTAGGTAATATGTGATGGAACGGAGCAAACCTGTTTTGGTAAAACGCCACTAATATTTGGTGTTTGTACTCTCAGGGCATTCCATCACTTATTACCTGTCGCTGTACAATAGCTTACCTGATTCTACTATAGATTGATGTAATTTTGTTCCCGCAAAGCAAATTAGTTAAAGCTAAAATCCGAATTTCTAAATTGCATAAACATATCATTTCAACTCAAAAAATAGCACCGCTACGTAACACCGCCAGGCCTGTAGGCCCCCCAAACCCCAAACCCCAAACCCCAAAACTCCGTATCTTTACCTACTCTTAATGCATAAATCTAAAGTCTAACCTCTTATTCCCCTCGTCTTCTGTCGTCGCTAGGTAGTTCGCTTTCTGCGTGGTGTCCATCTTCCCCCATACCTTCTCCTTCTGCGCATTCCTCCACACATAATACTTCTTAACTCCCACAAATAAGAGTATGTCGAATAATGCGATGCATATCAGTGCCGTGTTTCCGCGACGATCTGTGTTTCTCACAATCAGCTTGTTGAACGAAAAAGGGAAAGGAAAGGAGAGTACTGACAGTCAGGGCGGTCATCTTCGCGATATATTGTCGCTGCAAATATCGATGAGGACTGAACGGCCATGTTGTAAATTGCAGCGGAGACGCTACGGGTACGGACCGAGCCAGAGTTTGAAGAGACCCAGGCCACAAGGATTGCATGCGCTAAGATTGAAAATTAGTGGGGGAGCGTTAAGGCGAGGTAGAACGAGCTTACGGTAGGGATGGCCACAAATCAACGTGGTGATCAGATACTTAAACCAAGGGTTTGCGTGTGATGGGAGAAACCGGAGAAGAACGAGGAACGGGAGGGTCCAAAGAACTCCAAAGGAAGCAATGAACGTCTTTTCAGAATAGCGGCCAGAGAGCTTTGTAATTTTCAGAAGCTGGGCGGAATTTAGCTCAATACCTAACAAGCTTAAAGAAGGGTAAGATCCTCACCATGAAGATTAATAGCATTGTGGATGGCTAAAGGTTTGAGAACGGATCAGTACGCCCCTCAAGATTCTCAGGCGGAGTAAGTAAATCAACTCACAATAGTCAAAAGATTGCTCTGCATCACGTCGAACCCCAAGTCCCTCAATGTCAGAGTCAAATAACTCATTGGCGGATTCATTGGTATATATGCCATAACTCCCACCTGGACTTTGTTAGAACTCTCAACCACCTTTAGTTCTCACCACGAAACGTACCACATAGAGCGGCCACATGTCATAATCCATCAGACTTTTGAAAAACCCGCTTGCTCCAATAGCTTGTCGGTTATGCATGTCGCCCTTTGTCGGATCATCTCGCAGGATTCTATTGACCATAATCACTTCCTCCCTCGGGGTGAACCTAGATTTGTCAATATTTTAAGAACACAGAAAAAGATAACAGGGTGCTAACCATCCATCCTCGCCCCGAAAACGGCTTTTTGTTTGTGTGGGAGAAGGTGGCATATAGAACCAGCTGATTATCCCAACAATCTACCAACTGGTTAGTTAAGTTTTGGGAATTGGTACCAAGTGGGTCCTTACTCCTGTGGCACTTCCTTCTATTACAAATCTTTTAGGAAACAAGTTTGTTAGCTTATGAAATGATAGAGCAAGGGAGTGGGTTATTACAGGTATCTCCAGCCTTCCCAACCATATGATCCCCGCAAAGAAAGAATTCCACAGGCAAGAAATGAGGCAAAAATCCCTGTAAGAGCGGTTCCAGTCCAAAACCAAGAAAGTCGGACAGGAAGTTCCTATTTCTATTGTCAGTTGATTTCTCACTACAAATAATGTGCCTTGATATAACCTTTGATGTGTAACTAGTGGGGCAAGAATAGTTAGCCAGCTGTAATAAAGAAATCAAATACTTCAGGTTGCATGCAATCAATGAATTAAACAAAAAAAAAAAAAAAAAAAATCAAATACTTCGGGGAAATACTTACAAGTAAGACAGGTACAAAATTGCGGTAGGGATAACTATTGGCGCTGTTAGTATACCTGCTTTTTTTTTAGGCGTTGCAAGAGATATACTGACATCCTCCCTCGATCATTCCCACAAGTCCTCTAGTAATGAAAAAGGAAGTCCTGCCGGTCAATCCGCACTATAACATACATTAGATATATGTTTTGGCATCGTGGAATATATGATCGTATCTACCTGCGCTGCAGCAACCACGCTCCATAATATCATCTGTACGGGAATCCATCTGTGCGGGCCGATTCTTTTGCTGAGCATCTGTGATGGAAGCTCTGCAAGCAGAAACGAAGAATAGAATATCGCCTGACCAATGTTGTAATCTGTACAGGCATTTAGAAAAAGTATATGGTAGCGGGAAACTTCAGCAAAGAATTTACCATTTGTATTCATTCCCAGGTCCTCCAAAAAATTATCTGTCATCGCCTGTTCTAATATACCATCAGTCCAGCCCACTATATCACGCCCTCGTCACATCGAAAAGCATACTTATATTTCCTCTATCCAACTGCAACGCAATAAACATAACACAACACCAGCTCATAATCCATTTATCGATCTTGGATACTACTTTCTCCTCTTCCGCTTTTGTCCAATCTGCCCTTGGATCGAACCGGTGAAGGCCCTCGTAGAGATAGTGAGGTTGATAGAAATGCGCTAGTACTGGATCATCGAATACTGACTGTTGGACCCCTGAATCGGAAGTGCTGCTTTCTAGGGTATCGTACGAGCCTTTCTGTTCGTTGGATAGAAGGGGTGCAGACGAGGAGGAGGAAGCGGAAGCAGGTCGCTTGGACTCTTGGTTCTCAACGGGGCGGAATTCCTTCATGGCTGGCTAGCTATCAGTACGGACCCTTGAGAACTTGGGCAGAACCTGTCCTCAGGATAGTCGGGAACCAGAGGACTTTTGTAACCCCATGATTGAGGGGGTTGATGATATCGGCAGTCGGGAGTTTGAACAGGTGAAACCAAATACATGTAGCTGGGTTGCAACGTTAAACACATATGGATAGCTGTTATCAAGCTTCTCAAGCTACCCCTGTCTGTTCCAGGTGGTGCGACGCAAGGTACTGATGGCGTATTACCACGTGCAAGGGACCCCGTTGCTATGTAGATTTCGCCATTTGATGACAGAGCTCGCCATATCCAGTCCGGTTTAGTATTTAATTGAAAACCTCCCCAGATGAACCAAACCCAATAAGAATTCCTGTCTTGTGTCTTGGAGTCCTCGTGTGCAAATATTCTGTTGATCATGCTCACATGGGGAACGGTAGAGATACCGAAGTGTTGTTTTCAGCCCCGTTTGATACCAGGCTGTGGGGGTTATGTCAAATATTCTCTGCAGCTGCCGCCGTGGATAGATCATTAACAACTCAAAACCTCAGTCGTTCCATAAGAGCCACGTTATTGGCCGAGAGAAGGGAGCTAAGTTCTGGTAGTAAACCTATAAATAAAGCGCAGTAGAAAGATCAATTACTACGAATATGAATCAGTCGCTATGTTGAAATTGACTCAAGTTATAGTCCTCGTGCTGTCTACTCTGGTATATTAATCACCTTTTCTGGGGTCTACTAATATGTTTATATATTAAGGTATTATATATAGACAGCTGATTCCTGAAGTACATCTATGGAGTCAGTACTTAGGAGTTAAAGTTTCTTTTTCCCTTGCCTCCATTCTCTCACGAAATTTGATGTCTCAAAAGTAATCAACCTCGAGGGCTAGCCTCACCGAGTTGACGTTTTCCGACCCACAAGGGAGAATTATGCATATAGATATATCTACGCCAATCATCTCAACCAGGCCTATCTTTACGGTACTGTACAAGTGGAAAAAGTATGGTGATAAATGGGGGTTAGGTTCTCAAATAAACAATTAAACTTCACTTGTGGTAACTCGAGAAAGTTATAGGACCGACATCACCCCCGGTGTTGCCTCCGCAGTGCCTCTACCAACAATATCGAATAAGAAACATCTTGCCCTCCTCGGTCCACTTTGTAATATCTTACTCCAGTTCGCGAGTCGAAAGCATGATTCATGAGGATACTTGAGCCATCCGCGGAAATCTTCCATCTCCTCAGACTTAAAATCTTATCTAGAGTCGAGTTTTATAATGGCCATGGTTCGTAAACACCAAACTAGCTGAGTTAGATTATCGTTGAAATGGAACACAAGAAATGCGCGTCATGTACTATAGCTATATCCTTCTGTGCGCTTGCAACAAAGTATTATAATCGGTTGACTGCGTCTGTAGGATATTTGCGAAACTCCCCCCTCATAGAGAGGTTCATGATTGGTGAAAGCCACCTCCACTACTCTACATGTAGCTCCAGAATCCTTGGCAATATTCCTGAATGGACTGGGTGGGCCTGAGGGATTGGGACAACCGCCTAGATAACCTTAACCACAACTTTCCAACGTGGGTTCCTCTTATGAAACATCATTAGGACTACAAGCCATGCATAATACAGCTCTATCAAATTCTAAGTTCCTACGACATATCATTGCCCGAATAAGCTGATATGCCCTTCGCCCGAGAGTTTTAGCTTCGACGCCAGTTAAACAGAGAGCCAGACAGGTTGGACAGAAAGCCCAGAAATTTTAGGAAAGACTTACAAAAACGTAGCCAATGAGAGCCAATGAGAGGCGCAGTACCTTCCGTCCGAGTGGTCGACTTTCTATCCAGCTGGCGCAGTCAAAACTCTCTATTCACCGGTCGCAGCCTAACGAAATCTAATGATACGCCCGTGCTAGATCATCTAAAGCCGCCACGTTCAGGCGGTTCAAAATTTAAAAGGAAAGGAACTGAGTTCAGTACCTAGGATTCCCACATGGTCACCCACTGCAGTACTAACTAGGCGATGTGTTGTTTATGCATTCTATGACTGAACACATCGGTAATGATCGAAATGTTGGTTTTATTATAATATCACTTCAGATGTGCAACGGTTACTAATAAAAGTACTCGACCGTGGTAGCGCTGGCGCATTATTGAATCGCTTCCCTCCAAAAGCATTAGACCGGTGACTTTGCGTTTCTGAAGAAGGACCGAGCTTATGAATCGAGGGAGAGATCGACCGGAACTCTAATTTGTTTTCTCGCTAGAAAGTATGTAAAGCGGGGTCCCGATAGTACTACTACCACCGTAGAATGCGTGCTAATCGTTGGCCAGTCCCGAGGAAACTCGCGCGGGAAATTGTAACTTTAGTCACTTAAACGTTCGGTAGAAGTATACTCTCGGCAGTAGCACACTGGGCGACGTTCCGGAGTATACATTATCTTAGTACTATGATCGCGGGCTCAGACTTCACTGTCCGTACATGTACTTATATCACCGCAAAAAAAGCTTAACAATGCTTATATAGATCCCTATTCAAGGTTATGGAACCTTTCTCTAGAAGCAAGTCCTATATAACCCCAGCTTTCTACGTACAAGTATGAGATTCTATCTAGCGGTTTGACCATTGGCATATTTTGATGCCTTTAAGCTTTGTAGGACCTCGGTACATACAAGTGCTTTCATTCGAGGAGCGTTTGCATTCCGATAAAGTCCTTGCGTTATATATCGCTCCCGGGGGAAGAGTCCAATAAGAGTAAGTCTAACAAGTTTTCCCTATTCCATGCCCGATGGCTGCTGTTTTAACAATGCATTCTGTTCATTTTGGTGATGATTCCTTCCGCTTTGCTACAAGTTTTAGGGATAAGTATGTATACCAAAACACGCAATTCTACTATGTATGCCCTCGCTTATTCTGGTGTGCGGTTGCGCGACCACTGCTTAGAATAAAAATAAAAACCAAAGTTTATGTATTGTTTTCACGGTTTCTACTAGGTGGTATTCTTGCAAAAAAGAAGCTCTGAGACCGATTTGAACGATCGACCCTGCGATCTGCAATCGCATGCTCTAACCCCTGAGCTACCAGAGCAACCTGTCCACAGGACTATTCTAATGCTTCTTGTTCTTTCACTGTGGTTGCTGTGTAACGGCCGATGCATTGGTGTCCCTGGCCTAGCACCGAAAGGGAAATGGTGGTTGTTTTTGTGCGGAATTCCCCGCTCCTTATGCGCTCCAGAGCTATGTTCCAGTCTGGTAGAGTAAACATCTTCTTGAGCGCAACACAGTCAGACGAAACATCGCTAAGGTTTAACATTCACAGCGACGACGTGCCGAAATACGGATTGTGGAGAATTGGTGTGAATCTCACTAAAGATCGATTGGTAACGTCGTTAACTCCTTCCTAAGCAGGCACTCCCTCTTGATTAGGTTGTCAAGAGACTCAGGCAAAAGTAGGTTAATATCCCTCTTGAGTTTCCTTATGGATTGTACTACACTCGGAGCCGAAGGTATGGTCAGATGATAAACGCAGGGCTAGATAGGGATCGATGAGATTGAGTTGCTTCTTCGCCCCTGGGGTCGATTCGCGTGTGTCTTGATAGTGGGTCTATACTGGGATAAAATAGCTTCAGGAGGGTTCATTATCAGTTGAACATAGCCGATCGGCAATATCAACACGATACCGAACGAAGCCATATATCAGCCGTTGGATGTATTCTATACTGATATCCGAATTCAAGCCTCGCATTATGTCTAAGCTTGGCTCCATATGTGGTGTTCCACAAACCCAATCCTCACCTCATTTTTTGTCCCGCTCCGTGAACCTGTGTGACTTCCCTATGGCATCACGGTCCGAACTTGGAGCTGAGAATATGAACACCTATGACTGTTCCGTTATATACGCTCATAATCATGATTAATCCACTCCTCCAAGTTCGAACCTCCTCAACTTCTTTAATGATATTTTATGTAGCGAAATAGACGTCACCCAGATGCTCTTTAAACCTTATCTAACGTTAGTTGCCCCACCCCTGTGCCCTTAAGTTTGTCTGACATACCTCTCTATTAGGGCACGTAGCCTCTGGGCTCTTATAATTCTCGCGAGTCTCTGTTTCATCATCTCTCTCACCGTGCAACTCACCATCTTCTCCTCTTCATCACCATTCTCAAGCACCTATAACTTCCTGCCATTCTCTGCAAAGAAGACCCCCGCTTGTCTGGTCGACAAGCTCCTCGGTGACCCATGGGCATACGAAAATCATCCGAAAGAACATGTCTTCGGAACAGGATGGAAAGACGATCCCTACGAAGGAATGTGGTCAAATGTACCCTCAAAGGAAGACTATGAGACATTGATGAGCGAAGAAGATAAAACAATGATGCGGGAGGAGCTCTATAAGTACTCGGACGACTTACAGAGAGATAAAAGAGCGAGGGTGGAGAATTTCTACACCTTGAAGACGAGTGATGATTGGAGTCGTTATATTGAGGGACACAGTGATGAGGTTAGTTTTTTGTTTTTTTCTTCCCGATATCTATATCCTGCACAAAATGCAGGAGTTTTCTTTCCCCTATAAGAACTCCAACCGAGAGGGTCTTAAAGTGGATCAAAGTACAAATTCAGGCGTCTAGGAATTAAGGACACCACATGGTAAGGACATATGTACTCTCGGCATCGGATTAAGCTAGTGCATTTCCCCGATTCAATATTCAACTTAACTTCTCTATTCGATAAGGATGGATGCCAAAAGCTCGTTTACACTTATACCCAACATAAATATTCAATTATGGAGTACCATTTTTTTGAGTAACCAGGTGAAAGCGGCCAGGGCCGGTGTCTATTACGATCACACAAAATTATATGTGCCCAGACGTTTTCTTCTCTGCAAGCTGGTTTACATAGTTTCTGGATGGTAATCTAATCAGCCAAAGATTCGTGTATTCTTTGAGTCGGTCAACTATAGCTGAGGAAGTCGAACTGGAGACATGCTGTGTGAAAATATCTTCATTGCTCGGACACAAAGTCACAAATATGATCTAGTCTTCTCAATCATTCACTAACCATCAGGTAACTTCAGGGTCTAGCACCACTCACGAAATTCACACAAAGATACATTCATCGTCACCAGCACCCGGAGAATTGCACGGGCAAGGCCTTCCTCGTTTTCCGCAAATTTCCCAACGATGAATCCTTTGGCCTCGGCGCCCTGGCCCAATCCATTGCTCACAACCTCGCCCTCGCAATCCGTACTAATCGAATCCTCGTCTATGACGCTCATGATCCGCCTGGTGCACACTTCCTCTCCCCCCTTCCAGGGGCGGGACGCACGCTGGACAACATCTTTCACCCCCTCAGCAGCTGCACCCCTTCCGATGTTGCCGCATCAACTGACAAAGTCTATTTCCCGTGGGAGCCCGAAGCCACCGCAATTTATTACCGCACACACCCGGCCAGCCTCCCGCCCGTCCTGGCGCAGGTATTCAAAACTCAATTTGCAGATATGAACTATGATGCGGTACGGTACTGGTGGCGAGGACAGGTCGCTGCGTTTGCGATGCGGCCGAATAGAATTGCGATGGAAAGACTCAAGGAATTGAGGGTTGATGATGGGTTGAACAAAGGGGTAACTTTGCAGAAGGGGAAACACCCCATGACCGGAATAAAATTGGGGATGCCGTGGCCATTACCGGTTGGGTCCTGGAGTATGCACGTTAGGCACGGGGATAAAGGGTATGATTCCGAGCAGAGCACTCGGGTAAGATAGGATATTGACTAAGAGCTATGGATCATAGTATCGAAATGAGTCTCGTTGAGCTTAAGAAATATATCATGGCCGCGGAGGAACATATTATCAGAAACCCGCAAAGCTCACGCAGAATCGCTTTCATATCAACTGAAGATCCAAGCGTGCTCTATGATGCACGAAATATCTCAAGCCTACTTCCAATGTCAACAAGTAAGGGTTGGGAATGGTATTGGTCGGATATACCTAGTATGAAACTTCTTTTCCCAGTTCATCTCTTTTTTACTGATTTGATAGGATTCAACGGCGGGCCTGTAACGCAGTTGGAGAAGTTTGGAAATAGGACCGAAATGACAATAAAATGGTTTCTGCAGTTAACAATGGCTCTAGAGTGTGACAATTTTGTGGGCACGAGAGGTGTAAGTGATAGGGCACGCATCCCATACTAGCTCTGATAGTGAGATTAACTTTGGGTGAACAGTCTGGATGGAATAGACTGATAGATGAACTTCGATGTATTTGGTATCCTAACTGCAAATCTGGCTATGTTGAAGTTGGAAGCGACTCAAGTTGGGTGAGTACCGACCTATCTACCTGCCTCACTAATGCTACTCGAAAGTCATTGACACTCGGATTTTTTTTTAGGCACATTACGGCATCTGAGGATATAATCTACAGTTTGAAATCTAAAAATCCACCATATACGTAGGTCTAGACGGCTTTGTGATGGGATATATGATGAGGAAGTATAGTGGATTCTTGAACTAAGAAAGGACAAGAGGAAGGGAAACCATCCTCATGTATGTTCCTAGAGATATGTAATTTTATCGGGAACCATGCCCAGCGGGGATAAATACAGATGGATTAGGTTAATACTCCATGCTTCGTACAGTTGGCAAATCGGTAGTAATGAAATTCATACATGCCAAGCCCAACAAATTTGAATGCGTTGGCAAGCTTGTATGATTACGAGTGATTGAGTATGAATACATATGTAAGTAATTATCACTGAGTAAGTGAAGTATTGATGTATGACCTAAGATCGGGCGCTTAAATGTTCACATTGGCTCAGGGTCCGGATCCAGTCAAATAACAATAACTAAATTTATCTGTTTCGCGCGCCGCAAAAAGCTGTAACTGCAACACGAAATGTATAGAGCCCCAGATTAAGTAGATTGGGATATACATGTATGTGCCAGATACCTCCCTGCCTACCAGGTATCATTCACGGCGGTAGAGATAGTGATCTAGATGATAGAAAAAGCACTTATCTACTGACATGCAATTACCGGTACCAGCTAGTATCACTTAGCTCCCCACACAGTTATAATGTTATCCCTGCATTTCTAACCTCATGTCACACACGGAGCGTTTGAAACCATCCATTTATGACAACCCACATGATGATTCCCCTCCATAACCATGCGTGACTTTTTCTCGATGACGTTGACCTCTCTCCTAGGATCATTCTATCTCTTTCTCTCGTCGTGCCCAGTTTATGACCTGCTATTCTATCATGTACGAACTATTCCTTTGTTTTTTCCCCTATGGCCGTGTATATAAAGTGTATCACTACCCCTCTCCCTCCGTCTTGCTTTCCTCCCTTCTTACTCCTCTTCCCTCACCGTTCCATTTGATCAGTTAGCTTATAAGTCTCACAGAATCTCTCATATATTTAACAAAACATAATTCACAGCTACCATGGCCTACAACACACGTTCCACAACCCGCGCGACTACCACCCCTACCAACACCGGTCGCAAAGCCCCGCGCGCCCCTCCAAAGACTCCCAAGAAGCCTGTCACTGCCACTGGCAGGATCACCAAATCTTCACCGACAAAGAAGAAGACTCCAACTCCTGCGACTCACCACAAGAGAAAGCCAAGTATTGGTGACAAGCTAATTGGTGCGGCCATGAAGGTTGAGGGCACTATTACTGGAAGACCGGGAGTCAAGGTATGTTGTTTAGTGTGTCCAAGGGAAACAGATGCATGGAATGATCTAGGATGATGCTGACTCGTGGAATGGGGAGGCGGCGGGAACGAAGAAGATGAGGGGCACAGATGGAAAGGGCAGCCACAGGAGAACACGTAGTTCACGTTAATACGTCAGAGTCGCATATCAAGAATGGGGGTTTCTTTAGTTTTTTTATTTTATTAATTGATTGGGCCTTTTTTTATTTCGGAGGCTCTGGCGAGGATCTTTTTATGTTTGCGGGCTGGCGTTAGGTGCGCTTCATAGGTTGTACAGCTCCAGGTTGGAGAGGATGTTGATTTGATTGGGTTCTGTTTTTACTTTGGCGAGGCTCGAGGGATACTTCTCCTTCGGCGCCTTTGTTTGATTTGGTTGTATGGTTGTACTTTAGTGAAAGAAAAGAAAGGACCATGTAGGACAATCAGAAGCAGAATAAATAATCGTGATGTTCTATCTTTCGATTTTCTCCGGACGTGTCCACCATTCCGAAGGCTTGTGTTTCATCGATCGTGCCTGCGTCAGGCGCGTGTCAATGATTTGCCCGCCACTAGCTGCTCCGGCGCGCACGGGCGCAAATCACGATGTGTGGTCTCGAGATCATAACGGCGGCTATCTCATAATTCTGGTTCAGAGCTCCTACATTTTCTCTACTCTAGAACTTCCTAGATCTCACCTGTGTTTACATTTCTTTCACCGTGGTTCCCCAGGTGCTTAGTCTAGCTAGAATACATGTATCTGACAAATGTCGCTTAACCTCATGTGCTACCTGTCAGCCTTCGGATAGAGCGAAAGAATATTATTGAGATCTCTGTAATCCTCCAAAGGACTCGGCGCGGAGATAACGGGGCTGATCATTTCTAGTGCATTGATAGAGCCTGATTCACATCTGATCACTCGTACATACATGAGGGTTAGGGTTTGTGGCGCACCAAGTTGTCGCCAAGGCTTACGCATTATGCTTAGGATTAACGGATATGTATGTGGAGATAGGTTCCTTTGCCCCGATCCAATTATAAGCATAATTGTTTGTTATTGGTGTCTTAGATTGATACCAAGAGCGCATCGGAGTGTGTAGACAGTGGACTAGGTTTGACTGATCTGTGAGTTAATTTAGATAAGGCAAGAAGCCTTTCGAGCGGGTAATAAGATCGAGTGATATTACATGATCCTGAAGAATCAAGCAGTTATCAAGAAGCTTTACCCCTTCAAAACATTGATATACGATTAGAAACGACTATTAAAGTATATATAGGGAGAGAATACATAATCCAAGATTAAAATCTTCAGTCCTTATCGACCATGGGAGTAACATTGTGCATGCCAGTGCCCACCGATATCTACAAACATATATTCCCAAATTTCACTTCATTGCCAGTGTAACTTCAAGCCTCTCTCCATCTGTCTCGTGCCCAGACTTTCTATGATTCTGATTGGTCAATAATCGGGTGTGCACTTCCATCATAGGTAGTCTGGTTTATAAGGGATCCTAATTGTGTGAGTGAGATTTGGGTGGGGATTTGGATGATTCGGTTTTTTTGTTGCGGTTCCGCTGTGTCAACCCGTGAATACATATATGTAATTCTGGGGGTTCTTTAAGAACTCCGATTTAAAAACACATAGTTTGGAATAAGATAGTATTTTCCGGGTTACAATTAGTAGTAAGAGAGTATTTAGATGGAGTTTTCTGTCTTTTCCCGGTGAATTATTTTATATTTTTGGCAAATATGGAATTGAGATCTGAATTCCGGAAAAGGCACCAAAAGGCACCCGGGCAGGCAATTTCAACTCCGACATGAGAAGTAAGAAAAGGCATGGTATTCCGGAAACATATTTTGATACCCACTTTCTGATCACTGAAATGCCTACATTTTTTAAGACATCGGCCGGAGAGGAGTTGAATAATTTACTGTTGGCATTGTCATATGGGGGTAGTTTAGTTCCAGACTAACTATGAAGAAGCTGCGTGAGGTACGAACATTGGTGCCAAGGAGTTTGGCTGGGTACGAGACAGTCTCTCCATTACACGATGTTAAATAACTGTCATGATTTTTAGCCTATTTCGTATACGTCAGAGTTGGGATTAATATTAGTCTAATTAGGGTTCTAAATAACTCTAAACGAAGAATACACCAGTGTGATATTCCCACCATTACAACTCTAAAGTATGTCCGAATACTTCCTACGGCTATTGTATATGTTGTGAAAGAGCATTGGAATGACTCTTGGAGTAGTGAAATTTCGCTCTTAGCGACATAGTACCGAGACATTGGTTCTGGTCCGGCCGCCGTACCCAACCACGAATGCTCATAGATAGCAAGCCCAATATGGCCATTCATGAACTAAAATTCCATATAAAAGCACCCTCGAGTGGATTAAGTTAGCCATAAATCTTCGACCCACAAACGCCCATCCTGTGACAAGTACTCAAATAGTAAATCAGAGATTCTCTGTACTGTTAATTTATTGTTTTTTTTTCACATGTCCAGGGTTCATGGGAGTTGTAGTCCTACTCAGATATGAAGGGGGAGGTGCGTGGCCATTTGCGCGAGAATGAATCTTATTGTCCACAGTCCACTTTCTTAAGTCCCGTGGGAATATTGGGGGACTTGCCCGTGGTGCACAGAAACACTACATCTTATACCGTTCATCATTGACACCCACCTCCAGGAAATATAAGGTCTTACTAACGAATGGGGTGCTTTGATCGAACCACAAACCCTTCCATCCACGATCCTCTCACATGCACAAATATGAATGTTCGAGGATCGGAAACGTGCTTCATCATCGGTGGCCATGTAATGGAATTTAAACTAATTGAAAGGCTTGTAGATCTATCTGCAAAACATCTATATATAGAACGTCGTCCTTGAAACACGAAATTTCAAAGACACCTTTTAATCCTACACATCACTTCGTTCACATATAACATATAGATGGGACGCCCTGTCTATGGGTAGTCAGCGGCGCTGGTTGTTAATTGGGTCAGAGGACTTGTATAATTGAATCTAAATAAATATGACTACCTACAGCTACTATGTATGAAGTGAAGTATAGAAAATCACCTCCGAAACTTGAGCGCCTATATAGGGGACATAGCTTTGAAATTCTGCAGGGAATGATTGTGGGGACTTATTTCCAATCCTATCCTTCTAATACATTATACCTATTACTTCACGTCACAATTGCTCTAGAATTCATCATTAATGTTCGAACCAGCCCAAATAGCTAGGAATCAGTAGAACTAAACTCAAAACAAAGACAGTATATATGTTCGAAATAGACCTATCATGTTTAATATAAGTTTAGGCTCCACTGGACCTAGTATTCGACAGGGTTAGTATTTGACAGACTTTGTGATCCTAACTTGGAGCTTTGTGATAATAAATATTGTGGGACGAACCTACTTCGGCTCATCACTTATATCTGATTCTATCATCTCTCAAAATAGAACACCCCGAAATGAATTTTGTCCATGAACCAGTTTGGGGTATAATACCGTAAGGAGCTTGTTCGAGGTCTGGAGACCAACCGCCGACATTACCTACCAAACCATAGCTATATTCATGATTGGAAGAGAGTTGAACGATGACTAAACTGTGCTCCATCATGACAAGTAAGCGGTGAATAAACTTCCCTCAAAAGAAAAAAAGATCCCGGGCCCCTCTTGAACTCGACACATCCCCGCTTCCGAGATACATACAAAGCCTAAGAGCGTAGTGATCACAATAAAGACATTCAGGCGTGAAAGATAAATTTACAGGGGGTGTGATGTGAGTTTAGTGCTCATGAACATGCGCAGGTCAGGGGAGATACATTCGATTTGCAACGCGATTGCCCCCTGTCCCACCATCTGTGGCAAGCTTTCCATGTCATCTTTTCTTGGCATTAGAATATTCCTCTTGTATCATTTAAACAATGATTTATGCAAGGACCTAGGGTGATCCTAAACCCCCGATTATCTTTTGAAATAAAATATTCTTGTATGTACCCAGGGTGTTGGAAAGTGATGTACATTTTGGTTTGACAAAGGCTAATTACCCCAAATACCTATATTTTGGCGCAACGCAACATGCTCCCTAATTCTAATTTCGAGTGTAGGGCATCTCTACAATGCTAAGAATTCATCTGGCGCTAATTGAATACAAAATAGCCATTCTTCAAGCAAGAAGTCACTATCCAGTAGCGAAAATCAGTGTTAAAAAAAACCAAAAAGTATCGATGACAGACCTTTTTTATTTATTTTTTCTTATGAAAGGAATCTATATACTTAAATTAACTATAAGATAGACTTGTGTATAGATTAATTCTCTCGTGGTTGAGATATCACCCAATGTGCATCATTTTCCGACACCCTGGGTACATATCATTGATACTGATGAGGACTACACTTTGAATAAAATCGGCTAAACCCTGAACACAGCCAATCCGTTGTGGTGTAATGGTTAGCATCAGTCGCTCTCACCGACTAGATCGGGGTTCAATTCCCCGCAACGGAATAACTGGTCAAGCAACTGCTTTAAATCGTTTTTTGCTGAAATTTATTTTTCGGATTTTGCATTTATTTATTTGTTTTATTTGCTGTTCGCTCTGATTGCTCTTTGTGTCCATGCTAGGCACTTTCACGTGACTGGGTTGATCATCGGGATCTAATCAGATAATCTACACTGCATGCTACCAACAAGACTGGGGTAGAAATACGGTACATTACATCTGCATGAACTGTAAACTAGTAAATATATCATTTCGAACCACTTGGAGGGGGGGCTTATTGCAACTACTATTATATCATACTTAAGTACATCTTAAGAGTGCTGAATTTTTAGCGATTGACTCTGATCTATACGAGTTTTAGGTTTAGCTGGAAATTATGCAATAATCAAAAAAAAAAGGATTTTGTTTAATTCATATGCAATAACCAACGATATATACCGTCAAAAAATCAAGGTTATGTATATATAACTGTATACACGCATAACACTCTCTTAATATTACATTCCCCACAGTATCCCTCCTGGCGGAATAATGCACCCCAGGAAAACTTGCAGCATTGGATTCACAGTAACATCGGCCTGATGATCATGACCTAGCTGAACAAATACCGTTTGAAAAGAGCGAATTCAAGAATTGCTG